ACAGTAAGTTTTTCAAATCATTTACAAGTACTTTAGTTCTATGAATGAATGTTTCTATCATAATTGGATAGTAAGATAGATTTTAGACAACAACTCGATCGCATTTTGATCGATACACAACAAGAGTCAAGCGACGAGAACCCAGTGCGGCGAAAAAGAAGACAAGCTGAAGCATCAAATGCCGGTTTATGGCCAAACAATCAAGTCTTCTACTATTTCGATGCAAACTTGAGTGGAGTTAAACAACTAAATCGTAAAGTTTAAAGTTTAGCTTCCACAGCAAGAAACGCAATTTTGAGCGGGATTCAATTTTGGGCAGAGAATACTTGTGTCGACTTTGTGGAGAGTGCCACAGCTGTGTAAGCTTTAAAAACATAGCAGTAGATCCGTTAAAAGAAACGTAATAAAAAAAGGGATTCAATAAAGAATTCTTAAGATTAAGATTATCAATTTTAGTAATCGAATTCGTTTTGCCGCACTTGATGGTTGCTACTCGTTGGTGGGATTTATTGGCGGTGTGCAAGATCTCTCGATTGGGATTGGCTGTGAATCGGTGCGAAAAAAAGAAATCATATTAAAAGATCAGTTGAATTTGATTTGATTATAGTTTTTTTTAAAAATATAAAATCATTTTTAAGATGGGAACAGTGTGTCACGAGATAGGGCATGCGCTTGGTTTTTGGCATCAGATGTCACGGTATGATCGAGATAATTATATCACGCTTGATTACACAAATGTTGATGTGAGTTGAAATGTTTGCATGCTTTAGCATTAAAGAAATCACTTTGATTTCTTTAAAATATGAAAATTTTACAATTTTACAATTTTAGCCAATCTATTATGGTCAATTTGATAAGGAAACGGTGAAAACGAATAACAACTACGGGATGCCATATGATTGGGCGAGCATCATGCAGTATGGAGCGTCGAGGTTTGTGAAATCAAGCAAGTACAAGAAATGGTAACCAATACCTGGACAAATCCAGATAGCCAATACCTGGACAAATCTAGATAACCAATACCTGGATAAATCCAGGTAACCAATACCTGGACAAATCCAGATAACCAATACCTGGACAAATCCAGTTAGCCAATACCTGGATAAATCCAGGTAACCAATACCTAGACAAATACAGGTAACTAATACCTGGACAAATCCAGATAACCAATACCTGGATCTAGCAAAGTACAAGAAAACTTCTAATCAAACTTCTAACATTTATTTCTACTCCAAAAGCTCTTCTTTTATTCATCTGATGCTTTCCAGAAAATGTTTTCATTCCTTTTCATACTTTCTTTTGAAAAATAATAAATACACTAATAAACCTATGATTTTCTTTGAATAAAAAGTGTTTTTTGCTAAATATTCATTTTTTTAAGTCAAATTTGGTTCACTTACAAGCAAATTCGAGAGTGAAAACACATGTCTCTCTCAAAAATCAATCAAAAAATCTCTACTAACAAATCCAGGTAGCCAATACCTGGACAAGTCCAAAAATTGGATGAATTTTCTGCATCAATTTCTCTAAAAATTTAGCTATATACCAAAATTTTTATGCTCTATTTTTTATCTATTGACACGAAAATAGGTTTCCTTGGCTAAACTGACTAAATCGGATCATCGAGCCGACTTTTTGACTACCCGAAATCAGGTTTCCAGAAAAAAAAATCGATAAGACATATAAGAAAAATCGATAAGACATATTTTAAACTCATTTTAATGTTTGCAGAAAAATGATTGGTCTTTTTAATGAAATAAACCGTAATTCTATTGATGCATTTGTTAGTTTTTAAACGAAAGTACGAAAAGCAACGAAAAGACTTTCTGCACAGCCTAATACAACGTGCAAAAAGCTGTTGTACGACGACGACGACGCGACATAACACCGCTTTAATATTATTTTGCAGAAAGATAATTGACTTTTCTAATGAAACAAACCGTAGTTCAATTAGTGCATTTGTTGGTTTTAAACGAAAGTACAAAAAGAAACGAAAAGGAAAAGAAAAGACTTTCTGGACAGTTTAATAGCTATTAATAGCTATTAAGCTATCCAGAATTAATAGCTATTATTATATACTGTACTCTCTACAGTACTTCTAATAAGAAAGTATTCAGTGCATCGAATAATGGCCGACCGTCGATGATCGCCAAAGATTCGCATTATCAAGATGCGATGGGAAGTGATGTTGTCGCTTTCTATGACGTGTCGATGATGAATGAAAGATATGGATGCAAAGGTTTGGAGGAATTTACTGTACTTACGGTAAAGATACGGTAACTGTTGTCTATTTGTGTAAAGTTGATACTCTAGTAAAATGTTCTGCCTTTTCCGATGTGGCAATATGTTTCAATGGAGGTTATCCACACCCAAGAAATTGCAGTATTTGTATGTGTCCACGTGGATATGGAGGATCACGATGCCAGGATCGGGTAAAGGACGCAGATTAGCAACTTTAGCTTTATAAATAGCTTACTTTCCAATAAATAGCTTACTTTACTAGCTTACTTTCCAATGAGCAGATATTCAGAATATAATTAAAGCCAACTTTAGGCTCAAGCTGATGGTTGTGGTGATTACAAAAAGGCGTCTTCGAGCCCACAAAATTTGAGCGTTTCGTTGACCTCTTCAAGCACTTCGGTCACTTTGAATAGCACTGAGTGCTCGTACGCTATTTATGTAAGTAAAAAAGGTCGAAAGTTTTACATAAAGATTTTCTATAGACTGATCCGGGTGAGCGAATCGAGGTGACAATCGTCGCGTTGAGTTCACCGGCTTGCGTAGATGGGTGTATCTATGGAGGGCTGGAGGTAAAAGCTGATCATGATGTGAAAATGAGTGGATACAGGTGAGAATCTCGAACTTTCTATCTTCTATTTAAATCTACATTTACCTGATATCTTTGTAATGAAAAAGATTGAGATCTTTTTGGATCCAAAACCAAAATCAAGGCTAGCAGGAAAGTTTAAGTATCTATTGTTTTTGAAATCTACCATCGGCTTTGCATTAACTCTATAATTCTAATATAATGCTTTTAGGTATTGTTGTCGTAACGATGTGGGCCAAGTGATTACCTCGGCGTACAATTTCTTGCCGGTGATCAACTGGAGTCGATACCGAACGACGAGTTTCACGTTGAGCTATCGAGCGGGTAATACCAAAGCTTGTCCAAATCGTTTACACAATGATTCCCAGTGCCCGATTCCACTTCATCATCTGATTCATCAACAAAATTTTCCGCTCCCCAAATGTCGATTCTCAATAATTTGGGCGATGGACCGATCACCAATCCACCAACCACAGTACCGACAACGACGCTAAAAACGACAACGACGAAAACGGTGGGAATTGTAGAGGAGGAATGTTTGAAAAAAAAAGACAGGAAGATCAAGACTTTCTTAGCTTTACTGCAGGCTTGAGCCTAATAAAAAGTCTTTGACTCACAATCAGCCAGAAATCTGAGGCAGGCATGGGTTACAGGTCCTAGGGTTGGAAAATCCTGGGCTAGTCTCTAAGTTTAGCTTTATAGTTAGCGTTGATCAATGGTACATCGTAACATTGATCCGGTTTTCTGGAATATTCCGCTTATGGCTCAATAAAAGAAAGTTAGACATATGCTCGATCGTAAAATAAAGTTCATTTTCTAGCCGACTACAAAGTCTCGATGCCAGGATCACAGCAAGATGTGAGTTGAAAAGACAAAAGAAAAAAGTAGCAAAGCTTTTTACAGGTGTATGACATGGCAATACTATTTCAACTTCTGTCAAACCTATCCAACACTCTTTAAGAAAACCTATTGTAAAAAGACGTGCGGTCTTTGTTAAAAATGGTAACTTTGGTCATTCTTTAGGATTCAATCACCGGTTCATTCATATGTGCTTGTTCGCTTTATGCTTGCTTGATTGTAAAATAAAGTTCATTTTTCTAGCCGACTATAACTTTATGATACTAGTTGACTATATTGCATTTTGTGATACTTTAATGCTTTCGCATTTGTCTAGTCTTTTATGGCTTTAAGCTTATCATTGTTAGCTCAAATTTCTTTAAATTTCATTTCATTAATGTAAATTAGTGCACAATTTCTTTTAAAATATCTAGAACGGGCAAATTTTTTCTCTTTTTTCTTGTCAATATATTGAAATAAATGGTGGCTCATTTTAGTAGACAATGTCGAAATGTTTACATTTAAAGCGCTACCTTACCCACCACCGTAACTCGATTTTACAAGCTGATTAGATCGAGTAGTAATAGGTTGATGCATAAGTCTTTTCGTTTTTTTCGTACTTCTGTTAAAAAAGTAACAAATTCACCAATTAATCTATAGTTTGCTCTATAAAAAAAGTGTTTTTTTGTTCAATTTGCATCTTTTTAAATGAATTTCGGTTCACTTTCAAGCAAATTCGAGAGTGAAAAACGCCTTTTTCGTAAAAATCTATAAAAAACTCTACGGAAAAATTGGCTGAATGAATTTCTCTGAAATTTTGGCGAAATATCAAACTTTTTTTTCTCTATCTTTTATCTATTGACACGAAGATAGGTTTTCTTTAGCTAAGGTGTCTAAACCGCATCATCGAGTTAGCCCTTTTTGACTACCCGACTTCATACTCTCAAGAAAATCCAGGCATTAAATATTTTTAAACCCGTTTTAATGTTATTTTGCAGAAAAATAATTGGTTTTTCTAATGAAATCAACCGTAGTTTAATTGGTGCATTTGTTGGCTTGAAACGGCAGACGAAAAGGAACAAAAAGACTTATGCATCAACCTAATAGCTCGAAGTTAAATAAATTCTTTAAATTCAAGGTGTTCAAGGTTTTAAATTGAACAGTATCAGCAAAAAAAACAATTCAATATTAAGATTGAAAAACCAACCATTCTTAAAGCAGCTAGGTGAGAGTGAGATGTCGTCAATCATCAACAGATACTCTGCCTCTACGTGATAAACGTTGAAAGTGAAGCCGACTTGGAAAGGTGAACGCTAAAAGAAATTCATCGAATTTACATAATTGTGATGAAAAATGTTTTTCCATGAGATTTGCTCACTTGTGGCATCAATTTGACCGCGGCTCGTTTCCAATCGCAATGCGATTTCCAATCAAGACCTTGCTCTTTCGGAAACAGAAGCTGCAACTCAATCTGGAGGAATTTTTTAGAGGAAAAAAGAACTAAATCTAGAACCTCATCTTCAGCCCCTTTGAATCCTTTGTAGATCTTCCATTCCAACATCTCGTGAGGCATTTTTTCGCAGTACCAGTAACGAATCTAAAACTTCAGATACGGCAGGTAAGTCACCTCAAAAGTTTTCTGCATTTTGAACTTACAAAACAAGTCTCATGTTTTTCATCATCATGACTGACGGTGGGCGGAAAAAATGGAGATTGGAAGCGTTGAAAGAACGGGTTCTCATTTATTCTGCTTTTGTAGTTCTTTTGGAATTTGTGTGAAGCCCAGAGGAAATGTCCTGAATAAATGATTGACAATAGATTATTGTAGATAAGATACAAAGGTAAAAAGTACACTTTCTGGCACTGATCACCTTACCTTCAATCGTTCCCGGGGTTTGATCGCGATGTGGAATATTTGCATATTCCCAGTCTTTCTAAAAATAGAAGTCGATATAGAAATGTATTTTGAATGATTTTTATTTATAAACCCTTGAAAGTTTTGATTGAATTATGCTAGTTATGCCTTCTTTCACTCACCATAGCATCTCCATAATTCGCTTTGACGAGTAGATCATCGGGCATCGGATCGAAGTGATGGAGTCTGAAAAGTGGTTTTGGGTTAAGGTCTAGGAATAGATGATTAGCACTCAATAGTTAAGCGATACAGATAATAGATAGCACTCAATAGTTAAGCGATACAGATAATAGATAGCACTCAATAGTTAATCGAAAGGATGACTAACTTTTAGCCCCCCCTAGGCGGGGGCTAAAAGGAATAAGGAAATAAGGAATAAATGGAATAAGGAGGGGGCCCTCCTTATTCCATTTTACTCTATTCACAAACCTTTGCGTAATCGTGGTCCAATCTGGGCAAAGGGTGGCATTGTTTTCGAAATCGCATCTCGACCCGGGCACCGGCCATTCTAGACCATTTTAGTTCTCAGAGATAAAACAAAAATGATTATTGGAACTGATTCAAAAACTAAGGCTACTAGCAACTTGGGCTGATTTGGCTTGATTTTGGAACTCATGTAGATCAATTAAAAGCTCTACCAAAGTCAAACTAAAAATTGAATCGACTCTTGTCAGGAAATTGAAGAAATCCCTGGTTACTATATTTTAATAGGCATTGTTAAAATTTTTAACAATTCCAGTGTTTTTTTTCCACTTACCACAATTTTCTTCATCATCGCCGTGTGGACAGTCGACATGTCCGTCACAGACCCAGGCAATGTTGATGCACTTTTTGATAGCTTTCCCCCTAAACTTCCATGATCATTTGCCGAGTAGCATATTTAGAATCTATGACTAGATCGATAAAGTTTGCGATAAATTACAAATACTAGCGTGTTGAGAATGTTTGGGAGCACCGAAAGTGTTTGTTTTCGATTTCGTCTCGGTGACATACACACCGAGTCGGTGTCCTATAAGCTACTGTCAAGTTATTCTGTTGATGGCCTGAATATCTTCGAAATACGTCTATAAATCAATGCTAGTCGCAAGTCATTCGAAAAGTTTTCCCCCTTTGATTTCTTGCTCTTTCGCTGAGTTAAATTGCGCACATTGCACGCTTTTTTTGAAAGTCTTGTCACACAAAACTTACTTGCACAAATACTCCTCCTTCTCCTCGGGACAAAGATCTTTGAAGTCCGGGTGCTCTAAAATCGAACGCGTTAAATTTCAACGTTAAAACTTGATATTTGGATGTTTACTGTTTTGAGCCGTTAACTTGACGAGTTTTCTTTCAATGCGCGTAAAAGATCCATGATATGACGTTTGTTATCTATTTCCATTTTGTAGGGATAATTTTAACCTCCTGTCTATTCTAGAACTTCTACAATATGATAGTTGTCAATATTTGTATTTTTAGCCTGATGAGCGTGGTTTTGAAAGAAGTCACGCGGAACAAGCAAACGAATGAGGAGAAACGCAAGGAACGCCAAAAGGAATTGTCGGAGGCTCTCAACAAGAAAGCTCAAGAGCGTTTGGCACAAGAATCTGGACGATCTGAAGTGAAGAAGTAAGCGTTTTTTAATCTATTTGTGTTATTCTGTCTTTTTAGGGCAGTGAAATCGAACGTTTCTTACAAGAGCTACGACAGGTTTCCTCAAGATGCTGAAGTTGAAGGACTGGTGATTCATGTTGGTAGGAAATGTAATGGTTTTCAAATTTTATATGGCTACTTTAGATCGTCGTCATGATTCGGTCATTCTTCCGTTGTTTGGAATCCCAGTGCCTTTTCATATTTCTATGATCAAGGTTTGTTGTTGTTTAGAGAGTCTCTATGTGTTTTCGTTTCAGAATTGCTCCACTTCGGTTGAGAATGACACGATGTACCTTCGGATCAACTTCGCACACCCTGGAGCAAATGTTGGAAAGGAAAATGTGCCTTTCCCTCAGCCACTCGCGACATACATCAAAGAACTGACTTTTCGGGCGTCTACAGTTAAAGAGCATGGACAGATTGCGGCTCCATCGAACAATCTCAATAATGCTTTTCGCTTGATCAAGGATATGCAGAAAAAGTCTCGCGCTGAGGAGGTTTGTTTGTTTGGCTTTTATCGAAGTTTAGTTGTTTTAGGCAGAACAACGCGAAAAGGAGGGCGCTGTGCTTCAAGACAAGCTTATCATCGCAGCAAACAAAGTCAACCCAAAGTTGAAGGAGCTGTATGTTCGTCCGAATATCATCTCCAAACGAATCTCTGGATCACTCGAGGCTCACACCAATGGTTTTCGATACACATCATTGCGAGGAGACAAGATTGAGGTTCTCTACAATAACATTCGACATGCATTTTTCCAAGTAAGCTGCTATAAACTAAGCGAACCTAATTGATTATTTTAGCCGTGTGACAAAGAAATGATCATCTTGCTGCACTTTCATCTCAAAAACCCTGTACTATGGGGAAAGAAGAAACACGGAGACATTCAATTCTTCACCGAAGTTGGAGAAATTACCACCGATCTGGGAAAGTATCATCACATGTAAGTAATTATTTTACGAAACGTCCACTAAAAGTTTGTTTAGGCAAGACCGTGATGACGTGGCTTCGGAACAAGTGAGTGACGATGGTGGTTTTGAAATGATTTTAATGGTTTAGGTAGAACGCGAAATGCGACGAAAGCTCAATCAAACGTTCCAAGCTTTTTGCGACAAAGTGGTGAAACAAGCCAACGAGGTTTTCGAGTTCGAGACGCCATTCAACGATCTTGCTTTCTGGGGAAATCCAATGCGCAATAGTGTCATGGTAAAGAACTTACATAGGTAAAAAATAGTTTTTGTTTATTAGTTGAAACCGACCTCTTCATGCCTTGTCAACCTCACGGAATCTCCTGTATTTGTTATTTCACTCGACGATATCGAATTGGTGCATTTCGAGCGAGTGTCATTCCAATTGAAGAACTTTGATATGATTGTTGTTTTCAAGGTTTGAAACGAAGTTTTTATTATCAATTTTATGATTTTGGGATTATCGCCGTAAAACGCAAATGATTCAACAAATTCCGACGACTTCTTTGGATGGCATTAAAGATTGGCTGAACTCGTGCGACATCAAGTACACAGAAGGAATCCAATCGCTCAACTGGCCAAAGATTATGAAAACGATTGTTGATGATCCCGTGGTGGGCAATTATATTTTTGGCATGTTGATTCAATTTTACCTTCAGGATTTCTTCCAAACCGGTGGTTGGAGTTTTCTCGATCCAGCCGCAGAGGACGAGGACGACGACGAAGACGACAGTGATGAAAGTGAGGCCTATGTACCATCGGGAGAGGTTTGGAAATCTTTTTGTTAGCAATTACATTTTTATTTTAGGATGATGAATCCGGTTCCGATTCCGATTCCGAAGAATCTGAGGGAGCAACTGAAGATGATGGTGGTAGTGATAGCTCGTTGGATTCGGACGAAAGTGAAGGAAAGGTAGATTTTTATGGATTTAAACCAGATTTTGGTAAAATTAGGACTGGTCTGATTTGGAAGAAGAAGCAAGGCGTGCAGACAAGCGAAAGGACATCGAGGACACGGTGAAAGGTGGCGGCGGAGGAGCCAAGAAGCGACAAGCAGGAGGAAACGATTCAGGCAGAGCTCCACCATTCAAGAGGCGCAAGTAATCGATTGAGGCCCCTCTTTTAATTCTTTCTGTAATGATCTTTGTTTTGTTCAAAATGTTTTCGTTAATCATGTTTTTTATTTGCTACCTGATTTTTGCAAGTTACCTTTGCTTATAGTTGAAGAAAAGTTTTGTTTCTAGACGAAATTCATTACGTTTTATGGCTTTATGTTCAATAAATTATTTCATTTATAACAAATAGCCAGGAGGGAAAATGGGGCGTATTTGTAGTACAAACCTTCACATCCGATCATGTTTATGTGGTGAATGCTGCAATTCGTCTCCCATGCTCTGTTTGGATCCACTGAGTATCGATCTTTTGCGTTCGCGTTTTGGCACTCGATCCTGGAAAGAAAATCCATTTTGTTTTGTTAAAAGGAAATTTTTTCGGAGTTCTTCAATGGACTTACCGTATCCGAGTCGGTTCCCCAAAATGTCCCAATGGAATCTGATGTTCTCGGAGCAATTTTTCCACGCGATAATTTCTAAATTCAAGTGGTTTGAAAAGATTTCTTATTAAAAAACGTTTGAAGAATTGCGTGAACAATCGGTTGGGGGGAATCGTTGATTTGATTGGCTAAACTTTTGGATTCATTCATTATTGGCGCTTATTTACCTGATGCGTTCTTCGAGGATCTCGTTTCTGTAGAGATTACAATTCTTGAGTGCCCAATTATTCCGTTAACTCGATAGGATATCTGATAAAAGTTGGTAAGGGCTATTGGTGAGTGAAATTGAAATAAGTGATTCTTTTGCTACAGCACTGTAGCCTAAAGAACATACTGTACCTCCATAAGACACGTGGCTGCCGTATGCACAAAATACGGACTGACGATCATCGGCGGATCCACTGGGGATCGCGGTAAACCACTCACAATTGCCATTCCTAGAAGAATTTTTGGAGAAAATGTTGGACTTTTCCAGGACTCACTTTCCATCAACCAGCCGCTATGGCTGGTGAAATTCTCCTCTTTTATCTCGAATTTGTAGCCACCCGCGGCGACAAATTCCCAATTGCACGACTCATTTGATGAGAAATCGCATACCTTCGCTGAAAGGGTTTATGGTTGTAGTGGCTGAGCATTTGAATGGGTATCTTCATTTAGAAGAAATTTTTGATTCGCGTTTTTTTACACCCACTTTCATCACCCGTTCTCTCCATGGCCCCGCATTGAGCATTTTTCACAATGACATCTCTTGGAGACAACGAGTCACTGCATTTTACCTCGCATTCACCTGAATTTGGGTAAATGAATGAGTTTCGAGAAAATGTCTCACTTGACCAGTGCGATATTCGAACGATCGGTCGATTCTCGATCGGATACTCGCTGAGATTGATTTTCGGTTTATAGTCGCTGAAGTCGACTTTTGGGAGAAATCTAAAGGAAAAGATTTCATTTTCTTCTTTTGTAGCTTTACGCGTGATGCTTTTCATCAACTTTTGCTAATGAATAGAAAAGTTTTGTCGCTTTATCGCGGTGACAATCGCTGAAGTTTAATGGGAAAATGGTGAAGAGTGAGAGGAATTCCGTTTGATCCGTTTGATTGCCCGCACATGGGAGTTGGATGTGAATCTGAAAGCGAGTTCGAGTTCGAGCTAAAAAAAACATTTGGCGTGCGTCAGAAAGGATGTGCTTTCCAATTCTTGACAGCACAAAGTACACATGTCTATTGATGTTTGGCGTGCGTCAGAAAGGATGTGCTTTCCAATTCTTGACAGTACAAAGTACAAAGTACTATTGATGTTTCTATTCAATCGCTTAGAGTTAGGGGAATTTAATACAGTGCGTTTCAAATTTCTGATTTCAAAAAGCTTAAATCTTAAACGCACCCTCTAAAATGGCGAATTTTGCATTTTGACCACCTCTACAACTATTAATCTTTTTTCTATTAGAAAGAGCATGTCTTAAAACCTAAATAACACGAAAAATAAGCATACTGTAAAAAACAAAAATTTTCAAAATAGAAACTTTTTGCTAAATCAACCGTTTCAAATTCTTAAACGCACCCGCCCTTGCTGTTGTTATTTGAAATTTTTCGTTTTGTTGTGCATATTTTTTTATTAAATTTATAATTTTTGTTAATTTCCAGATAAATGGCACACGGAAAGCTGTTCACGGATTATGAGAAAGGCCAGATTGATGCCCGTTTGAGGATTGGCGACTCAATAAGGAAAATCGCAAAAAATTTGGACCGATCCGACTCTGCCGTGCGAAATTATATAAAGTCCGAGTTCGTTTCTGCACCAAAGAAGCCAGGACCAAAACCAAAGCTTACACCGTGAGCTAGACGTCATATTGTGAACAACATCCACGGAAAAACGATCAATGAAGTGAAAACGGAACTGAAAATCGACGCTTCGAAGTCGACAATTTGGTGAGCCGTCACGGAAAATTCACATATCGATCGGCACTTGTTGAACAAGCAACCGGCTGTGACGCTTTTGCACAAGGAAGCCCGATTGGCGTTTGCCAAGGCTCATATGAATCAGGATTGGTCTATGGTTAGAAAGCCGATTATGTTTTATTATTTTTTTTGCGTTTAGGTGATCTTTTCCGATGAGAAGAAATGGAATTTGGATAGCCCCGATGGCGTTGGCTACTATTGGAGGGATCTTCGACGTGATCCGATGGTGTTTGGGACTCGAAACTTTGGCGGTGGTTCTGTGATGGTTTGGGCCGCATTTTGTGCTGATGGAACGGTCGCTCTGAAGATGGTTTCGAATCGGATGACTAGATAGATATCTTGAAAAATTGCTTGTCGCCGTTTTCGCTCCTAAATTAAACCGTTCCCGATTTGTTTCAATAGGACAACGCGTCAGTTCATCGAGCCGGAGATACCCGAGATTGGCTGAAAAACAACAACATTGCAACTTTGGACTGGCTCGCACAGTCTCCTGACCTCAATCCAATAGAAAATTTATGGGGAATACTTGTTCGAGCTGTCTACAAGAATCATCGTCAGTTTCAAGACGTTTTTACACTTAAAGCAGCAATTTTTTCGGCCTGGAGCGATCTCGACGTCCCTGCTCTTCAAAACCTCATCAATTCAATGCCAGACCGGATTTTTCAAGTAATTAATCGTTCTGGTGCGTGTACAGATTATTAGTTTTGATTATTTACCTTTGATTTTTTATTTGTGTCGATAAATAAAAATATTTTCATAGTGCGTTTAAGAATTTGAAACGTTTGATTTAGCAAAAAGTTTCTATTTTGAAAATTTTTGTTTTTTACAGTATGCTTATTTTTCGTGTTATTTAGGTTTTAAGACATGCTCTTTCTAATAGAAAAAAGATTAATAGTTGTAGAGGTGGTCAAAATGCAAAATTCGCTATTTTAGAGGGTGCGTTTAAGAATTTGAAACGCACTGTAGTAATCCAAAAGGAAAAATTTCTTTTTGGCAAAATACTCAAGTAGGATTGTATTCACCTCTAAATCCCTTAAATCGGTGAAATTTTCGAATTGGCACGGATTCTCGAAAGATTTCAACGCATCCAGGTAAACGACTCCATTCTGAAATTGATTGTTTTTGTTTTTTTTTTTGGTAAAAAGATTATCGTACGCTCTTCCCTGATTTTTTTTTTTCAGGTTTCTTCAGAAAATACGGATTAGCTCTTTCACGAGGTATGTCGCCCGACACACAAAAAGACTCTCAATGAGAAAATAAGAAAATGAGAATTTTCTTCCCAATCTCGGTATTTAGTAAATTCCCAAGAGACGAGTGACTTTTTTTGACGGATTTTGAAAGAAAGAATACAATTCTTTAAAAAAAACCCAAATGAGAATCGATTGTTTATTGTGAAAGCAAACCTCTGGATAGGGTTGGTATTGAGCGTACTGGGTTTCGCTCCCATTCCTCCCAATCACGTGGATCACCGAGAAGAAATGCTCGCGGAGTTGGGGAAACTGCAATTATTGAAGGATATTGAAGGATTTCAAAGTATTTTAACAGCAATGCTTTCAACAATGGTATTATTTTAGGAATATGAAGCGCTTTTTTTGTCTTCGGGTTTAGAAGTAGTGATTTAAATGATTTAAAAATTGAATCAATTTTATGAACAAACAAACTACCTGATCCGGTAGAACTTTCCCATCGACAAAGGAAATTTTTAGAAAAATCACGAGCAGCTGACGGAAAAGTGACGCGAATCTCATCGGATAGTTGGCATAATAAAGCTGAAAGAAAATGGAAGAATGGTGAGCACAGAGGTTCATTATTGGATCGAGTGAAATGAAATATCGAGAAATTTAGCAATAACTATTATAAAATAGGGAATAATCATAGGGATCAAGGTATCGAGGTTGTTTAAAAAGATCCACCTTAAGCTAAAAGTCAGATCAGATCATGACGAGGATTGAAAAGTAGTCATAAGGCGCTAAAATGAAAACACACCAGATCTTAATTTGTCAATTCATCAATTTTCATATTTCTCCCATCACCAAACCCTGAGAAAAGCGTGGGAAAGCTTTTTGAGTACACCAGAAATGTCATGTTTCTATTCTCGAGCACAAAACACAAAGTATTTTTGCATTTTAATTGTGAACAGGCTCGATTGAAACAAATTTTCTTGAATAAATGAAACGAAGTGTTGAAAGGGGCAATTGTTGACGTTTTTCCGATTACGTAGACGTTTCTTACGTTTCTTGTATCAGTTTTTGTATCAGTTTTTCTCGAAAGATTTCAACGCATCCAGCTCGACCACTTACAACTCCAAGAAACTTTTGTGATGCTTGTTATAAATATGAAGATTTAAGGCATTCTAGATTCTGAAGAAAATCTCAAATCTATACAACAGCCATTTGTGGTTATTCAAAAAGTTATCCCATTTTTGTTGCAAAGATAAAGTGAAAATGTTTCAAGACTTGCTTACATCATATCCAAAATCCAAAAGAAAATCTCAAATCTATACAACGACTCCATTCTGAAATTGATTGTTTCTTTTGTTTTTGTTTTTTTTTGATACAAGAAACGTAATCGTAAAAAAACTGATACAAGAAAGAAATCTTTTGGAAATCCAAATAAAGTGAAGTCATTGAAAAGAAATTGGAAAAGGAAAGGGAACGGTTGGAGCGACTTGTATTCAGCATTTTGCTCAAAAAGAGAGATGAGGGTCTGTTCGAGACAGATCAACTAAAGAGAAAAGTAAAGAAACGAAAAGAGAAGAAAAAAAGGAGAGAACGGATTTAATCTTTCTCAAATCAGAAGCCATGGAAACCGTGAAAAAAGAGAGAAAAAAAATTCCATTTTTGGCCAGGAAAGGGACTTTCGATAATTTGGATATGATGTAAGCGAGTCTTGAAACATTTTCACTTTATCTTTGCAACAAAAATGGGATAACTTTTTGAATAACCACAAATGGCTGTTGTATAGATTTGAGATTTTCTTCAGAATCTAGAATGCCTTAAATCTTCATATTTATAACAAGCATCACAAAAGTTTCTTGGAGTTGTAAGTGGTAATCAATCGAGCTGAAATCTAAACACTTTAAGATTTCCATATCGATTTGAATAAGTTAATGAAAGATTTGATGACTTTAACCGTTTAAAGTTTCAATCAGATAAGAAAGATTAGATTAAAATTGCAAAATGAATTTTAAAAGTCTAACTTTTATTTCAAGAATTATAAGTAGAAGAAGGAAGAGAGTTGGTGAAAAATACCTATGTATAAAAGTTGTCGAAAGAAAAGATATAAAAGGGGAAAGAAAAAGAAGAAGAAGAAAAAGGAGAAGAAGAAGAAGAAGAAGAAAAAGAAGAAGGAGAAGAAAAAGAAGAAGAAGAAGAAAAAGAAGAAGAAGAAGAAGAAGAAGTGGAGAGAAAAGTGAAGCGATGGGCGGGGTGAATAGATTGGATAACTCGGCTAATGTGTGTTTTTTTAGAGACAGGGTAGGGGAAGGGATGGGGATCTTGCAAATGATTTGGAAGGGGAGGGAGGAGGGGAGGATGAAGTCTACATCCCCCGCTTTCTGTCCCATCCTCGAGCACTTCTCAAGGCCATAAGTCATGATCAGCCATAGCAACCTGGCATGGCATGGCCTACAAAATTTTTAGGGTTATGAATTGGCCTGGAAATTTCATACAATTTATCTCGATACAACGATTTTGAACTTATCAATTCTAACAAATTCTAAAGCAAGCAAGTCTTTTGCCTAGCTGCCGAGCCAAACGCAATTGTTGGCTGTTCAGGGCAGCTAAGCAAGATGTTTGAATTGTTTTAGAATCGTTAGAATCGTTAGAATCGTTGAATCAATATTTTTAGTCCCAAGCGAATGAGGAAATGGAGAGTCGACTGTACTAGGATTTCCTTGGATTTCCTAGGATTTCCTTGGATCCCTGCCTCTAAGCCTTGAGCTGCTGATAGAGAATTTCATCGAATACATCGAATATTATTCCAATTTCTAGCTAATACTATCTACATGGGAATCTGTTAGCCAAATTTCACAGAGCATAGTATGAGCTCAGGGCAGCTCTTCTATCCTTGCTCGTGGGCACCTCTATCTCAAATTCGTGTTAGATCCCATCCTCTCCCTCAATCCCCCATCCATTCAATATATCTCTTGTGATATCCTCTTCGTTTTTTTTTCATCTATATGTGGCCCGGTGAGGGGATGTGTGGAAATGAGGCCCTTCTCCCGTCCGTGCTCTAATTGCCCTCCCCTTCTATTTCTTTCTCACTTTTTTCCCCTGAATATCCCAACTTTTCACACAACGATCTCCCTCTTTTCCCATCCTTTTCCCCTCTTTTCCCATCCTTTTCCCCTTCCGTTTATCACATGGAGACGCAGAAAACACAGCTTTTTATCAGCGAAGCATAGATTTCAACATTTGAAAACATTGTCATAGCAAACGTTTTGTAGTCTTGATATTGGTTTTTACTCTTTATTTATTAGTTTTAGAGTTTGAGAGTTTCATCACACTTTCAAGAGAGCTTTACTAGCTGAATATCGTCTAGTGGATTACTAGACGATATTCAGCTAGTAAAGCTATTAATTATAAGCTATTAAATATTTAATTGCCTTTCATTTCATTTCATTCAACCCTCACTCTTTTCATAACACCCAACCTTCTCCCCTCGTTATCATTTCCATTTCTACCTTTCCAAAAAAATCAAAACTTTTTCGATTTCGATTTCAAAATTTATTTCAAAACATTAACTGATGATTCACCCACAGAGTGTTGTTTTTGCTCCTTTTTTGCGGAGATTTCCTTCCCACATATAGAGCTTTTGTTGTGCAATCGATTGCCAATTTGAAAATTTGAAAAGTTTTTCACAAACCTTTCTTTCGATATTTTCTGTTTGTTTTTTTTTTTTGATTTGTTTATAACTTTTTAGAAGTTTTTGGTTTGTTAAAAAATGACTTCGGAAACGCTTGAGGCAACGAGATTGTGTGAGTGAAAATGGGATTTTTTCTTCTCATCAAAAATCTTAGTTCAACACTTCGCGAAAATCGAGATGAGCGAAGAGATCGAGAAATTGAAAGAAGAGATCAAATTGATGAATGAAGATCGGGTAAAGATCGTTTTTGAAATCGAATTACAACTTGAAAAAGGATTCCTTTGAAATCCGGGTAAATTGCAGATGAATTTGGAAACTCTGCTAGAAGATGAGCTGCCCGATTACAGTGAAAAGGTGAGTGTTGGTTGTCGAGATTTATTGGAGATTTTCATGTCGATAAAGTCGATATTCATTTGAGATTTTCATAGAACGAACTCCACGTGAAGAAAGACATCTTCAAACTTGAGCATAAATTGCGAAAGTTGCGGAAAAAGTACCCGAGAATGTTCGTCGGTGAAAACATGATCGATGGTGAGTTTTGCGCAAAAATTTTCGATGCTAATTTTTGTGATTCTGCAATAGTTACCGTAAATACTGTAACCCCAGCCCCATGGGGTTACAGTATTTACGCAACACTCCGCACCATAATGACGGTGCGGAGTGTTGCGTAGTCTAACTTTGGACACGTTTTTCTCGACACTGGTTTATGCTACAATGCGCGCTTAGGTATCAAAAATAGCCCTGAGTTCCAGCTATTTTTTGACACCAAAGATGCATTTTTTGAAAGTACGGGCGCTTTGAAAAAAATGAAATACCAAAAAAACTTTTGCGACTACCCGACTGTACGAGGGGGCTGGGGTACTATTACAGTATTTACGGTAAGAAATATGATTGTAGCATGAACCAGTGTCGTAGCATAAACCATTATAGCATAAATCATTATAGCATAAACCAGTGTCGAGAAAAACGTGTCCAAAGCTAGACTACGCAACACTCCGCACCGTCATTATGGGCGTGGGGTACTATTACAGTATTTACGGTATGTTTTTGTTGCTAGCTTAAGCGATAACGACAAAAAAAAAGACAAAAAGAATCTGCGTTCTTTCCATTTAAAAACTTGCATCATTTGCGCAATATTTCCATAAAGTTTAAGTTTTAAAAGCGAACTTCAAAACACGTAGAATTAAAGCCTGACTTTTGAAAGTTATTGAAGCACAAGTTTATTGAAAAATCCATTCAAATAAATTCTCATTTATCACTTCGATTGATCATTAACTTACAATTAACAACAAAGTAACTCGACAAATTATCATTATGCAAATTTTGGATATATTGCAAATGATACAAAGATTCTTTTTGGTGTTTTTGAAATGAAAATCTGGTGGATCTTTAACGCAAATGTAGAAATGTTTCCTTTAGCAGAAGAAGAAGAAGAAGAAGAAGAAGAAGAAGAAGAGAAAGGGTGCTGTTCATCATCGGATAATGTACCCTGTGAATGGCAATGTGTTCGGGTAACATGTCAAACATTGAATGCATCTGGAGAGATGAGGTAAAAGCATAAACACAAAAAAAAAAATCCCATGCACAATACGATTTACTTTACGCTGATTAGCGTTTATCCCTTTCTTTTTGCCTTTTTCTAAAACGTGGAATATTATATACTGTAAATACAATGCTAATGCTAAAAATAGTGAGAATAATTTTTTAAAATCTTTCATCCCTTTGCAAATAGGTCGAATTTGGACCAAGATATACGAAAAACAAACTTCGGAAAACCAACGTTAAAAGATTTTTGTTCATGACTGTCCTCTAATAAAGCATAAAGCAAAGCGGAGAATGAGACGTTTGAAAGTTAGACTACGCGTCTGTACGCTTCTCATTATGACGTTTAGAGTATTTACGGTTGATAATATGTATGATATTGTTTAGATGTAAATCCTGCGCTCTTCCAAGTCTTTTCATCGCCGCCGACGAGCAAAAACGTTGCTCTTGTCAGCGGTGTTTTCAAGGTTTGATAAATCTATGAATCACTTATACCTACCGTAAATACTGTAATAGTACCCCATCGCCATAATGACGGTGCGGAGTGTTGCGTAGTCTGGCTTTGAACGAGTTTTTCTCGACGCCGGTTTATGCTACAATGCGCGCTTAAGGAGCAAAAAATAGCCCTGAATTCCAGTTATTTTTTGATACCAAAGACGCATTTTTTGGAAGTACGGGTGCTTTGAAAAAAATGAAATACTAAAAAACTTTTGCGACTACGCGACTGTACGAGAGGGGTGGGGTACTATTACAGTGTTTACGGTACCATAAATACTGTAATAGGACCCACCCCCATAATGACGGTGCGGAGTGTTGCGTAGTATAGCTTTGGACGCGTTTTTCTCGACACTGGTTTATGCTACAATACGCGCTTTTAGGTATCAAAAAATAGCTGAAATTCAAGGCTATTTTTTGATACCAAAGACGCATTTTTTGAAAGTACGGGTGCTTTGCAAAAAATGAAATACTAAGAAACTTTTGCGACTACGCCACTGTACGAGGGTACTATTACAGTATTTACGGTATTACATTTACAATCGATTTAATTATTAAAGAAAACTTTTAAAATCTATCCAAATCAAATTCAGATCGTTTTGTGATGAATCTCACAATAAAACCGGCTTCAGAAGATGATGATTGGTTGATTATTAAGCGATCAGATACTTTTTGAAAAATTTAATCATATTGAATTAATAAATATTTATCGAATTGATCATAAAATGAATTTAAAAGAAAATTTAAGATTTAGAATCTAGAAAATTTAGAAAAATAGAATTTAGAATAAAATCTTGAACTCAAAAGGGAAAACGTAACAAAAACGTAAAATTTGTTAAAATGTTATGATTTTCTTTCATTTGTTATATTGATTGAATTGCATTGATTACATTGACTAGATTACATTGCCTCTAGATGACTCTAGATGGCTCTAGATGACTCTAGATGGCTCTAGATGACTCTAGATGGCTCTAGACTCTAAATTACATTGAATGACTGAATATCGATTGTTTCTTATCGCTTTGAGGCTTGGAAAGAGGGGATGTATAGGGGGAAAAAGAGTCATATCTTTACATAAATGATTCACCCCTTCACCCCCTCAGCCCCCCTCTTTCACATTTCCCGGAGCTTTTCCAAGGGAAATCTGTAGCTCTGATATCAAAAATTTTATTTAATATTGATTTTCTGCATAATTTGAATGAATTATTTTTGAAAATCGGTCTTTATTTTTCATTTGATTTTTCAAAGATTTAAATCACAAATCGGGGGTGGAACAAATGCGACCTTTTTTTGCTGGAAAAGGCCTTAGGAAAGGTCGTAGAGCTTCAAAAATGTTTTCATAGAAGGGAATCGTATGCGTAGATTCCGAATTTCGACAAATCAGACCTCGCTGACACGTCAAATTTGGGTTAAAAGGCAAAAACTACGCAACTTAACGCTTTTCCGCAGTTTTTACCTTTTAGCCCAAATTTGACGTGTCAGCGAGGTTCGATTTGTCGAAATTCGGAATCTACGCATACGATTCCCTTATTTGGAAACGTTTTTGAAGCTCTACGACCTTGCCTAAGGCCTTTTCCAGCAAAAAAAAAGCGCGCAAATGTCCAGGTGCGCAAAAAAAAGGTCGCATTTGTCCCACCCCCCACAAATCAGAAACATTTTCCATTTCATTTAAACTTTAAATCGTTTTCAAAAAGTCCTTCTTTCCAATTCCTCTATTTTCTTTCTTTTTTTTTCTTTTCTTCTATTGTTCTGACGATTGTTTGTTTGTTTGTTTGTTTGTTTTTTTCGTTTCTCGTTTTCTTTTTCTTTTTCTTTTACAGACAGTTTCCTTTTGAGGTCGATTTACTTGAACTAAAAAAGATTTAAAAAATATGCTAGAACTATTCCAATTGATTAGTCCATAATCTTTAAAGATAAATTTAGTTTTTGATTTATACTAAAAACCTGTACCTATTTTCGTAGCTTCTACGATCTGCCGGATCCATTTCGTCAATTAGTTTTCTTTCTATCCCCTCCATGTATGCTGTCAACTTTTCGATCTTCTTCTGGTGATTGAACAAAAGTTGCGATGCTGCCTTCAAATCGTCTCAACCATGTCGAAAACTTTTGTTCCACTTTTGAGTTTCGAACATGTTGTGCACAACTTGTTCACCACGCTCCTCCTAGGCTAGGTATGGACGATGATGTGAAAAAATTATCGAACCACTCGGCTGCTACCATTTAATGTTTTTGGTTTTTATTTAGGTTTGAAAAGCTAAAGGATTGAGTTGATAGTTTCTTGAAACACCAGCGAAAAACGTTCGTTTATTACTGGGGAGGTCCACGTTTTCCGCGCAATCTAAGCCCCGCCTCTTTTGCCAATGGCTGCGCACCGACGGACAGAAGTCTCTTCTGCTTCATATATAGTAGATTACTTTTTAGAAACCCAAAAGAGTTGGAAATTGGGACTCGAACGCTGATACCGATTTTTTTTTCAAACGTTTCTGAAAACGTAAACTCTAGGTGATCTGCAAAAAGAGGAAAAAGCCGAGCTGGAGGAGAAGATTTTCACGTTGGAGAAAGAGTCGAGAAAGAAAGAAAAAGCTCAACCCGAGATGCAGAAAACTTTGATGGAAAACAATTTGAAACAAAAGTTGTCAATTGCTGAAGAAGAGATTATCAGAAACGTTTACAGAAGAAAATTACACAATGATCGAATGTTTTGTCTGTAGGCTGAGCGTTTTGTCAAAATGGAACGAGATCGAGATGATGAGAGGAAAAAGACGGGAGAGCATTTTAAACAAATCAAAGCTTTGATTGCGGAGAAAGAGCTGAAGATTGAAGGAAACGTTCAAAAAAAATGAAGAAGTGAGCTGGAAATAGGGCAGATCAAAAACACGTGCACCACCGGGACTCGAACCCGTGACCTCTCGCTTACCGGGCAACTGTGCAACCATTACACTACGACTCATCTGATCTTCTTTGCTCTAGAGGGAGTTAACCTCCCTCCTCTCTGGACGAGTCTCGCCTGAGGTGCGCTCGAAACTAGATGCCTTAGCCAGCATTGCAGCCCATCCTTCGTGGTCGCCAGTTGAAACTAGGGCAGGACCAGAGACCCAAGACCTTTCCCTTACCGGGCAACTGTGCTAACCATTACACCAGAACGCACTTGATTCCCTTACTCCAGAGGGAGTTAACTAAAGGAAACCAATAAAACACGAGAAAACGTGAATTTAGTATGAATGAACACAAATAACTAAAACTAAACGAGAAAGAAACGGGTGAATTACATAAAAATGATTGAGGGTCGAGCTTTTCTCAAAAGATGATAATGTTTCCAATCGTCGAGCCCTCTCCTCATTTTCTATTGGGGTGGGGTGGAGAGACTCCCCCTTTCTGCCATCGAAATAAAATCAAAATAAAAAGAATTACACGAGAATTCCCTATTTCACTATAATGCCTTTGCTGAAGACTTAACTCAATGAAACACTTATAAAAATGATTGTTAGATAAATCAACCTAAAATTTGCATTTTAATAAAATCAAATCTCACCTACATTAATTGAATGTTTAAAATATGTAAAGTATCAGGTACAGTAAAGGATAAAACTTTATAAGAAATTTATAAAGGATAAAACTTTATAAGAAATTTAAAAAGTAAAGGGTAAAACTACAATTATTTAAAATAAAAATTAAATTAAATTTAAGAATTTTAAATAAATAAAAGTAAAAATAAATTTTAATTATTAAATAAAGTAAAACATTTATAAGAAATCTATCATGACATTATAAAAAAGAGCATATGTTAATAGAAATTTTTTTTAAATGAGAATCAACCGTGAAAAATTTTCTAAAGTAAAGGAGATGCAGAAAAAAAGAAAAAAAAGACGCCTAGCAGTAGAAATTTTGTATTTTGAGCTTTAAAACCCTTTAAAATGCTAATCTAAAACCCATTTTTCGAGTCAAAATTTATCAAATTGAGTTAAAGTTGAAAAAAAGTCGAGTCAGAGCTTTTGACGAGTCGAATTCGAGTATTCAGCTGGTGTTGGCTGTCGAATTCAGCTGGTGTTGGCGAAATTGAAGTATTCCCTGGCATTTTCCACTGTACACTCAAAGCAAAAGGAAGTAGAATAGTTTAAAATGTTTTTGCTTTATCAAACCAACCAACCCCAATCGCATCCCTTGAATCCATGATGCCCCCATCACGACACTCGACAGTCCCCCGCAGGCCTTTGCCTGTTCCCTTCCCCTTCCCCATCCTCTTCCCCTTCCCCTTCCCCTCCCTCTTCCCCTTCCCCTTCCCCTCCCCCCTCCCCTTCCCCTTCCATCGAAACTCTTCCGAACTTCCCTTCAGTCTCTCTCTTTCCATTCCTGCAACAATGAATATTTGCTTTTGTGTTTTATCCACTTCTGGGAAAGAGGCGGTTTCTTCTTTGAGCCTTGAGCATTTTCGCTTTGAATATCTGTTTAAATTCTTTTTTGCTTTCATTTTTCCCTCATCTAAATCTTCCTTACATTAAATCAAATTAAAAAAATAAAAAGAAGAACCTAGAAAACCCGAATTTACTCAAATGTCAATCGATCAAGAGATCGACAATATTCGCAAGGCACTTGAAGATGTTCATCGGGTTAGTTTAGTGAGATTACTGCGAGTACTGTCATTTTCTAGTAAGCTGGCCTAGATTTGTGACTTGATCTTTATAGATATTGATACAGTAACTTTTAAGGGCTACGGTAGCCGATTCGGGCTTTAAAGTACCAACTCAAGAAAGCAAAAATTTTCAAATCTTATTTCTAGACGCTCTCTTATGTGAACAATGGTACAGATGACGCGTTGCTAACTCTCAATAAAACTCTTCAACAATTCGAGGATCGTTTATTCAGTGTTGTTGAGGATATTACGGCAATTGGGCAACAAGTTGTCACGGTTACAAAAGAGGTAAGTTTTAAGTTGTGATATGGAAATTTTAAAGTATCTGTTTGTAAGGATCATGAGTTAGATTTTGATTGATTGTTGATCTAACCAATTAAAAGAATCTCAATCAAAAGCAAACCATGCAATTTTAAAGTATCTGTTTGTAAGGATCAGATCAGATCAACCAATTAAAAGAATTTCAACCAAAAAAAACCAGCTTTTATTTTCAGTTTCCCCATTCATATGTCTACATGTCACTTTTCTTGGTTTTAATGCTTCTGCTTTGGTTATTGATCGTTTACATGGGATTCACCGCTCATTCGCATTATAAAGAAGTTCGAATTGTAATGCGAAAGCTCCGAAATGAGTACTATCGAAAGAAATATGATCCCGTCGATCAACGCCGGGACATTGATGATTTCTTTCCGGAAACACTCATTGCCATGGTGAGTAGAAAGAGATTTAAAGTTAAATAATACCCAAATGACATATTTAGAGTCATTTTTCTTAGTTACCAGGGTCTAAAAGCATTTTTCTCCAGGTCAGTAGCCATCTTTGTCTACTCTCCTTTGACTTTACTAAGTAAAAACTCTGAAAACAAAAATTAGACCAAAAGCTGGCCTAAACCCGGTTTAAACATCTCTACAAAGCGCAAGAAAAAAAGCTGATTCTAAAGCTTGATAATACGCTTTGTAGAGTAATCATTTCGCCATTTTAGGGTGAATCGCCGCCACCTAGCTACGAGTCGAAAATCTCGAGTGGATACAGTGAGGAAATGAATGAGGAAATAGCACCGATGATTGTTTCGGATCACTAAAAATGTATAGCAAAAATTTACTGTTTTCATTTGATTCAATCCTTTTTTTTGTTTTGCTCAATTTTCAAATGCCATACTTTTCTACGGGTTTTCCATTTGTCCTTTTTGATCTCAACTTGAGAAATTTCTGAGAAATTTCGAAAATTAAACATTACCATCTGAGTGAATTTGGAATTTCATAAAAATCTCGTTCTTCTTGATCTTGAATCTTCTTTTAATGATACCTTTATCAAATCGCACTCAAAAAAAACAAGAAAAAACAAAAATTTGCTTTCGTGAAGCATTCAAAAGGTGCCAATTTAGCTCAGAAAATTTAGTAGAGAATATTTTTAAAGCTGAATTATTCTTTATCAATTTTTTCCTAAAAAAATTTTCTAGATCCACTTTTTCTAGGGTTTTTGATATGCTAAACCTGAATTTTGATATTTCATAAGCTAAAACCTGATTTTTGCCGGCGGAAAGGCTTTCCTTTCGCCATCCCAAAAGTCAGCTCGTAGCCTAGTGGTTAGTGTGCCTGCGTTCTTCTTTTTGACAAAATTGACAAAATTGACTTGACTAAATTGACACCTTTATGAAATTGCACTAAAAAAACCAAAATTTGCTTCCGTGAAGCATTCAAAAGGTGTCAATTTAGCTCAGAAAATTTAGTAGAGAATATTTTTAAAGCTCAATTGTTCTTTATCAATTTTTCCCTAAAAAAATTTTCTAGTTTCGTTTTTTCTAGGGTTTTTGATATGCTAAACCTGAACTTTGATATTTCATAAGCTAAAATCTGGTTTCCGCAACTAAAAATTGAGTTGCTTGCTTGATTTTGATAGAGTGACTTGAGAGGGTTTTCCTCAAAAATGGCGATGATGTTTGGTGTGTCTTTTCATCTTCAAATCACGATTTGGTGTCTCTCCTCACCGTCAAACTTTGCCAAATTGTTTTTTTACGCAATTATTGTATTAAAATACAATAATAAACGATTTTTCGATAAAAAATTGAAAAAAAAGGAAAAAGAAAATTTTTTTACTAAAAATCATCATGTGGGGGACCACATGAACATAAAAAAAAAACAAAATTTCTAAAAATTTTTCCTTAAAACTCAAAACCCGGCTTTGAGATGTCGATTTTCGTAATCTACGCCTAAAATTACCATAGAAATGTAATTTTTGAGGGGTAAAACTCTACTCTTAACTAGATAATTGAAAATCACAAATCAGAAATCAAATTTAGAAAAGTTTATTCACAAACAGCAAAATCGGAAATTTAATTTTTCATTTCTTTTGAAAAACTTTGATTTCATTAGTCGCAATTTTGATCAAAAGTCACGAGGAGATTTCTTTTTTTGACCATTTTGTTCTTTTCCAATAATTTTGATCATTTTGCTATCATTTATCTAAGCTTTTGTTGATTTTTCAAGGCTTTTCAAGGTTTTTCAAGGCTTTTCAAGGTTTTCCAGGGCTTTTCAAGGTTTTTCAAGGCTTTTCGAGGGTTTCAAAATGGAAGACATCGTTTTGCTCATGCTTTTTGAGGCGGTCATTGGTGAGATTCGTTTAAATTTTTAAAAAAAACATTTGCACAGTTACTTTAAATTACGAGAAAAGATACTTGTTTAAAAAGTGATCTTTAAGCCTCAATTGTGGTGATTGTGAACTCATTGATGGTGTTTATTATACTGAAAAACTCCGTTCTTCGACATGACGTTTCACTCTCGATCTTGCTGTATTTGCTTATTTCAGGTACAGTAAAGAATGGTAAAGAAAGATTTCCGGAGAGGGGATTGAACCCTCGACTTTTTCGTTTCCAAGTAGATGCTCTAACCATTTAGCTATCCGATATCTTCTCGTCAGAGAAAAGAGGAAATACAAGGGGAGAAGAGAAAGGAAGAGAGAGAGAAAGTGAAGGAAATCTGTAGAGAAAAGGAACCAAATCTGTAGAGAAAAGGAACCAAATCTGTAGAGAAAAGGAAACAAATCTATAGGGTAAAGGAAACAAATCTATAGGGTAAAGGAACCAAATCTATAGAGAAAAGGAAACAAATCTATAGGGTAAAGGAAACAAATCTAGAGGGTAAAGGAACCAAATCTATAGAGAAAAGGAAACAAATCTATAGGGTAAAGGAAACAAATCTAGAGGGTAAAGGAAACAAATCTATAGGGTAAAGGAACCAAATCTATAGAGAAAAGGAAACAAATCTGTAGAGAAAAGGAAACAAATCTATAGGGTAAAAGAAACAAATCTAGAGGGTAAAGGAAACAAATCTATAGGGTAAAGGAAACAAATCTATAGAGAAAAGGAAACAAATCTGTAGAGAAAAGGAAACAAATCTTTAAAGAAAAGGAAACAAATCTGTAAACTAAATGTTTTCTTTTTTAAACCATCGTTTCAAAAGGAACATAAAGCAAAGCTTCAGTAAGCAAAGCGTTTACTAAAGCAAAGCTTTAGTAAACGAAAATCGAATTGCTTAATGGATTACTGTAATATTCATTCAACTTTAGAAGGCCTTTTCTCTTTGTTTATGATTGTCGCTTGTGCTTATCAGATTCCGATAATCATCATGGGAAAGGGTAAGGATCTATTATAGTGATTTACTAATGGTATAGTGATCAACCAATGACACTATTCTTAAAAACTCAACAGACAAAAACCCCCCCAATTTCAGCTTCAACGCAAACCACCCAATCGTGGTGTCTTTTCTTGATTTTTCCTCCATGTTTCACGTTCATTCGTTTCTTTTTCCCTTTCTGTAACGCATTTGTTTCATTGGAGAAATTGCTGATGATTTTGTGGCCAACATTTCATAGAAGAATCACTCATTTGCACATTCACAAAGCAATGCTAGGTAAAGAACATTTTGAATAATAAAGAAAGCTTTACTTTACTTATAGCTTTACTGTAAATGAGTAATTGAACTGACTTAGAGGAAATCTTAGAGGTTTTAGGTCAACTCTTTATGATCTCATCGATTATGATTGTTTTGATAATCTATTGGAGTCAAGTGAACGATGTGGAAACTTCAATTGTAAGTTGAATTGTTCAATGGATTCGTTCACATTCTGTTCACTGAACTACTAATTCTTAAATCTAGCTTTGTTCAAGTGGTGCTTATCCGTCATTGATCAATCGAGTCGAGGGTACGATGAATATCACGATTTCCTCGTTTGCAATGCTTTTCTACATACCTGTGCTTTTTCAAATTAAGAAAGTGAGTTTACAAATGTAAACGTAACTTTAATTTCAAACCGTGCTTTGTTTCAAGAATCGTTCAAGGTTTTCCACGAGTTGGGTTTATATTATCAGCTATATTTTGATTATAAGTTAACTTATAATCAAAATTGGCTTTACTAGTCCGTTCAATATTGTCATATAAACTTATTTTAAAGATTTCTTAAGATCTATAACTTATCCAAGAGCTACCGTGTGCTAAAATGCGTATCTTTACTTGAAAATCTAATTCAAATTCGGTTCTTTTCTTAAAGCTCTTTTTATTAGAAAGAAAGTTCTCGGAAAAAAACGTTTAATTGGAATTTCTTAAAAACGAATCCATAAATTCGAGAACATTCATTTTGTTCTATCATTTACAAGTCGACTCCAAGAAATTAATTGTAAAAAAAACGAGTGCAGCTTCCCCTTAAAATTTTATAGATTTTTGAAGAATGATTATTTTTCCAGCTTAAATTCAGCTCACTTTTTGGAGCAAAAAAAACGATTTCTTATGAAATAAAGCTATAAAAAGCAATACGCCCTATAATCTATAAACTCTATTTTTAGCCAAAAATTTTTTTACAGAGAAGCTGTATTTCAAAAGCTAATTTTTTGAAGTCACCTTCTTGGCACTGAGTGCTTTTTGCTAAACTAGTTGAGTCTGAAAAGTTAAAGCATTAAATCAAATTTGCCTTTATCACAAATTTTCCCTATTTTAAGTATACTTGATTTTAGGTTTGTGAATGGGATCCATTCCCTATCCATTAACCCATTAAAATCTTACCTAAAGGCTGGTCACTCAAAAAGGGACCAAGTCATAGGCTACCTTAAGAGAGTCATAGTTACTCCCGCCGTTTACCCGCGCTTACGTGAATTTCTTCACGTTAACATTCAGAGCACTGGGCAGAAATCAGAGACAGTCAACGTCCGCAAAGACCATCTGTCTCCTCTGTTTTAATTAGACAGTCGGATTCCCCGTGTCCGTACCAGTTCTAAGTCGACTGTTTCACGCCGGCCGAAGCACACAGCCCGAAGACCATGCACGCAGCCGCGGCAGTCCACGGGACAGTCCCGACACGAGGCCAAGCTCCACAAAAGCGTCACCCAGTCACTTCAGCTGAAGAAATCTCTTATTTTTTTTATCTGAAGCTCACTGATTTTTGTCATAAGCTCTTTAAAATATAGTCAAGTTTATCAAAAAAAAAAATGTGGGAAGAATTGATGGTTTTTGGTTTTTGAGAAATCACCGTGCAAACTTTTTTCAAGAACTTTCTTTCCAACCTAATACATAGAGTTTAAATTATACATAAAGCTTTCCATAGAGGTTAAACTAGAGATTATCCACCCGTTTACTGTTGTCATAATTCATTGTTTCATCATTGTTTCATAAAAAAAGTCGAATTCAAGTTCGTCGATCAATCTCATTCCGTGGAGTGCAAACGAACCCAGGCCTATTATTTGAGTTTTGTGCAAGCCGCCAAGTGGACAAGTAAGCAATTCTTTTAAAAACAACAAAACCAGAGAAATTCCTAGCTCTAATCATTTTATCAATGATCGTTTTCAATTTGTTACCGGATATTTGCAAAGTTTTACAGGTAAACGTAAAAATTTCTTTTTAATTCTTTAAAGCTTTCAATTTTTAGCTTGATATCTATCGTGGTTACGAGTTTTGCTTTTATCTTTTAATCTCGGCGAAGCCTTTATTCAATACATTCGTGATCGGGATGGGAAATCGAGATGTGCAGCTAAATATTCGGCGATTTTTCTGCAAAACTCGAATGAGACAAAAGTCGATTGCTTGGGAAATCGGGAAATGAAAAAGGTTCTTTTTGGTTCAACAAAAGTAAACCTTTTTCAATTTAAAATGATTTTTTAATAGTATCAAACTCAGCCTGATCGGATTGTGTGTTTTGGGATGAAACGGTAAAAAAAGAAGCTATGTTGTATGTAGGAAATGAAAAAGGTTCTTTTTGACTCACTAAACCTGTTCAATCTAAAGAGATTATTTTAATAGTATCAAACGTTTTTTCGCAAAAGCAGCTCAGTGTTCTTGTTTGAAAGTTTTTCACACTTGTTATTAGAATATTAGAAATTGGTTGGTTATTGCTACAAAAAGTGTGCTCGAGCTAGGTTATTCCCATGAAATTTTCTCAAGAAATCAGCGACAAAAATGTTTTTTTTTAATTAGTGTGTGGAATTTAGTTATTTCTGATTTCTTGAAAACTTCATGGAAATTGCTAGCTCGAGCATTCTTAACGAGAAATTAGCTGAGAATTTTCGAAAGGTTTTGAAATGTATTTTTTAATTTTTCTGTTTAACTTGATTAAAGTTTTTATTTGAAGTTTTTATTTAAAGTTTTTATTTAAAGTTTTTATTTAAAGTATGAGTGACCCAATGGAAGAGATCATTCTCAGCATGATATTGGAGGCGATCATTGGTAAATATTATTCGAAAATTTGTTAACTTTCAAAAGTATCTCTTTAGCTTCAAAAGCTATCGTATCTCTTCAGTTTTAAATGCATTCGAATGAAATCGAGAAATCAATTTCCAGCCTCAACGGTTGTCATTGTGAACACTGTGACGATGGTGATCATCTTGAAAGATTCGAATCTCCGAGAAGATCTCTCAATCTCTTTATTGTTCTATCTACTATTATCCGGTAAATTAAGGATAAAGTACATGCCGTAAATACTGTAATAGTACCCCACCCCCTCGTACAGTCGCGTAGTCGCAAAAGTTTTTTTAGTATTTCATTTTTTTCAAAGCGCCCGTACTTTCAAAAAATGCGTCTTTGGTATCAAAAAATAGCTGAAATTCAGGGCTATTTTTTGATGCCTAAGCGCGCATTGTAGCATAAACCAGTGTCGAGAAAAACGTGTCCAAAGTTAGACTACGCAACACTCCGCACCCTTATTATGGGGGTGGCGTACTATTACAGTATTTACGGTAATTATAGAGTACATAATTCAACAAACAAACAAAACAAATACACAATCCCTATTGCCCTAATATCCCTAAAGATGCTGCAGAGAATGTATGAGAAAAAGAGCGAAATTTTCCGGCCGCTGGGATCGAACCCGTGACCTCTCGACTAGGATACAAGACTCCTAACCATTCGACCATGACGGCTAAAGAGTCCTGCTTATAAAAACAATTCAGAAGGGATCTTCTCTGGTTTAATGGTGGCCGCATGTGGGTATCAGATCAATGTTTATGCGACAGGAAGGGGTAAGTACATTAGATGAGAAAACCAAAAGTTCGATCAGATGCCGAAGAGCAGCCCCGATCGTGGTGTCTCTATCTGATCTTTCCTCCACTTTTCTCATCAATTCGTTTCTTTTATCCATTCTGCAATGCATTCATCGCTTTGGAGAAATTGCTTGTGATTGCGGCGCCGAGTTTCCATCGTCGACTCACCTATGTGACTGTTCATCGCATATATTTGAGTAGGTAAAAAAAGAAATGGAAAGCTCAATCAATAGTTTTCAGTTTTAACGGCTCTCTTGGCTATCTTGATGACAGGTTTCATTATCTATTGGAGTCGAGTAAACGATGTGAAATCGTCGATTGTAAGCCTTGTTCGTAAACTTAAAGAAGGCGTCAGAATTGAGGCCGATTAAAACAAAATTATCGGCAAATGAGTGTAGTAAAATAAGTTTTTGATGAAGTAGACTAAAGTAAATCGTTTTATCGGTTTATCAATCATTTATCAAGGATTAAAAGATTAAAGATCAGCTTTTCGGTTCAATCAATTAAATCAGTTTCAATCTTGAGTTTTTCAGCTAGTTTTGGTTTAACAGGGTCCACAATTTGTAGCAAAAAAATGGTCGAATTTCGGGCAAAAATTAATCCCAGAAATTTGGGCATAGACACGCCTCAGTGGACTTGAAAATGAATTCTTTTTGAAACGTCGGCCTCCAACAGGGAACCTCTATCTATCGGGGCTATGTGCCAGACGGCGAGCGATTACACAGCCGCACAAAGAACGCCTCGCCAATCATTTAGCCAATCATCCGAATTCTTTTTGAAAAGTCGGCCTCCAACAGGGAACCTCTATGTATCGAGGGTATTTGCCAGACGGCGAGCGATTACACGGCCGCACAAAGAACACCTCGCCAATCATTTAGAGGGACTTTTCTTTTGCATTGTAAATGATAAAAAAAGAAAATATTCACATCAAAACACATCCTATCTGGTGCACTTAATCTTGTTGAAAACTTCAATCAATCAAATTCCAAATTTCAGGTTTGCTCCAATTCCGGTTATCCGGATTTGGTTCATAAAAGCGAATCGATGGTGGTGATGGTTGTGCTGAGCTTTGGTTTCTTTTGTTATTTGCCCGTGCTTGCACAAATCAAAAAGGTATTGAATATAAAGATTTGAATGGATTACACTGTAATCTTCAAGTTCTAAGTTAAGTTTTAAGTTCTCTAAGTGAAAATTCAGTTCGTCGATCGATCCCGTTGCGAAAGCTCATCAAACAATCGGGCTTATTACGTGAAATTCGTCTCAGCAGTGAAATGGACGAGTCTGATTTTGTTGTCGATGTTGATCTTCAACCTTACGCCTGAGATTTGCAACTTTTTACAAGTACCGTCAAAGAAAAAATGACATTGAAATAATTGAAATTGCTAACATTTTAGCTTGACATCTATCGTGGTTACGAGTTCTATTTCTATCTTCTTTTTGCCGCAAAACCTTTATTTAACACGTTCGTGATCGGTTTCGGGAATCGTGATGTAAGGAGCCGAATTTCGAGACTTTTTTGCGCAAAGGAACGACGAAAGAAATCGATCAGCGCCTGGCCATCAGCACAATCGGCTCTTGGTCAAGAAAGGCGGAAAAGTTCAAAAGGAAATGATCCTCATTTTGTGAATAAATAAATTTCATTTGCATATATTTGCAAAATTTCAATCACAATTTAAACATGATAAAAATACAAAGACTGAAACATTGGGTAATTGAACCGAAAGTGTGCACGAAATGTCCTTTATCCTTTGCGCTATCTTCTTCTAGTCTCTCACACTATCAAGTTAAAAGGCAAAATCGATTAAAAAGGTTGATTCTTTGCAAATTTTCACATTCGGCAATTAGAGTGCTAAAAATTTTGCCTAAAAGAGCTGGTTTTTAAGAAATATGTGAAAGAAAATGGTTCTATCCAACCTCAAACAGCAAATACCAGCTTTAGAGTGCAACAATGACTGAAAAGGAATGAAAATATCTTTTTCTGAAAGTCAAAAGATATTTAATAAAGCACTTTAGTTGAAGTAGTACCGATTGATACATTTCTTCAAGCTAAAAACCAAGCTGAAAGCAAAAAAAAGAAACAATAAATGGAAAGTGATCAAATCTCGTATTGTATCATGTTTTAGAATAGCAAGAAATCAAGAAATTAGAATATCAAGAAATTAGATATCTTTTATAAGTACCTCTTAGTAATCTATTTTCCATAAGACACTAATTATCATAAATTACCGTAATCTACCATCAGTTTTTATCAAATCAACCCCAATTTTGGTGATTTCGAGTTTCGTAGCAAAAGTAAAATAATCGAAATTTATCTATAAGATTATTTTGTAGAAAATAAAATAATCTAAAAAATTCCTTGCTTTTCGCTTGCTTTTAATCATCTTTATTTTCCAATTTTAAACAAATTACCCTTAATTTAAGCCAATGCTTTGTTAGCATACCGTTAACAAAGCATTGGCCTAAATCTTGTTAGCGTACCGTTAACAAAGCATTGACCTAATTTTTGTTAGCATACCGTTAACAAAACATTGGCTTCTTTTGTTAGCGTGCCATTAACAAAGCATTGGCCTAAATCTTGTTAGCGTGCCATTAACAAAGCATTGGCCTAAATTTTGAAAGCATACCGTTAACAAAGCATTGGCCTAAATTTTGTTAGCGTACCGTTAACAAAACATTGGCTTCATTTGTTAGCGTGCCATTAACAAAGCATTGACCTAAATCTTGTTAGCGTGCCGTTAACAAAGCATTGACCTAATTTTTGTTAGCGTACCGTTAACAAATCATTTTTCATTTTTCAAATCATTCATGCTCAAATTTCGAATTGCAATTCGATCAAAATTTCTTTGAGATGAAAAAGATTTCATTATTTGAGAAATCTATAAATTAACCTATAGCCTCAAATTTTTTGACAGAAAAACTCATCTCAAACGTTTCTTTAGAAGGCTAATCTTTAGATTAGCCTTTCTTCGCTTTCTTCGCTCAAAATGCGATGCGTTTTCCCATTTCTATTAGCCATAATCTATCTTTAACAGTTAATAAATAAAAAAAAATAACTCTAAACTTCAAGTAATTTATTCGATTATCAAGTTTAACCCATATTAATATCAAAAAAAATTTCTGCTGATTCTGCTGACTTTAGCTTTAACTCAGCTTTAGATTAGCCTGATTTGCGTTTCTTTTTAGTGATTGTTTTAGTGATTTTAGTGATTTTAGTGATTGATCATTTAGTGACAATCATTTTCCAGCTTCAGCTTCAGCTTCACTCATTTACTCTAATTTGATTCTGTTCTGTGCTCTTTGTTGAATCCGGATCGGTTGGCGGATCAACGGGATCTGATGCAACTTCTTGTACTTGAGCCTCGTCAGCTTTTTCAAGTTGTTATTCATATTTATTGGATTCATAAAATCCATCAACGATCATAAAATCTCAAAAAAATGTTTATTCTTTAAAAATCTTTAAAGAAAAATTTTTCTCTAGGTTGTTTAAGTTTAAATTTTTAAAAAAACCCTTCAGTTACTTATGTTCTGTGTTTTATTCGCTTTCCGAAGAATTTTTGGAAAGCCAATAAAACTGTCCTCAACAAGAGAAGAAAAAGAAGAAGAAAATGCAAAAAAAAAAAAAACTTCAGCTAGACCAAAAGCCGAATGTAAACGAGGAGGGTCCTCATCGTTAGACTTGAAATTCTCTTTCTTTCTTCACTCCTCCATTTCTCTTTTTTTTGCTCACTAATTCTTTTCCAAACATTTTTCTCTTTTTAAGATCTCTCACTTCGATTTTGGCATGTAAAAATCAACAACCTTCACATAAAAAAATATTTTTTTTTGAAATTTCAATTGGATAACTTTTAAAGCTAAAAGTTGTTTATGACTTTTTTTCCGTCAAGCAATTTATTCACTTCAATGCCAAAGAGAAATCCAAGAAATCCTCTAGAAATAGCCTTGACAGATCCAACGTCAACAACAAACGCATTATTCTTTACTTTTGAGCGCTTTCTATTTTGGGATTTTTGAGAAACGAGTTCTATTTTGGTTTGCAAAAGATCTCGTTTATCTTTTCTCGAAACTTACAAAAGATCTATACCGTATTCTCTCTAATAGTAGTCGACCCCGGCGAGCCGAGTTGATGACTATTTTACAGTTTCCAAGCTTTTGCAGAAGCTCAACACTCAAATCCCCCATAAGATCTCATCGTTAGCTACATTTTCCGACCTCACATAGGTTCTGATAAGCGGTTCTCGAGATTTCGAAGAACTTAGGCAACACTCAGGGTGGACTACTATTAGAGAGAATACGGTATATTATTCCAGGTGAGGCTAGTAGATCAGACTGATCTATTTCCCTAATATTTCCCGGTGAGCCGAGTTGATGACTATTTTACGGTTTCCAAGCTTTGCAGAAGCTCAACACTCAAATCCCCCACTAGATCTCATCGTTAGCTACATTTTCTGACCTCACATCGATAGGTTCTGATAAGCGGTTCTCGAGATTTCGAGCAATTTAGGCAAGACTCAGGGTGAACTACTATTAGAGAGAATACGGTATCTCTGTATTGTTTACTCTTTGAGCTCAAAACTCAAAACACTTTCTGGTGGACCGAATTCGTACCTTTTCTGCAGGTTATTGTTGAGTTCTTTTTTGGGCTAAAAAGCAAAAAAAACACTCAACGTTTAAGACTTTTTCAAGAGAATTTTCTTTTAAACAAAAGGGCAAAAGTCGGCGATTCTGGCACTAGGAAAGTTACCATTTTTGATGCTCAAAGCACTACAGTAAAGCTGAATAAAAAAAGCATTGAAGTGTTAAAAAAACTGATTGAGTGGTCAGCCACGGTGATCAGGTGAAACACAGTGATCAGCCAAAATTACGCAAAAGTCTTCATTTTTCATTCCTACAACTTTACTCAGCTTTACTTTACTAGCTTTACTCATATTTGGTGCTAACAATTGCCTTTAAATCTCAATTTTTTGTGGATCAATTTGCGGAATTGGGAATTCTCTTCAGCGTTTCTTCGGGGTCGTCGATTTCTCTCTTCTTTCCTCCCATTTTATCCCATTTTTCTCCCAAGGGACTCACTTATATTCGGCACAGATTTTTTTCGATAAAACAAAGCTTTTCAGGAGTTTCAATTTTTTTTCTTTAAAACTTTATAACTATTTAAATAAGAACAATGAGTACTTATCTCCACAAATACTCAACTTAATGCCTGGATAATTTTTCGACTCCAACACTTTACCATAGCTTTACCAGCTTTACCATAGCTTTACCCGCTTTACCATAGCTTTACCAGCTTTACCAGCTTTACCATAGCTTTACCAGCTTTACCATAGCTTTACCAGCTTTACCATAACGTTACCAGCTTTACCATAACTTTACCAGCTTTACCATAGCTTTACCCGCTTTACCATAGCTTTACCATAGCTTTGTACTCGAATTTTTCTTGAAAACACATGTTTTCCGGAAGTGAGCCGGCAATTTTTGGGTTGAGGCAAAAATAGAATCCCACATAGAATATGCGCTTGCAAAAATGATCAAAAGAGACGAAAAAAGGGCAAAAAGGGCAAAAAGAACAAAAAGTCGAAAAAAAATAGAGCGTAAAACGTGGGCATCAAAAATGGGTTGGGAAATAGAAAAAGCAAAAAAAATGGGAAGAAAATCTAAAGGATATGGGGGCAATGCATTTCAGGGAATCGGCTGAATGGCCCACTTCCGGTGGCCCCACATTGGGGAATTTGAAAAAAAACTTTTCAAAGTCTACTTCTTTTTTTTTCTACTTCATTTATTGAATTCGCTTTCAATTTCAACTACAATTCCTGTTCATTTATTGCCAAAATTTAGTTTGATTTCGATTTTGCAACAAAAGAGAAACTTCGCTTTAGAAGAGATCCAATTCTCAAGTTTTCACAGAATTTCTCGAATTTTTGATTGTGTTTGGGCTGAAATTAAGATTTTAGATCTAATCTAAGGTAAAATTTAACTTGTTAGCATAGTTAAATAGCAAAATTTCAATAAATTATTACTTCCGGTTCTGCAAAAATGAATGATGTAGGGTTTGGTTTGGTCACAAGTTGTTCATTTTTCTTTTTTCCCTTTTTTTCAACTTGTTTTCATGTTGTTGAAGCGTTCGGGTCACAAAAAAAAAAAAAAGAAAACTTGGATGTGCAATGGGAAAGAGAAAGAGGAAAAAGAGGGGAAAGGGGTCGACGGATGGCCATGAATGCATTGGGGAGAGGCTGGGGGAAGGTCCAAGCTCTAGTCCACTTTTACCCCTTTAAAATCCACCATTGCTTTCTTTGAAAAAGATTTCTTTCTAATCGTTTTCTTATTCAAATTATTTAAAAGATTTCTTTTAAGATCTTATTGTTAATGGCTAAAGGATTCGTTAATGAAAGTTTACTTATAGGAATCTCAAAAAATATTTTCAACACGTTTGCGTTTTTTGATTCTATTAGTCTCTTTTTTCCTTGCTCTCATCTATTCCATCTTAAGTTTGCTCAAAATCTTCATCCGCTGCTTCCCTCTTTTATTTTCAATAGTTTGCTTTCCTATTTTGCTGCGTTTCTTTGATCGACTCATCCACTATTTAAGCCGTACTTTGAAGTCTCACAAATAAACGCTTTCTGATGCACGCTAGCATTTCTGTGTTTTAATTATCTTTAACTCTTTTCTATGAATGAGAATATAAGAAAGAAAATAGTGGAAGTAAGCCAGAAAGTAAGCGTTTGTGAGTTCAAAGTCTAGCTAAGTTATTTTTTGCCAAAAACAAAAACAATTTGAGTTCGAAACAACTCAAAAACTGACTAATTTCTTTGAGATCTTCTTTCCTTTAAAATGCTGGCTTCATTTCTTTCTTCAACTTTTCTTTTCTTTTTAATTCAATATGGATTCTTGTAGGCTCTTTGTAAAATTAATCAAAGGACGGCTTTCCCTCAAAGTTTATTAGTTAAAGTCAACAGGTAAGCCTTTCTGGTAAACATTAATTTTTGAGAATTCTATTTTTTTTCATCAAACTGTTTGTCATGCAATGATATATGGGTTTTAATATGGATTCTTGTAGACTTTTTGTAAAATTGATCAAACGACGGCTTTCCCTCAAAGTTTATTAGTTAGAGTCAACAGGTAAACACTTTCTGGTAAACATTCATTTTTGAGGATTCTATTTTTTTCAGCCAGAAAGTAAGCGTTTGTGAGTTCAAAGTCTAGCTAAGTTATTTTCCCAAAAACAAAAACAGTTTGAGTTTGAAACAACTCAAAAACTCACTAATTTCTTCGAGATCTTCTTCCCTGTGAAATTCTTTTTTTTCCTTCTTTCCTGGCTTCATTTCTTTCTTCAACTTTTCTTTTCTTTTTAATTCCCTCGGGGTTTTTCGTCATTTCTCCTCTTTCCACTGCTCTTTTCCACTCTTTTTCCCTTTTCGAATTGCTTTCCTTTTCTTCTTTTAAAATTTTTTCATTGCTTTTCTTTTTATTTTCAAGATTTTCTTCATTTTTTTATTCTATGACTTTCCAAACTCAATAGACCACATCTTGAATTTGTTTTAAACCTGTAAGAAGAGATTTTAGATAGTATCTAATATTGTTATGTACTACGAAAAGAATACACCATAGAGAAACTTCACTTTTCAATTTTTGCTTTTATTTGTAAATTGGAGATTCTTTTTGAAAGTTCAAACTGATCGTTCTCCTTTTACATCTCTTTTAAACATCAAAATGGACTTCACAGAATGTTTTGATAACAAATTAGAGCTATCTAGAAGGCACAATAGTCTTCTGAAAACTTTTCAAAGCTTTGGCGTCATTTGAGGCATTCCATCTATTAGAAAAAACGATTGAAAAATCGAAATGGCTAGCAAGTTAAAGATATTGTCAACAAAACAAATGAAATCAACAAAAACAAACAATTCTTTAAATGTTGTGTCTTTTATTTTCTCAAATTCGAAGAAGAATCTCAAAGATCTAAGCGGAAACTTAAAACGAAAAGACATAGAAAAAGGGGGAAAAGATGGGCGAAGGGGATGGCGAGTCTCAGAAAGAAAATCAATCCCTCCGTTTTCTTTTCCTTTTTTATTTCTCGTGTCGTTTTGTGTTTTTCGTTTTGCTTTTTCCTTGATGTTGTTTCTAAAGAAAAGACGAATATCGCGTATTTCTTTTTTATTTTTATAAACTTTTAAAATATAATAGAATAGAATAGAATAGAAAATCGGAAAAAGACTGGAAAATATTCAATATCTGTAATAATATAGCTAAGCAATTCATACATTCTACACTACATTCTCAGATTCTAGACTCTAGATTCTAGACTCTAGATTCTAGACTCTAGTTTCTAGATTCTAGTTTCTAGACTCTAGTTTCTAGACTCTAGTTTCTAGACTCTAGTTTCTAGACTCTAGTTTCTAGATTCTAGACTCTAGACTCTAGTTTCTAGACTCTAGTTTCTGGACTCCAGATTCTAGACTCTAGTTTCTAGATTCTAGTTTCTAGACTCTAGAATCTAGACTCTAGATTCTAGATTCTAGTCTAGATTCTAGATCCCGATCCCCTTCCCATCACTCACAATATCTGCAACCACAACTCTTCGCCGTATTTCCGTATGATCAGCTGCCGAATTGACTCGTGATTTTTCTAGCAAAATCAAGTACAGGATATTTCTTATAGAGTACTAGGAATCAGGCACTATATCAATTCCAAGTTTTCTTAAAATTCTCTAGCAAAATCAGTAGTCATATTTTCAACTTTCTTTTTAGAAGATCATAAAAACTCTTGGACACTTGGAATTCTTGATTTTTCATTTATTACAACTTATTTTGCAATTGATTTATGAAAAGAAACTCTCAATTTTCATAAGAGCTAATTTTAAGTACTTCAAACTTCATCAAAACCTCCAAACTTATCTTTTTTCCAACTTTCAATTGCGATTTCCATATCGAACCTCGAAAATGATACTGTTAAAACTCGAGTTTCGATTATTTTGAACACTTTGAAATCTTGACTTATGTCAAAACTAAAAATTGTCTTTTTCGTTACTGACTTTGGCAAACTTTCAACTCACAGAGCCTAATCAACGACTTGAAATCGAAAAAAACTTTTCTGAACACTAGAAAGTTTGTTCATCAAGACCAAAACCTATCCAAGGCCAATCCACTTTTTCTTGTCTTTTCCTTGTCTTTTCCTTTATTTTCTTCACTTCAAAAGTGGCCACTCAAAGAAATTGGATGAAATTGAAGGTCCAAAAAAGGAAAGAAAAAGAAAATGGGAAGAAATTCGCCTCGAAAAAGGCGGCATCGATTTCACGTCGTTTTTCGCTTTTTTTTTGGAAACGATGGCCAGATGTGAGAATCTTTATAAGATTTGAAGAAAAGGGAAAAGAAGAAAAGGGACAAATTTTTTGTGTGCCCAATTTTGAATGGATTTTTAGCAATGATATATGGGTTTTAATATGGATTCTTGTAGGCTTTTTGTAAAATTGATCAAACGACGGCTTTCCCTCAAAGTTTATTAGTTAGAGTCAGCAGGTAAACCTTTCTGGTAAACATTCATTTTTGAGAATTATATTTTTTCTTCAAACTGTTATTCATAAAAAAATAAATAATAAGCGTTAGAAATAAAGAATCTCGTGCACCAGAAGGGTTGTGTTTCTAAGTTTGAGACAAGGATATCACAGCCAGATTCTAACGTAAAAGCATCTGCCTAGGGAATGTTGTTAACTTATCGTGGCTTTTTGACTCGGGAAATAGCCTATCTGATGAAGTTTTTCACGCTGATTCTGAATCTGCAATCAGTTTTTGCCAAACGCTTCTCTATCGCGAGATCGCTGACTGAAGACAGTGCGTTGCCCTCATAAAGAGACCCGAAAAGCTTGTGTGCCAATCTTGCGATAGAGAAGCATTTGGCAAAAACTGATTGTAGATTCGGAATCAGCGTGAAAAACTGCATCAGATAGGCTATTTTCCGAGTCAAAAGGCTATAAGTTAACAACATTCCCTAGTGAGTCTAAAATGTGCTTGATAGTGTGCAAATTTGGTTTAGAATTTTGGTTTTTTAGAACTGAAAGTTTGTTGTTGTTGTTGAAAGTTGAAAGTTCTAGGTTTAAGTGCATCAGAAACAAGTATATATTGTATGAGAAATAACTCTAAGTGCTTGCTTTTAAATTGTAAGCTTAGTTGACAGCTGATATCTGTTTCTCGATATTTCTTTTCTTTTTGTTCTTCTCCATTTTGACCTATCATGTGAGATGTTTTGAGAGAGAAAGAGAGAAACTCGAAATCTTGTTGTGTGATCTTTTTCGAAGATAGAATAGGAAGAGATCCCAGGCTCTTCTGCACTTTTCGCATTCAAAAAGATCCCCCAGAAAGGCCAAAAAGGAGAATCTCGCCAAAAAAAAATGGATGCCATTCTTCTTTGCACAAAAAAAAAGGAGAAGGACCCTTTCGGATAAACAACGAAAACTTCCGGTCAAATTTTTCGCAAAACTTGTTTTTCGCATTGTTAAACCTTAGCCATTTTCAGATCAAACTTTGTGTTTTTATTGTTTTGCTGTTTTTCTTTTCTTTAAATTCTAAGATTATTATGCAGTTTTTTTTTTGATTTTTGATCATTCCAATGTTTCCTGTTACTGATTTTTCTCATAAAATTTGCTAAAACTATTTTTTTTTACAAATTTTGACTATCATGAAAAGCTTTAGATGCCAATAAGAGACCGTCCGCGCACGATTCTCATTACTGGTGCCACTGACGGAGTCGGGAAACAGACAGCCGCCGATTTGGCGCAACATCCAGGTATCCAACTGTCAACAAAGCTTACAATTTAAAAGAAATCACTTGTAGTAGTGAAACAAGATTCTCTCTAATATTAGGCAAATAACGATGAAATTTCATAGATAACTTTGTGATCATTCACGGACGAACAAAAGAGAATTGTGAGAAGACGATTGATCAGATTCGACGTGAAGGAGCACGATATGATAATATTGATTATATTGCAATCGATTTCACATCTCTAGATTCGGTGAGATCAAAATCAGCTTGACGAAGATTAATCCAAAAATTACCACCGGTAGCTTTGGAGTAATAAAGAAAGAAGGTGCTTTTAAAAAAGAAAAAAAAAGAGCAATTAAAGGTTACCCAAATGATAATGTACAGTTTTTTTTACATTTACAATTGCAATACAATAGCTTACAATTTACATTTACAGTACAATAGATTACAATTCACATTTACAATACAATAGCTTACAATTTACCAGGTAGCCACTGGTGCAAATCAGCTTTCTTCGCGGTATCCCTCGTTGAATTGCGTTGTTTGCAATGCGGCCGTGCTTCAGCAAAGAAGACATGACACAATTGATGGATATGAGCACACGTTTCAAGTAAGAGAACAATGATAGATTGTAGAAATATAATAAAGTAACAAAACGGCGTTATAGCATACCATTTAGGTAAACTTTCTCGCGCATTTCGTCCTACTGAATCGCTTGCTACCAACGCTGGAGCAGAACTCGCCTGGTCGCATCATCGTCATCGGCAGCACTTTGCATTCATGGTTTGATTGAAAGATGAAAATCCGAAAACTTCTATTTGTCAGGACATCAATAGAGTGGACAGATCTACAAGCCGAGCAAGAATACGAGAAATATTTGCAATTCTCGCGATCGAAGCTGATGTGTCACTTGATGGCTTTCGCGTTGCATCGAAGAATGGCGTTGACCGGATTCAAGGTGGGATTTAACACGAAAACTTTTAAAAAAGCAGATAAAAAAGTCAAAATCAAGGTTCCATAGTATAATTCTGGCACTACGGTGGGTTGAACCCGGGTTCGTGTGAGCTGTAGACAAGCACGCTCCCGAGAAGCACGTAACAGAGACAAAGGCAAATGGGCTAGAAAATCCAGTCAGAAAAAGCTTAACGGCAGGTTTTTGTAGCCGAATTTTTTTAGAGCGGCAAAGGGTCTCTGTGGCCCAGTCAGGGGCGCGTTAGTCTGCCGGCCACACGACGCGAGTTCGACCCCCGATACTGCGACAACCATGACTTTTTTAAATTTTTTATTTACTTGAATGGTACAACTATATTATAATTTAAGTAGATACCATTTCTATCGTAAGCGTTGTATCATTGAGGTGTTTATGAGAAAAGACAGCTACTCGTGACTCTAATCAATGAGCAATCGATGAGCGTGACTCTAAATGAGCAACTTTAGCAACTGGCTTCTGGCTGACCTAGGACAAGGCTCGGCCAGAGGACCAGGCTTGACTCTGGATTGATAGGTAGATAGTTTTTGGTCCAGGTCACGTCAAAACGAGCAGGCTTTAATTTTAGAACATATGTCACATTTCCTATAAAATGTAAACATCCAAAATTTCAGGTGACAGTAAACGTGATGGATCTCGGACGAGAGAAACGCGAAACGAATAACAACTACAAATTGTGAGTGATTTTGAATTACTACCATTAATTCTATCGATTAGAGTTTTGAGGAGAATGCCGCGCTCAGCGTAAGCCATTTTTTTTTTTGAGCACAGAGTGATTGTAAAGATTGTAAACAAGAAAAAAAAAATACACGTTTACTAACTTTTTTTTCTGATTTCTTCACTTGGCACTTGATTAGAAATTTCAATTGATTAGAATCATCTATTAAATGTAAAATTTCAGTCGATGCGCCTCGGCATTGTCAACGTCGGAGTCAGTGTTTTCGGTTGGCCGGAGTGCTGGGGGATTAGTGCAGGTGAGGGGAAATTAGTAAGAATTCCTATGACATTGTAATACTTTCATCGCTCAGATGATCGAATCACCGGCGCTGGACACGTTATCCGGGAAATATCTTGATTGTCATGGGAAACAAATGAGGTAAATTTCATTATTTCAGCTAGTTTTTTTCTTTAAACAGAATGTGAAATTTGTAGCAAAAAGTATAGGCAAATTTGTGGCAAATATTGTTCCCAAAAATACTTTGAGCATACTAAGCATACCATTAAATTAATTGTAGATTGATCTTTTGATCTTTAAGCTCTAGCGGATTCTTGACGTTATCTGTGCTACCCATCTATTACATCTATTATATCGTATTGCTTTTTATCGGCCCTTTTCGTGTTATGTTTAATGAGTTTATGTGTATTAATCTTAACTCTAGAGCACTCTATTTCAGGTCCTGAATAAAGTATCTATAGATGCCGTATTCTCTCTAATAGTAGTGCACCCTAAGCTTCGTCGAAATTGTTCGAAATCTCGAGAACCGCTTATCAGAACCGCTTATCGCTTATCGATGTGAGGTCGGAAAATGTTGCTGACGATGAGATCTTGTGGGGGATTTGAGTGTTGAGCTTCTGGGAAAGCTTGGAAACTGTAAAATAGTGATCAACTCGGCTCACCGGGAAATATTAGGGAAATAGATGAGTCTGATCTACTAGCCTAACCTGGAATAATATACCGTCTTTTCTCGAATAGTAATGCACCATGAGCGTCGTCTAAGTTGCTCGATATCTCGAAAACCGCTTATCAGAACTCGGCTCGCCGAGGTGCACTACTATTAGAGAAAATACGGTATATATACTAACATTTATAGGTCTTTCATATATACTAACATCTTAGTATTGATTGTGAGTCCCACCAAGATCTTCTTTGGTTTTTTATTTATGTTAGATAAATTTATGCACAAAATTTAGAAAACTACTTAAAACGTAGAAAATCTTTATGTTTACATATCTTTATGTTTACCGTATTTTCTCTAATAGTAGTGCACCCCGGCGAGCCGAGTTGATCACTATTTTACAGTTTCCAAGTTTTCCCAGAAGCTCAACACTCAAATCCCCCACTAGATCTCATCGTCAGCTACATTTTCCGACCCCACATCGATAGGTTCTGATAAGCGGTTCTCGAGATTTCGAGCAATTTAGGGGAAGCTTTGGGTACACTACTATTAGAGAAAATACGGTACATATCTTTATCTTTACATATCTTTTTCGCAGATCCGGCTCGGAGGCCACCGATGAGCGACTCCAAGAGAGACTTTGGTCTGAAGCGGCAAAGCTCGCTCGTGATCATCTAATCAAATCATGAAGATTCGTGCTTAAATTCTAATTTATTTCTTTTCCCGCAGAAAGATCTCGCTAGTGTATTATTCAATTAAAATTTTCTCTAATTTTTGAGCTATTTTCCCTTGATCTTATCGTATAATGCGCTGGCATTCAAAATACAGGTATGTAAATGGGAAATTTCAATCGTTTTTTTTTCTTTTCTGCTTCACCCCCTCGTTTGGGTTTTTCACAATATTCGAAATAAAGATTTTTTTTCTTGAGCGATTGAGAAATGCTCAAAACTTGTAAACACATTCTTTCTGGAGTACAGGATTTATCTATAAACAAAGAAAAGTTTATCGTTTACTATTTTCCAACTTTTCATTTCTCCACAAGTCCCTGATGTAAAAAGAAAAGATTTTTTTTCCAATTGACCGGATCACTTTCGGGGGGAAGAAACAAAGGCATTTGTTCTTAAAAAGAAAGAATATTTTGCTGATTCTCTGATTTCTTTTCCGTTTTTTTGATTCGCGGTCTATTCGCGTGGCAACCATTCACAAAATGGCCATAAAAAAAAAGAGAGAAAATGAGATTTCGAAAAATTTTGATAAGAGAATTTTTCAGCAAATTTCAGAAAAAGAGGCAACCGAATCACACCATTCAATTTTTTTTTTCAAGATTTCCACCAGAGTTTACTGATAAATGCCCAATAAAGGAGATTTGTTTGGGGAGAATTCGAGGAGTGTTTGTTGACCGGAAAATAGGCTTTAAAATGAGTGATTAGGGGCGAGAATTCGGCGAGAGGTCAGAAAGCGTTTTTCGAAGGAGGCAAATGGCCTTTGGACTTGTAAATCAGAACTTGTAAACAATTTTGCGCAAATAAAGAGAGCATGCAAAGCAAGTAGCTAGAATATACTCTATTCTTAGAAGAAGTAATCAGTCGTTTTTCTTGCATTTGCAAAGGAGATTTGCTGCTGATACAATGAAAGGTTGCTGCTTTGGATTCAAATTTTGCTACTGCAAACTCTAGCTAGAGTTTGCAGTAGCACTCTAGCTAGAGTTTGCAGCTTCTCATTAGCTTCAGCTAGCTTCTCATTCGTTTTCTAAAGCTTGTCAATTTCGGGCAACTATCGTAATCTTGTCTTTAGTCTATCTACTTTTGAAAGCCATTCTTGTCAATAGGAGATGATAAATTGGAGAAAATCTAGAGGCAAAGATTACCATATCTGTCTAAAATTTACACGTTTTACTAAAACTCAAAGAGAACACTCGATTTTACATTCTTAACTGCTTAATAGACTATTTATAGACTTGAGAGGAGATGAAAATCACATCAGAATCGTTTTTTTTTTAAAGTTAAGATCAAATTCCATTTGAAAGTACACACTTAGAGAGCTGATTCTAAAAGTTTTTGAAAAGATTGATTGATTGATTGATCACTTTAATCACTTTAATCATTTTAATCAAAATTGATCACTTTAAACCTTTGCAATCCATCGCAGTCCATTTTCAAGGTACATTCTCTGTTTGGGTGAAATCACAAGGTGCAACTCGGTTAATCACTCGAAGCTTCTTGTCAGCTTCTTTTCAAAAACGACACAAACAAGAATGGGAAAAATGGGATTGAAATGGTGATAAGTGAAAGAAATAAAAGGGAAATGAAAGAGCAGAATCCTTTGTGACGGATTCCCGAAAATCGTCCCCAGAACAAATGGTGAGGCTACTGTAAGGTTTTTCGAAAACAATAAGCTTTAGAAGTTTCTCGTGTTGGCCGTTGTTGGCCTTATTGCTGTGAATGCTGTGGCGTTGAAGGGTGGTGAGTGATTTGTTTCAATAAATTATTGGTATTGTTTTAAAAAAACTTGAAAGCCTATAGAAGACTAATAAGAAGAAGGTTTCGTTTTTTTTTTGTCAAAACCTATTACAATTTGTATACTGCTTAAGATTTAAGCTTTACTTTTTAAATCCCACCAACAAGTAGCAACCATCAAGTACGGCAAAACGAATTCGATTACAATTTTTATACTGCTTAAGATTTAAGCTTTATCACTCAATACAAGTTTATTTAATTATTTGTATATTGGCTATAATTCAGGACGCAAAGTGAACGCTGAAGCGAAGAAATTGGACGGATTGGAGCTCGTCAACTATGTGAACTCAGTACAATCGTCTTGGAAAGCCGAGCTTTCCCCAAAATTCGCTCAATATCCGAATGCGATCAAGCAACGTTTGATGGGAGTGAAAAATATCGGAATCCCAATGAAGTACAAGATCAATCAGGTAATGAAAAAGATAGAATTGAATATCTTTTTGAGATCTGTACTTGGCTTAAACTAAAAAAAATCCCTTCAGGTTGACACGGTGCGTGCCGACATTCCCGCCTCGTTCGACTCTCGTCAACAATGGCCTAACTGCCCATCGATTAACAACAGTATGTGTTTATCTTTCTTTAGTAGAATGAACAGGAATGAACAGCAATCTCTAGAATGAACAGAAATCTATAGAATGAACAGCAATCTATAGAATGAACAGGAATCTATAGAATGAACAAGAATCTATAGAATGAACAAGAATCTATAGAATGAACAAGAATCTATAGAATGAACAAGAATCTATAGAATGAACAGCAATCTATAGAATGAACAGCAATCTATAGAATGAACATGAATCTATAGAATGAACAGCAATCTATAGAATGAACAGCAATCTATAGAATGAACAGCAATCTATAGAATGAACATGAATCTATAGAATGAACAGCAATCTATAGAATGAACAAGAATCTATAGAATAAACAACAATCTATAGAAATTAGAACAATTAAAACAAGAATGTTAAAGCAAAATAACAAAAACAAACAAACAAAAATACTAATTAAAGGTTAAATGGAAAATTTTAAGTTCGTGATCAATCCTCGTGTGGATCGTGCTGGGCTTTCGGAGCCGCTGAGGCAATGACTGACCGTACTTGCATTCAAAGCAATGGAGCCTGGCAGGTAATGAGTTGAACTTTGGCAATGCTTGGCTTAACCAATGCATTCTATGGCTATAGTCTGAATCTATTAATTCTTGACCTTTCTAGGACCCACTCTCAGCCGACGATATCTTGGCTTGCTGTGGATTCTCGTGCGGAGATGGATGTGAAGGAGGATACCCAATTGAAGCCTGGCAATTCTGGGTGCACAAGGTATTGATTCTCTAAAGAATACCTATGCAATTGGCTAGTGTCAGAGATTGGTTTATCTGAAAAATTGCAGGGAGTCGTAACTGGCGGCAACTACACATCGAAATACGGTTGTATGCCTTATCCATTCGCGCCATGTGAGCATCACACCGATGCCACTCACTACAAGCCGGTATTTCAATTTGTTACTTAAAAGAGGGGAATTCAAAAAATTGTCAGTGCCCTGCTGATATCTACCCAACGCCGAAGTGCTCAAAATCGTGTGCTGCTGGCTGGAAGAACAGCTATTCTCAAGACAAACAATATGGAAAGTCAGCTTATTCGGTTTCCTCCGATGTCAAGGCCATTCAAACTGAGGTGAGAGTTGAAGAGCTTTTAAGATAAGCATTACTTCATCTTCATCAATATCATAAAAGTTTCCAGGTGATGACCAATGGCCCAGTGGAGGTTGCCTTTGAGGTGTACGCTGATTTCGAGCAGTACAAGAGTGGAGTCTACGTTCACACCGGGGGATCCCTTTTGGGAGGACACGCTGTGAAGCTCATCGGATGGGGAACTGATCAGGTATTTCATTCTATACTATCAAAATATGTGATAAGATCAGTGAATTAAAATACCCTTCATTAATTTTTCTAAAGCTTTCTAAAGCTATCGTAGTCTAGCTGATCTTCATGAGATCGATGGGTTTAAAATGAGGCTACTGTACGTTTTTCGACAGCAATACGATAGTTTGGGTTACGCTAGTTTTTTTCGACAGCGCAACTTTTAGAGAACTTGAGGAAATCAAGGAAAAGAAGTCTACTACAATTACCGAAATTACCATCAGTTAAAATAGTCCAGAGTTACCTTTTACTTCCACCTATACCAAATCTACCACGTCTGGGTGACTGGGGCTGTGGCCGAGTGGTTAGAAGTGTTGGATTCCGGTCGGAGGGTCGAGGGTTCGGCGCTATCTTCCGCTTTTTCTATTTTCTTTTTTCATCTTTATTAGGACAGTAAGTAGGAGTTGTGTATTTCTTTGTGTCACATTATTCATCATCAATACTTTATCACTTTTCTTTTCAGGCCTCCAACTTGGACTACTGGTTGATTGCCAACTCGTGGAATACCGATTGGGGAGAGCAAGGGTATTTCCGTATCATCCGTGGACAAGATGAGTGCGGAATCGAGTCGGGAGTTGTCGCCGGATTGGCTAAAGTCTAAACAAACACCGTCATCTATATTCAATGATCAATTTCTTTTCTATAAAATGATTTTTCTGCAAAAAAAGAAAACAACAGTGCACATATCCATGTACGAATATAATAAATGATTCTAACTTCTACAAATCAATAAGACAGTTAAGACAGCAAAGGGAAATAAAAAGAAAAGAAAAGAAAAGAAAAGAAATTTAAAAACATGAATAAGTAGAAAAATATAGAAATTTGCAGCAAAAATATAGAAATTTCAAGAAAAATCCTTTTGACAGTGTCGATTTTTAGATCTTAATTACAATTTAATTCGAAAATTTAATATTAGGTTGTCCAGTTATGAATGCGCGCCTGCTCTTGAACAGCGTACCATAGGGCTATGCAATTTTATCAAACCCTATTCTCTATACTCTCCTGCATCCGCCATATTCTCCGGATATTTTTCCTTCGGATTATCATTTATTTCGCTCAATGCGAAACCATTGGGCTGGAAACAGGTTCAAAGATGTTCAAGAGGACGAAAAATATGGTTAGCCGACTTCTTTGCCTTAAAACAAGCCAATTTTTACGCCGAGGGAATTCATTCTTTGCATGGAAGATGGAAACAAATATTGTTAACAAATGTTGAATATATTGTTGATTGAGCTGTTAAACTGTTGGTTTTAAAATAAAGAGTTGTTATCTTAAAAACGCGCATTTATATCTGGACAACCTAATAGAATAGTTAGGAAAATAAAAAAAATCGGAATTTTTGAAAGAATGAAAGTCTGTTCGTTTGATTTTTGATACACTTCTTCAAAAATTAGTCTTTGAAATAATTTAATAAAATAAAATAGAAGAAAACTTATAAGTTGTCCCAAAAGTGAGGCTTTGACTTTTGAAAAAAAAACATTATATTTTTGGTTGAGGATAGTAATTGAGCTACGATATTTATAAAGCAGATCATCGCTATTCACCGAAACATTTCTCTTATGAAGCGGAAAGCCTAAGATTTCTGACTGAGCTACTGACTTAATAAACCGCTTTCTAAAAGCTAGATAATTTAGAAAAGCTACCGTAATCTTTCCTTCAGCTTTTCTCCGATTTACTTAACGTTAATCCCATCGGATGAGAGAGAAAACTGAAAAAATGCGATCAGAAACTAATGAGAACTAAAAAAAAAATACGAGAGAATTGGCTAAAATTAGCTAATTTTTTAAATGCATAACAAAAATGCGGATTTCAAAATTTTCATAAATTTCCAATGATAGAAAACTGATATCGATGAATGTTATAATATATAAGTTGTTAACTATTTGAAAGTTGTAAATCTCCTCTATAAAATAGGCTAAAACGTGTTTCAATTGATCGAAACATTGAAAAAATTTCGAGAGCGAAATGCGAGTGACCAAAAAAAGGAATCGACTCACTTTAGCGACAAATTTAGTGCGGTCAAAATAGAGTTTAACTTCCCAAAATTGAAGATTTAAAGAAAAAAAATGTACCTAATACCTAATACTTTAGTTTCTCGAGTCAGTCAACCTGATATTGATGAATGTTATATGTTATATAATGTTATAAACTATTTCAAAGTTGTAAATCTCCTCTATAAAATAGGCTAAAACGTGTTTCAATTGATCGAATCATTGAAGAAATTTCGAGAGCGAAATGCGAGTGCCCAAAAAAAGGAATCGACTCACTTTAGAGACAAGTTTAGTGCGGTCAAAATAGAGTTTAACTTCCCAAAATTGAAGATTCAAATCAGGTATCTATCGTTGGAAATTTATGAAAATGTTGAAATCCGCATTTCTTATGCATGTAACTAATATTTTGGATTTTCCCTACGATCACGAAGAACAGCTTCAAATTTTCATTTTCCTAAGTTTTCCCCATCATGTGCCCTTAAAAAAAACTCACAAAGAAGTCTGTAGGGATCATAAAGAAACAAAGAAATAAAGTCTACAGATAAACTCAAAATTTCTTCTTTCATCTCTTCTCTTCTTCGATAAATCATTCTCATGATCACTTCATTGCAAGTCTTTTTCTTTTTTTTCTTTTTTTTAATAGATACAATAGGCTTTGTCCATTTTTGAGATGGTCCATTGTGAAGCATTGATAAGAGTCAAAAATGTGATTAGAGAAGTTTTTTTTCAAATGAAAAAAATCTCCGGTTTTATTAGCCATAAACCAATAGCCAATGACGCAAATGGACACTTCAAGAAATTACCAGAAAAAAAAAACCGTTCTTGAAAGAATTTCTCATCATTTTTGATAATAAAAATAAGAAAAAAAAGTGGTTCTCGGAAAATTTCGGTGATAAGATTGAGTGGATGGAACGAAGATCAAAGTAGACTGGAATGGCTTCGATGAACCCGGAACTTATTTAATAAAAAATACCGTAAATACTGTAATAGTACCCCACCGCCCTCGTACAGTCGCGTAGTCGCAAAAGTTTTTTAGTATTTCGTTTTTGGTATCAAAAAATAGCCCTTAATTTCATTGTAGCATAAAGGAGTGGCAAGAAAAATGTGTTTTGAAGTTAGACTACGCGACGCTCCGACCGTCATTATAGGGAAGCGTAGTCGCAAAAGTTTTTTAGTATTTCATTTTTTTTCAAAGCGCCTGTACTTTCAAAAAATGCGTCTTTGATATCAAAAAATAGCTGAAATTCAGGGCTATTTTTTGATACCCAAGCGCGCATTGTAGCATAAACCAGTGTCGTTCAAACCGTTCAAACCTAGACTACGCAACACTCCGCATCGTTATTATTGGGGTGGGGTACTATTACAGTATTTACGGTAAGTTAAATCTTCCACGAGTACTTTAAACAAACCCTTTTACAAGAGGGTATAATCTATGCATGCATAAAGATCTAAGCACAATTGTTTAAACGTTAATTTTCCCGAATCAGGCCAAACAAGGCTAAACAAGAATCTCGTTTAGCTCATAAGATTTCCTAAAAACAAGCACTGGGTTAACAGAATTTACATTGAAATCAGTTTCTTTATCTTTAAATGGTAACCGTGCTAATGCTCAAAATCTAGAGAAATTTCTGGAAAGATCATTGCTCAATGTTGAGATCTGTTAACAGACATAAAGTCATTATCTTAACGACTTCTGAAATTTCTGAAAGCTAAACCAGATTCTTGTCTTTGAGCTGCAAAAACGTAGCGTCTAGCGCGACCAATCTACCAATCTTTAAAACCAGAGCCAGAGAGAAAAGTAAAGTCAAGAAGCCAAGTCCCTTCTCGGTGAGACTCGGGTGAGACAATCCTAGGGTTTTCAAATTCTTTTAGAACAATTCAATATTGATGAATACTGAAACTGATAGTTAAAATTTCAAATTCGGGTGGGAAAGTTGCACAATTTCGCAAATTTCTGCAAATTTCTGCAAATTTCCCGAGTTTTTCATTAACTACAAAATGATTTTGCTGAAGATTTGCCAATGGGTACAAAATATTTAGCTGAATATCTTTTTGGCTGAAGATACTCATTTGCCAACGGGTATAAAAATTTTTGAAGAACTTTTGAAGTTCCTCCGGTACTTGTGCATCTTTCCCACCGCAATGAGTAAGGTTAAATGTAAATTACAGAAAATGCAAGAATCGCGGCATGCTCGGGTTGGCGTTAGCAAATGGGTATCTTCAGCAAAAAAGATATTCAGCTAAATATTTTGTACCCATTGGCAAATCTTCAGCAAAATAATTTTGTATCTAATGAAAAACTCGCGAAATTTGCAGAAATTTGCAGAAATTTGCGAAATTGTGCATCTTTCCCACCCGAATTTGAAATTTTAAAAACATATCTTCAGAAATTTATTTTACAATCACATAGTTAAGCCATTAATTCGTTCATCGGCTAACCCAATGTGTGCATTGGGTCCTCTAGAGGCCTCTAGAGGCCAATAACCTCGTGCACAAAAAGGCTAATTTCCATGTAAATTTGTGCGCTGAGAAAGATGCACAAGTACCGTTTCTTCAAACTAGAACATTCCAGAAGTCACGCAAACTTTCAAATCTTTCACAAAGCCATTTCAAATCATCCTTTTATCACAAGACCGACAATCCGCGTGACACGGTTTTTTTTTTCAAAGCAAAGCAAAAATTTTTGTGCTCAAAAATCTTCTTGTTTTTCAGAGATCACGGGATCTTTGTCTTGACATTCACTTCATCAAATTGCATTCTTATCTCGAAAAATTCACGGATCTTCTTCATTTATGAGCCCTAAAAACAGTGAGAGATTCTCAGTAAAAGTGCTGACACTGGGTAATCACCCAAATCTTCTCCAAACAAACAAGCACAAAACTATAGGAGAGTTCGAGATATTGAATCAAAGAATGATTGTAGATTGAACTTTTAGAGTTTATAGAATGTTGATCGTCTAGAAATGAGAAATGAGTCTCTATTTTCATTTTACATTCGAAAAAGACAAATTAACGTTAAAAAGCATTTTGAACAAGCTGAATTCAGGATTGTTCATTAGCTACGAGACTAGACAATCAAAAATGATTCAAAAAAATTCAAAGTTTGCCCTAGAGAACATGTTTGGGTAGTAACAATCAAATAAACAATCTAACAAATAAGCTAACAAAAAATCAAACAAACAATCAATCAAACAAACAAACAAACAATCTAACAAACAATCTAACAAATAATCTAACAAACAATCAAACAAACAACCAAACAAACAAGCAAACAAACAATCTAACAAACAACCAAACAAATAATCAAACAAACAACCAAACAAACAATCTAACAAGCAATCTAAACATTAACTAGACCTAAAAAGTAGTTGAAGATGAACAAAAACCTAATCTCATAGTTCAAGAAGAACTTAAGAAATAGCCAAACATTCGATTGTTGTGTAAGTTTGAAAAAAGCGCTGCTGAACTAAATTAGTCAACCCGATTTTTCTAAGCATTCACAAAATGTGTTCACTATACGATACGATTTCTCTTTTCAAATTACAGACGACCAATTTCTCACCGATCCACGATCTTCCCCTTGATTTGAAATCAATGAGAACAATAAGATCTCTTTTTCTTATCTTTTCTTTCTTTCTTTCTTTCCTACTCCATACATTGTACCCATCTCAAAGTCTCATTGAACCTTCTTCTGATTTTGGAAAGAAAAAGCTTTTATGTTAGCATTTTACATCCTTACTTTATGATTTGAGATAAGCGATTAGTTCCAATATAAAAGGAAGACAATGGCACACTGATTTTGAGCTTCAGTTCCATTCGAAGAAATGGTAAGTATTTCGTCTTTTTTCTTGAGTTAGGTGATAAGTTAGCTAGCCTTGACTACCGTAACTACCTTCACTAGTTAGTTCTTTATGAAATAGTTTTAGTTTTGTTTATTATAACTACTCACTAGTCTATAGAAACTTGTAGAAATTTCTAGCTAGCAAGATAGACTCACCTTCATCGACTCTACTTTCTAAACAATCCTCTCTATTTGCAGAAGTCCCTCTTGTTGGCCGTCACGGCCTTAGTCGCCGTCTGGGCCGCGCCCGCCCCCGAACATCTCACCGGACAAGCTCTTGTTGACTTCGTCAATGCCAACACCAACTTGTGGAAGGCTGAGCTTAACACAAAATGGACTCTTCCTCAGTTCAAGAAACGCCTCATGAACTCGAAATACGTCAAGGTCAGTGAAATTGATAGTTGATAGTAAGCTGGAATTGTAAAGACTTAGAACTAGGCTTATCTTTAACTCTTCTAATGGTTCCACCAGTCTGTAATCTTTATATTGTAAGCTGGATCATCATATACAATCAATTCCCTTTTCAGGTCCCCGCTGGAACCCCCGAGGTGCACCACGAGGTCCAAAACTTGGCCACCATCCCAGCCAGCTTCGACGCTCGCACTCAATGGGCTCAATGCTACACAATCGGATGGATCCGTGATCAATCTGACTGTGGATCATGCTGGGCTTTCGCAGCTGCCGAGATCGCCTCTGACCGTACCTGCATCGATGCGCCGAACACACCAATCATGCTCTCGGCTGAGGATATCCTTTCCTGCTGTGGATTCTCGTGCGGAGATGGATGTGAGGGAGGATACCCAATTGAGGCCATGAAATGGTGGGTCTCAAAGGGAGTCGTCACCGGAACTTCCTACTTGGATCATCAAGGATGCAAGCCATACTCGATCCCGCCATGTGGACACCACAATGGAACTTACTACAAAGAGTGCCCATCTGATATCTACCCAACACCAAAGTGCAGCCAAGCTTGCCAATCCGGATACGCCAAGACGTACACACAAGACAAGCACTTCGCCAAGTCTGCCTACAAGGTCTCCCGCAGTGTCTCATCGATCCAAACTGAGATCATGACCTATGGACCAGTTGAGGCTGCCTTCACCGTCTACGAGGACTTCTACAACTACAAGAGCGGAGTCTACCATGTAAGTTGATTAAAAGAGAACTTTAAGAACTCAAAGTGAACTATTGAATCTAGCTGAATAGCTTTAGAACTTTTCTAAGATCTCAAAATCATTCCAAAACGAAAACTGAATGTTTCCTTTACAGCACGTCACCGGACAAGAGCTCGGAGGACACGCCGTCAAGATCCTCGGATGGGGAAATCTTAACGGACAAAACTACTGGCTCGTTGCCAACTCATGGGACACCGACTGGGGAGAGTCAGGATTCTTCCGTATCCGCTCAGGAAACGATGAGTGCGGTATTGAGGACGGAATCGTCGCCGGTATCCCCAAGAACTAAGCGAGATCCATTCGTCCATTCCATTCGTCCTATTTGATTCTCATTCCCCCCACAATGTACACGAGTAATTAATAATTTGTACCTACTTTTCTGTATAGTAAATAATAAGCTTTAATTTATTTGAGAGTTGATCAAATCGCAAAACAAACAAAATCACAAAAATACAAAAGTAAACAATCATCATATTAGATTGAAGAAAAAATAATGAGCGTTTATTTTGGTCAAACAATTGAATTGAATTCTATTGAATTATTGAATTCTGCAAGAAATAGGAACTATCAATCAGTTAAATATTCCCTATTTTTATCGATGTTTTCTTCGCATCTTCAACGCAAATCTCTGGATTCTATTTGTGAAAAATCAAGGATTTTTAGAGTCAAAATAGTTGTCAACCGCTTTTTTTTGACTTGAGCATGATCATCAAACTTTTCTCTCATGAGAAACTGTTTCAGAGGCCCAAACAAAAAGTAATCTGATGGGGCTAAGTCAGAAGAGTAAGGCGCATAAGGAAATAAGGAAACAACTTCTAGCCGGGCTCTTCAATTTTTTTTCTAAATGACTTTTGCAGTGTGGAGTTTCGTACTTTTGCAGTGGAGTCATGCAAAAATGGAATCTTTAATGGGTTTAGCCCTAATTTCTTTAAAAAATCGTTAACTCTAGTGAATTTTTTTTTGAATAAAGATCAGCATCAATCTTTTCTTTTGGATTAGGTAACTCATAGTGCACCAAAGCTTTTGAGTTTTCATTTCTGAAGCAAAAAAAAAGAACTGACGAGTTGTACGAGTTGTTGTTGTCTTGAGTTCGTGACCCATTTCGCCAAGTCTGCGTACAAGGTCTCCCGCAGTGTCTCATCGATCCAAACTGAGATCGTGATCTATGGACCAGTCGAGGCTGCCTTCACCGTCTACGAGGACTTCTACAACTACAAGAGCGGAGTCTACTATGACCCATTTTCCACAGCGAATTTTTCTTTCTTTTTTCTTTCTTTTTTTGATGCAAATGATTGTCGATTGTCTTTTGATCAAAAATAAAATATTTCTGCAAGCTCGTTAGTGTCGGATTCAAGTCGATTTCAATTCTCAATGCGAAAGCGCATTGAAATGATTTTGAACCAAAACCAGCGGACATCAATTGGGCAACTTTACTTGGAGAAAGGCTTCTTGAAAGCTCTTAACTTGTGAAGAATATAAAGAAGTAATCAATTTCAATTCCCAATGCCAAATTCATAAAGCTAAATCTCATGCGAAATCCATTATAGAGTTTAAATATCATAAATAGATTGGACAAAGACTAGAGACAAAGCTACGGTAGTTTTTGAAACTGGCCACTTCTTAGAAAATGAGTGAATTGAATGGATTCTAAGGCTGATAAATACTTTTTAGCTAAGTTTTCTCAAGAGATTGTACTCTGAAGTCTGTTTTACGTTTAAGCAAAGTTTACAATTATCTTCAACGTTTGTGGCAGACTTGTCAATCCTACCTTTTTTCAAATCATCATCCATGAGCTTAAATTATCTGACAGTCTTCAGTTAACATTTTTTTGTTTGAATCATGCTTCTGTCAACTCTTTGCTTTGTAAATCTGTGTTCCTTTGAGATAACGAGAAATTTTTATCGATGTTATTATTTATATACAGAAATAAGCGTTGATTGCGCTTAGTTCTTGGGGATACCGGCGACGATTCCGTCCTCAATACCGCACTCATCGTTTCCTGAGCGGATACGGAAGAATCCTGACTCTCCCCAGTCGGTGTCCCATGAGTTGGCAACGAGCCAGTAGTTTTGTCCGTTAAGATTTCCCCATCCGAGGATCTTGACGGCGTGTCCTCCGAGCTCTTGTCCGGTGACGTGCTGAAAAGGAAACATTCAGTTTCAGTTTTGGAATGATTTTGAGATCTTAGAAAAGTTCTAAAGCTATTCAGCTAGATTCAATAGTTCACTTTGAGTTCTTAAAGTTCTCTTTTAATCAACTTACATGGTAGACTCCGCTCTTGTAGTTGTAGAAGTCCTCGTAAACGGTGAAGGCAGCCTCAACTGGTCCATAGGTCATGATCTCAGTTTGGATCGATGAGACACTGCGGGAGACCTTGTAGGCAGACTTGGCGAAGTGCTTGTCTTGTGTGTACGTCTTGGCGTATCCGGATTGGCAAGCTTGGCTGCACTTTGGTGTTGGGTAGATATCAGATGGGCACTCTTTGTAGTAAGTTCCATTGTGGTGTCCACATGGCGGGATCGAGTATGGCTTGCATCCTTGATGATCCAAGTAGGAAGTTCCGGTGACGACTCCCTTTGAGACCCACCATTTCATGGCCTCAATTGGGTATCCTCCCTCACATCCATCTCCGCACGAGAATCCACAGCAGGAAAGGATATCCTCAGCCGAGAGCATGATTGGTGTGTTCGGCGCATCGATGCAGGTACGGTCAGAGGCGATCTCGGCAGCTGCGAAAGCCCAGCATGATCCACAGTCAGATTGATCACGGATCCATCCGATTGTGTAGCATTGAGCCCATTGAGTGCGAGCGTCGAAGCTGGCTGGGATGGTGGCCAAGTTTTGGACCTCGTGGTGCACCTCGGGGGTTCCAGCGGGGACCTGAAAAGGGAATTGATTGTATATGATGATCCAGCTTACAATATAAAGATTACAGACTGGTGGAACCATTAGAAGAGTTAAAGATAAGCCTAGTTCTAAGTCTTTACAATTCCAGCTTACTATCAACTATCAATTTCACTGACCTTGACGTATTTCGAGTTCATGAGGCGTTTCTTGAACTGAGGAAGAGTCCATTTTGTGTTAAGCTCAGCCTTCCACAAGTTGGTGTTGGCATTGACGAAGTCAACAAGAGCTTGTCCGGTGAGATGTTCGGGGGCGGGCGCGGCCCAGACGGCGACTAAGGCCGTAACGGCCAACAAGAGGGACTTCTGCAAATAGAGAGGGATTGCTTAGAAAGTAGAGTCGATAAAGCTGAGTCTATCTTGCTAGCTACGGATTTTTGACTATTAGAGCTGATAAAGCTAATATTACAATAGCCTAGGTGTTTCTCTATAGAACCAAGGATTAGTACTACTAAAGCACTACCAGTTACAGTTTTTTGCTTATAAAGCGAAAAACCAGGCATGATACAATCAACTTAGGGAAGGCAGACCCTACTATGATACTATGACAAAATGAGACTACCGTTACTAATTGCTGTTAAATGAAAGAACAAAAGAAAGAAGAACCAACCATTCTTTGTGGAGCAAAGTCGCTACCGGCTCTTCTATCTTCCTCGTATTTATGCAGTTTTTCTTATCAGCTAATCAGTTTGGACTCTTGAATTTTCCCTCGTGAATCTGCTTAAAAAAAGGCGGGCGGATTTGAGTGGACTCTCAGAATTTTTTCGGCTCTTTCATCGTCAAAAAAATTGGGTTCTTATCAGTGGCGGACAATGAAATTTTAGGAGCCATTCTTCTCATTTGAACACACGGGGAAAAGGAGATTTTGAAAGATTGTTTGAAAGAGATGGCATGCACAGAAAGGTACACTTTCTCGTGTAAATGAAATCGTTTAGAATTTAGAGGGTCCGGTTTTCATTTGATTAAGGTAGATGCACTGACGTCATCACAGTCAAATTTTGTTGTTTTTAATTCCATGATGATTTTTGATTAGAACTTTTTTAGTATTTTTGGCATCTTGGCTTTATCTTCTTTGATTCAATTTCTATTTAAACTCTTGCAATTTTAGTTTTTAAACTCTTTGACGAGGATCTGTACAACCATAGGATAGTTTATCTTTTTAGGATAGTTTATCTGTCATTGCTAAACCAATCTTTCTTTCCAGGTACATTAGATCATTGTTATAAGTGATAGCTGTTGATTGATCGAGTGTCAGGGACAATAAGTATTTCAAAATCAATTTTTCCAGGCTTGCAGATGGTTCGTCGGAGAATTCTTGACCAGATTTTATGCATTTGTACTGATTGACTTTTACTAAACCTGTGTTTAGTACTAGGTTCTAAAAGTGGATATGAGTCACTAAAAACAGACTAATTTAGTAAAATAAAGCAAGTTACGATCGCTTTTCTAAGCGCATCTTTTCGAAAACAATCTCTACCTACTCCAGAGCAAATAATATGATACAAGAAACGTGTAAATTTGGTCTCTACCCATTTCTCTAGCTGCCTTGTTTTCTTCTGATTTTCAGAGTCAAGAAAACAAAGCCATTGTTCAATTGTTTGTCTTTCTGAAGTTCAGCAAATTTTTTTTTGAATAGAGTGTATCAGTGATCACGAGATTAAGCACAACACAGCAGAGAACGCTCAGCGTTTATCAGAACTTTGATGGCATTTCAAGAGAGGAAAATGATTGCACGAAAGAAAGAAATTGCAAGCGATGATTTGTGAAAAAGAAAATTTGTTATGCTAATACCCGATTGAAGTAATTATCAGTAAGTTATTGCTGAACACCGTAGATGCGACCGAGAAAGATGAGGATGTTGCTGAGTGGGAGCATTGTTAGCGTTAGCTGAATTTATCCTTTAACCTCTCTAATTTAAGTCCCTAAATCTGTTTTCAATGAAAACTAGTAGATGAAATAAAACTATTGGATTGGTGAATTAGTTCAAAGTCAATTTTAGTTCAAAGTCCGGCAGTTTTCAATTCACCAACCCAATATTTAAAAGCTAGTTAAGTGTTTAGACTTTAGCTCTTCAGCTCTTCAGCTCATTAAATGACTCAAAAATGGGTTTGAGTAGAGCCTAGAGTTGTTTATCCAAATGGGAACCGCTTCAGATAATGAAGGAGCAAGACGAGCGCAACAACAGGTCTAATTTTTAGATAGGATGTTCAAAACATGAGAAGCATTCCTAAACAAACTTAAGCTCAAGCCTAAGCTTAAGGCTGAGCCTATGCCTAAGCCTAAGCCTAAGCCTGAGCCTAAGTAATTTGAGTAATTTTAACGATCATACCCTGTGAGCAATGCGTAAATCGATCAAGAACGTGTGCAAGAAGCACAATTTATTCTCCGGAGCCTCGGCCCTTTGCACCATGTGATTCACAAGTGGGAGTAACTAAATATCCCCCTAAATGTCTATCGATTTCTAGACTTACCATCTCATTCTTGCTCAACCCGACGTTCGACTTCAATATCAAAATGTCTCGAAGTTCTTGTACCTAAAAATGTTTTAAAGATTGTACAATCCAAAGTTTTTTGTTGAACCTGAGCATTTAGCATTCCAGGGACATACAAAAGTGAAGCCATTAGATTACCGCTAATCACCAAATAGCCAATCATCAACGCCACTTGGCCGCCCGTTAAACTCGAACGATGGCCGACAAAGATTGCTACAGCTGTTACCTAAAACATTCCGAATATTGTCAATTAGGCTAACTTAAAGGCTTTGAATAAATAATCGTTAATGACTTTGTTTAGAGAAATATTATTGTTAACTTTTTTTTATATTTTTGACGAGGACACTTAGTTAAGGCTTTCGGTACCTAGTAGGGGTTGATTGGACTAACCAATTCTGAGGAAACCGATAGACAAAGCTTTAGGGTCCAGTCACAATGTTTTCCCAGTTTGATTTTTTAAGTAACATAATGATTTAACGCGATGGGTTTCTAGCGGGAATTTGGGCATAATTTCAGCATTGATGGCATGGGCGGCTCATTCGCCCCTGCCGCTTTCCGGATTGCAAAAGGGAACACCTATCTATCGGCGGTGTGTGCCAGTTTGCGAGCGATTACGCACCCGCATAAAGAACACCTCGCCAATCATTTTTATAGGGATTGAGCTGTGAATTTGTACTCGGCTCTTTTGTTAAACAACTTCTTCGATAAAAATGCTCGTTTGTTTAAGACAACTCACATGCGCAATAAAGGCTCCAATCGCTCCCAGATTCACGAGTTTTCCAAACGTATCATTGACATAGCGAACCATTGCGAGCAACTCCTTTTGTCTTTGAACAAACGAGATTAGTGAGTCGTATGTCTGCAAATGAAACCCTGGTGAGTGAAGTGTTTTCTAAAAGGCGCTCCTTAAAAGAAATTGTATTTCACTAGACTTTTGAGTTTAGCCAAAGAATCACTTGTCTCTAAGCTTTAATATAAAGTAATTTAAAATGAGAAGAGTTAATGAGACAAACTCTTTTAGAAAACATCAAAAGACGTTTTTATTGTTTCGTTACCAAATCAGCTTCGTTGGCTGCAGTCCGTAGCTCTTCATTGAAGCCACGAAATTGTTGAGTGATACCACCAAATGCCAAAATGTAGATCACAGTGGAAAGGCATGAGAATAATCCTGAAAGTTTTTAGTTGAAAAGACTGAAAGCATCAATCTACCGCAAACGATTCGAATGAACGGATCAGCTCCCCAAATGTTCTTGAATGATATGGGCGAACCGCTGGAATTGGTTTTGATCAAAAATTGATTTATTCAGCGAAAACCCTTTAATCCACGTTGACGTATCGTCGGCCGCATTTGAAACCACAACCAACATTAGAATAATCGTGAATACGAACATTACCGTCAACACAACGGCTCGCATTCGGGTATTTGAGGGAATTCTCTGAATGGTTGAATCGATAAAGGCCAAAATTCTTGTCTAGCATCTCATTGACACATTTAAACCCTTAGTTTCCAGTTGGTTTAATTATGATGCTTTTATACGCGCCTTTGCCATTCACAATCCAACTTTAAGCTCAATCCAGCTCAATCCATGAATCCAGCTGAAGCCGCCGAGTTTGGCTGTTCAATTTTAAATATTCTTATTATCATTAGATGTACCATATTTTTCTCTGTCGATTGATACAAAAACTATTGAAATTAAACAGCCACAAGAAATTTGAGCTCAATGTTAGATTTTCAATGGGAAAAGGGACCGATAGCCGTCTTGAATCGATCTATACCAGCGAAAGAGCAGCATACTGTTGCTCAAGTTGTTGAAAGACATGTTTTGCCGTCAAAGCTGCCATGAATCCAGCTGAGGCCACCCCGTGAAGCACCATCCCGAATTTAAGATTTGTCAAAAGCCATTGTATTGAAAAGGACTAAATTGTTGATTTTGATTAGATTTTTGAATCTAAAAGCATTCATACATCATTTTCCGTTTTCCCAATTGCAATCAAATCCATGATAAGTATCGTCATGATAAACGTGGTGGTAATTGTAAAGAAAATCGCTCGACAAGTGGCACCAGCTTGTTTCGCCTCTTTCCATCTAATCCATTTCCATCAAAGGTTTCAATTTTGGATTCATTTAAGAGTTAAAACTTTTCAAAAGCTAGCTTTTACGCATACGTGAATATCGAATACGTCAAATCGAGGCCACAAATTCGAACGAGCAACTGAAATGGACCGAAAAATCGCCGCGGTCTCAGAACCGGTGTTGAGCTCATTCTGAGTGAAATGAAATCGGTATTTTGAAAACAAATTTGAAAACAAATTTGAAAACAAATTTGAAAACAATTTGAAAACAATTTGAAAATAAATTTGGAAACAAATTTGAAAACAAATTTGAAAACAAATTTCCCGAATATGTTTAGCAGAGATTTTTCGAATGATTCAGAATTGAATCTGATCAAATTGTTTAATAAAATTCATTTGAATGCTGGGCAAGCATGCGAAAATCCCAAAGGTGAAGTTTCCAATTTCTTTCTTTGAAATTTCTTTTTTTTTTGCTACAAATTTCGTGGTGTTGCTTAGGAGATCGAACAATTGCAGGTAAATGGAAGTTCAAAGTAACGAGAAAAACAACAAAATGTTAATTACAATGGCAAAAAGGCTTGGTTAAGTGATCTCAAATAAAATTTCCGTTGTTAAAGGGAAACGTTTGAATTTTTGAAGAATAAATCATAGTCAATATAAGATTGTCATGAGTGTAATATTCAGGATTGATGTAAGAAGATACTAGACCAGTATTACCGAACGTTACAATTTCCTTTGCAAAGCGATACTTTTAACCAAAGTCATAGCATCAGTCACTTTTTTGGGATAGTAAATCAATAAAACGGGTTAGAAAGGGTAGTACTCCTCTCGACCGAGATAGGTGAAGGTTTAGGCTGTTTCTATAACCGATTTTCCAGGTAAAGCTAATTATTTCTTGACTGGACAAGTAGCCGGCGGCTTAGACCACTCGCCCACCCCAACAGAGTGGATAACAATTTTAGAATGATAGAAATTCTTTCAAAAAATTCAAAAGAATTGGCACCGAGAGGAATCGAACCCGGCCTCCACGCTGGACTGGTAGCCAGTGTCTTAGACCACTCGCCCACCCCGACAGAGCATTTTTCTCAGAGTCGAGCTCAGTTTTTTGATCTTTAAAATTTAAAAACTTACTCATTTTCAAAAACTAATATTACATTTTTAATCTGGAGACTTTGGGCTCTATTTTGGGTCAAAAAACATTTCTTAATCTGATCTTTCTTTCTTAATCTCTGGACTCTATCTCTATCTCAATACAGATGTCCAAAGAAAAAAGCTACCCAAAAATGTCAGAATTTGTATTTTTAGGAAAAACAGTTAAAGAGATCAATCAAATAAATGGCTTATATTAGAGCTACTAAAAAGTTGACTGTTTATTGTCAAACTTTCAGCTCGATCCAAGTTACCGTTGGGGAGATACGGCTTGGGCAAACGGGCGCACAGAGTCGTACCATTTTTCTCTCATAAAAAGTAATTAAATGAAGAAATTTTAATAGATAAAACAATGTTATAACTAGTTGAATATTTTGCATGAATATAATCTATATGTTGTGTCCGATTTAGATTTCCGTCCGATTTAGATTACAGTCTAAATCGGACACAACATATATAAGATATAGACAAAAAAAGTGACACTTTTTTTAGATGATCAGTGGTGATTGCATCTCTTAAATTCTTTATGCTTGAAAGAAAGAAAGAAAAATTTCAAGAAAGTTATTCGGTTTTGTGACTCGAATGAAAAGGTTAAAGAGAAATAAGTGGTATTTGGTCACAAAAAAAAAACGAGAGAAATTGATTTGGATCATTTTCTGAAGATCACTTTCTACGGCTTCTCTAAACAAACATTTGCAGTAGGGAACAGACCAATGAGACTTGAATAAACAAAAGTAAAAATGAGTAATTGATTTTGAATTAAGGAAATGGAAAGAGAAAGAGCTTTTGAAATGACTCACGAGCAAAAGCACTCAAAAAAAGATTATGTCGATTTTGAAATCGATGGTTTGTAAAATGTGGGAGTCACAAAGTGATCATCGAGTTTAGCATTGTAATATTGTGACATTGTGACATTGTGACATTGTGACATTGTGACATTGTGACATTGTTACATTGTGACATTGTGAAGAAATTGTCTGGGTCTTTAGAGACAACTGGGAACAATTACACACTGATTACTCATCACACTCACACTCACTCACCATGAATAAAGTATGATTATTATTAAACGGAAAAATTCAAAACTAATCTTTCTGCAGTAGTTAAGAAATTGCGCAAAATGGTGATCGAGTTTTGGAAATTGTAAAGAAAAATTTGAAGCTGATAAAATCTCAAAAACTGACCTTTCCTACAGTTTTCAAGTTTGATAAACATTAAAAAATGATCAAAATGATCATCAAATTCGAACAATCAAATTTTTTTTTTAAAAACGAGGAACCGATTGAGTGAACTTTATCAAATGTAGACCTCATTTCAGCAGCTTGTTTACTGTTATTTGTTTGTGTTTTTTTTCGAAAAACATGCGCCGCTATTTACTTTATGAGGTCTGTTCTGATCTGAAAAGGAAAACAAATGAGAACTCATAGCTTTTTCATAGGAGATTTATGGGAATTGTGACAAGAATCGCAAGTATTTTTTGCGTAAAAGTAATTGTTTATTCGAGATCAGAGTGGTAAAATATTTAGACCTCTAGGCAGGAAAGTTGGTGAATTTGTTGTGTTCGAGGTTGGGGCGACAGTCATATTTGCTTGTGGGACAGTTGGAACGGTCGGGACGGAAGTGATGATTGGAGGGAGAGTTGGGGCTGATGGATCCAGGGGTTCGGTGGCTGTCGTCCATTGAGTGGTGGTGGTTTTCGTTGTGGTTGTTGTACTTGTTGTTGTTGGTGGAACGAATGGAGGTACAGGAGATGGGCTGCCTAAAGTTTTTTTAAAGGTGATTTTCTAACGTTTCATAGTAAAACGGCCAAGAACTAATCTAGACTGAATGCCGAATCTAGACTAAATACCGTAATCCAGCTAATCTAGACTGAATGCCCAATCTAGACTAAATACCGTAATCCAGCTAATCTAGACTGAATGCCCATTCTAGACTAAATACCGTAATCCAGCTAATCTAGACTGAATGCCCATTCTAGACTAAATACCGTAATCCAGCTAATCTAGACTGAATGCTCAATCTAGACTAAATACCGTAATCGAGCTAGTCGCCTATTAGAACGCCTATTAGACGCCTATTAGAACATTGACCGATGTTCTATCAATTCAAATCCCTATTTTTTTCATGAAAAACGAGTTACGGTAGCTTTTTTACGTTCCCCGCTAAGCTTAGGCCCCTGAGGCAATCAAAAACTCCTGGAAGCGACCTACTAAAGCCACTAATACGCCGAGGAGAAGCGGTGTATTACTGGCTCATTATTACTGGCACTGACAGTATTACACGGTCAGCAGACTCACTCCGTAGACCCAGGTGGGTTTCCCTCGAGGGTTTAGTCACTCCTATCACTTTCAAGAAGCCTCTCAAGAACCGACCAGGGATCAAAAAGCTGACTCCCAGACCCCCTTTTGAAAGGCTCTTATTTTGGAAGTTCTTTTGAAGTCGATTCTCTAGACAAATTTGAATGAAACGTTGGCAAAAGCATCTACTGTAAGAGGTACACAAAAGCCGACTTGTAAAGGGACCAATTTCATCCAGAAAAGTCTCTTTTATAAGCTACAGAGGTTTACACTAAACTCAAGTCTAAAATACAACATTTACCTGTCGTTCTTTGACAAAGAAAAGGCAAATCATTGTCACAACTCTCAGGCACCCATTTCTGTGGTGAGACCAAGTTGGTCGTCGAAAGGGCATAACAGGCAGGGTCCATGTTGAGTGCAGGACCTGTGAAATAAGTTTAAATGCATGAAAAAAGATAGACTAAAGTACTTCTATCGTAGTCTAGTTGAGAAATTTGTATATCATCGATTATTTAAGCCACAACACTCACCAGCCAAATTGTAATAATCAACGATCGACGAGTCAGCCCAGTAGTACTGATTGGCGGTGTTATAGAGGCCAATCCACGCAGCCACACCCACTCCATCGGCTTTCAGCAGATTGAAGATGAAAATATTTTCCTGAAATTCTTAGATTTAATTTCGAAATTGATTACAAACTAAAATATTGTGGATTGAAACGAGATGTCCTCCCTGTTGAGCACAAATCGTTTCAGCAGCCAGCCATGAAGGGGCCGACGGTTGGTACTGAAATTTACTTTGTAGATTTGAATGCAAATCTGGATTCACCTCAAGCTCATGTGTGCTTTCAGTTTAAAGCTGTTACAGTTTATCTTTTATTAAACTGGAACTTGTTCTCAAAGTGTTTTTTTTAATCTAATCGTACTTTATTTGATGTACTGAACTCTTCAACAACTACACTACTGGACAATGAAATATCATATTTGAAAAAAGATCGTCACTTTCGCGCGTCTGTAACTCCCTTGTCTTTACCGTATTTCTAAATATTAATATTACCATTGTGTAGCCCTTGAAAAGAGCTTTCAGAAAATGTATAACACTAATTGTTTAAACTCAAAGACAATGGAGTCACAGACGCGCGAAAGTGACGATCGTTTTTCAAATATGATATTTCATTGTCCAGTACTGTAGTTCAAGCAAGAAAACCGAAGAACTCAATGAATGCGCGAGGAAGGGTGCGTTTCTATCGTTAGAGCATACATCTCAAAACGCTTTACTTACCTTGTAGCAATTTCCCTCGAATTCACTGTAGTCACCGCATCCAGGAAGGTCTAAAATCCTTTGTTTCAGTAAATATTTCTTTAAAGATTGAATACCTTTAGATATTTCTTCGCAAAGAGCATTATCAGTTGCTGAATAGCAACTTTTCGGTGTCCATCCATTGTAAACATCTCTAAAACGAGGCATCACCGTCAATCCCGCTTTCAACATCAAGCAATTTTTTCCATTTGAAAAATCGGGATTGTCTGAAACGTTGCGATGATTTTATTGCTCTAGATTTATTGCTTTAGAGCTCTAAATTTGACTTTTGAGAACTAACTTTTAAAATTTTAAAGTAATTAAACTTATCAAAGTACAAGTTCTTTTAACTATTGAGATTTCTTGTTATCAATGCTTACTATTAAAATTCGAGTAATCAAATTTCGTTCCATCATCCCAGAAACAGTCGGATTGTGTGGTGCATTGGAGGCCAATCCACGCTTCTTCCCAGAGTCCCGATGAAAGATATTGAGCAATCGCATCGTTGTCGGCTATAGAAGTAAGTTTATTAATTAAAAATTTGAAAGAAAAAAAAAGTTTTTATAGCCACAAATACCACAGATTTACATTACAATGCTCATCATCATTTACCTGATTTATGCAAAGTGGCCAATTGTCCATTTTGTTGTTGGCACATGTCGGCGGCTTTAAAATAGGTAAAAGATCCTTTGATGATCTGAAAGAAGATTTTTAGCTTTAAGTTAAGTTACCGTAATTCAATTAGCATAAACTACCGTAGTCTCACCGTAATTCGCAACTTTCAAATCATAAGCGGGGTAGGCTAAATTACCTGTCGTTCTTTGACAAAGAAAAGGCAAATCATTCATTTTTTTTTTGCGCAACTCGCCATAACTTTCTTCTAAGTCTTCTAATCTTTCTTCTAATCTTTATGATTTTGTAGATCTCAATAAGTGGAACAAAATGAAACCAAAATCATAAAGATTGGTCCACTTAGAAGAAAGTTATGGCGAGTTGCGCAAAAAAAATTGCGGAAATTAGCCTACCCCTCATAAACGCATTAATATCCTCATTTTTCACCCACCTTATAGCATTTTCCATTCGATAACTGTGTGTAGTCTTTATTTTGGCAAACCGATAGGCTAACCCCAAGGAAAGCGCTAAAAATCAGTAATAACCGCATGATTGTACGCAAAATTTATTACACAGTTAGTCAAAGTTCAATAAATAGTGTCGATTTTTCTAATCTTTTCGATGAGCAATTCGTACGAATTTCAGAATCAGGAAAAAGCTTAAAAGAGGCTTATCTTGGAAGAGAAAACTCAGTGAAAGGAAGATTTAAGCTCAGAATCGTTGAACAAAAGAGAAGAAAACAAAATTGTCAGCACGGACTTCCGGGGCACAAATTTCTGTATGATATGGCTTCAAGACACTCGAAAATCTCGTTAGTTTGTGATGCATGAGTAAGTGAAAGCGCCAAAAATAAATAAAACGACCACTCTGCTAGTGGGTTTCATTTTTTTTAACATTAGCCAGAAGACTTTTTTCTTGTGTTTTCTAAAGGTTGCTCTAAAGTTTGCTCTAAAGGTTCTAAAGGTAAGTACCGTAACTCAAGTGTATAAGCACAGTCCTTTTTTTTGTTTTGAAGCAGGTGAATCATTTATTCTTAAAAGACATCAAAACAGCCAAGTATCGACGCTAGTATATTACCACAAAAGTAAATTACGAATGCACAATATTCAAATGAGGATAGCCGAGGAGAGAGAAAAACAACAAAAACAACACCTGAATAGTTCAGTACTTTACAAACACAACAGCTTACCGTTAACCCGTTTAGAAAGAGCAAAAGAGAGAAGACCGTATTTCTAGATTCAAAACAATCAATCACAGATTATGCATTCAAAGGATGCAAAAGAAACAATTTAAAGATAGAATGCACTAACGAGTGGATGAAATAGACTAGTGAATGTGTTTAGCGGTTTTTAACAGAAAATGGAATCCGGAATGCGTTAAAAATATCTGCATGAGTGAAGCATCGGGTCGAGAGAAGTCGAGCCGGCTTCGGGCAATTCGAAGTGATTCTTCGTCCACAGATCGGCAATGTGCACGTGTCGCGCCACCATCTTTTCCGCAGGAGCACCGACGCCTAAAGAAGAGACATTAAAATTTTCAAACAAAAAAAAGGCATTTGAATGTTAGCAAAGCCTCTAATGGTTAGATTTTTTTTTTGTATTGACACATTCAGGGTTTAAATTTTTAATAGACGATTCGTAAGCACAAGTAGTTAGTTTCTAAAACAAACAAGCAAAAGTTATGCGCCAAATCACTCAATTTGACCTAACTCTTTATTGTCGGCTGATCACGACTACTTTTGTCGAGATTTGTTTTGTTCTTCTCAAAATGGAGCCCCTCTCGATTTGCGGTCTCTCCCGGCTATCCGCCAAGCGGTTCTCCACCACTCAGGCTCTCTCCGTCGCTATAGCCGATGATTGGATTTAATTTCACATTTTTAATTTGCCTATTTTGTGCATTTTCCATGACTAGTTGTTATGTAGCTCCATCTTCACTCCTCCGTGACTCACCGAGAATGTTGAAATCGAGCAACAACCGGTACGTCCATTCTACGGTGAAAAATGTGGCCGCATTTGACGGGAATGCCCTAAACAGGTATTTTTAATAAAATTTCTAGAATAAAATTTTAATAAATACCTAAGCATCGTCGATCCAAGACCAGCATAAAAACCCCGCACTCCGCGTTCATGATACGTCTTCTTTATGCACTCCCAATAGGTCTAAATACTAAAACTTTTAAAAAAAACGACCAATCAAATCAAACCCGATATGAATCATCTGCTTGAAATCTTGTTTTTATCACATCAGCTGGGTAGTTGGGTAACCAAGAAAGCATTCCAGCCAGTCCTAAAACCATTAGAAGTTAACGCCTAGATTTAAAAACTTTTCAATAAACTTACAAGTTAGGTAAAGTTAAAGTTCCTAACCTCCAGCTGTTAGCACTTGTGGGGCGGTGAGCGACTCCATTGTTCCATCTTTGCTCATTCCTCGTGCCAACAAATCGTAAGAAGCTAAGCAAGCATTTAACTTACAAGTGACAAACCAATCAGTTAAAAATTTTTAATTATGCTTACTCTAATCACAAAACTTACTTTCTACTACTTTTTATTTTAATTTAACTTTATATTCTATATTTCTATTCAATGTTTTCTCTTCCTTTCAGGGTTTGTTAGCGCCGTTATTGTTTAATAATTATTTTTCTTTTAGATCGAGGTGCATGGAGCGATGATAAAGTAATGCCCTATCTCCGTCGTTATGCGTCGCTAACGAAATACGATCAAAACCTCAAAAAATTCAACGATTCACGAAAATGTCAAGAATGAACATCCGCACATGAAGCCACACTGAGACGGATCGAACAAACAACGAATAATTCGAAAAGGTGTATGACTAGGAGTTGCCCCAATAGAGACCTAGTTCCCACCTTAGCTTCCCCATGTAATCATTAATTGTATGTGTTTGCTCATTGTTTTTGGATTTTTTTTGTAAGATAAAGTGAGCTTAGAGCTCAATCATTAAATACCCAAAAAAAAAGAATACCAAAGTAGACTCCCCACGCCGGACAATCTCTTACAACTGTCATCATAAAGCCTCTAAAACGATCAAAATATGCAAATAAGACTAGTAAAGACAAACCGATTCATTGAGAGCAATCCTTTTTCAGCGACGAGCACCCGAGCGGCATGCATTGGACTCTTGTAGACGGCTGCTCGGCTGTCACTCTAAAATTCAATGAAGTAATTTTATTTCCTGAATAATCAATAAAGTCACCTGTAGTTGCATCTTCAGTTTTACTCTTTCTGATGGAGCGGCGATGATTGATTGAGTAGCACCCGCGGCACATCCTCCCCAAAATTGTGCTCCCAAACTCTGCGGATCACGAAATTCCTAAAGATGAGAGTTTAGAATCGATTTAAAAATTAGCAAATTTAAAGTCGTTTTAAAACAGTCTTAGTCTAGCAATTAGCAAAGTTTGGTGCTAAAATGTAAGTGGTTAGGTTAGTTTGTAAAATCAGACTAGCGCTATTAGGTTATGCAAAACAACCTTGGTGACAGCGGCTTGAACTCCAAAAGCAGTGGCATTGATGAGACATAAAGAAGCCAACGGTGACGTTAACCCTAAAAATGAAAAATATAGGTATAAATTTTTTTTATACCAAGTTTAAGTTGTTAATGTAGGCTATCATTTCTAACCGAACCTTTCAGTCTGTGGTAAAGCGCTAAAAATCACGCGCTTCTCACACTCAACGAGTGGATGTATCAGTTTTCCCTGCAACACTCAGTGCTCACATGTCATTGACAAACAAATGGATAGGAAGTGGGAAAAACACGATTATCACTGGTGATCAAAATATTTCTCTAAGAAATCCCTTGATCCTTTTTCATTCCAAATCTACTATCTCCTTTCTCTAAACAGTCTATCACCAATCACCATCGATAAGGTCATAAATCATCCAGTCTCAATACGCCTTTCACCGAAAAGTTTTCCTCTCAAAATGCCCAAAGAAAGAAATGATGGAAAATCGATAACGATAAATTGGTTTGCAATTTTCAGAACTTGCATAAAACAAACCTTTATAAAGTCCAGTGAATCCCTCTTTTTTCACGATCAAACCAAAACAATGGAAGGTGCCTCTAAAAGAAAAGATTGTTTACGAATGGAAACAGCTTTGTATCAATTTTTCACAGCAAAAACAACTCTAATCCGTTTCATTTTTCATTAAAAATCATCCCACCGATAGAGGGGTGTGGCTCCGTGTGAGTGTTGTGTCTGCAATCGTACCTTCACAGTATCCATCGGATGTCCGGCCAACACACCGGCAGCACCTGAAAGCAAAAGAAATTATCTAGTTTGTAATTATTTGCTTATGTAGTTTTGAGGTCCATTTCCATTTTATCCATAATCTTATAAAACAACATATGCTAAGTTGCTATCAAATCCAAATGTTTAGCATTGACTAGGCTAGTCAGTAGTCTGTCAACGAAATGTGACGACAGGTGTCCAAAAGATCAACCTGTGGGAATTATTATGCATTGGCTAGTGGTGCGGTGCGGTCACGGAGATTCGTATCATGCCCTTAGGCATTCACGTGGATTGCTGCATTTCCTTGAAATCTTATGTAACGTGCAGTTAATTGTCTGCCACTATTGATTGAAAATGAACAAAAGAGATCAAATTGCTTTTCAAAGACTATGAAAACAAAAATCTGGAACGACTTCGTTGCTATTATTGAAGCCATCTAGCGACCTACAATAAACACACCTCCAAAACATCCGGCAACAAAATCGAGCGCATCAAGACCCATAGTTTATTAGGAATTCTGTGGATATAGCAGTAGTAGAAAATGATAGATATTAATGAATAGCCGATTGACGAATTAAATATTGACAAGTTATTAGAGTTTAGCAAGCTCGTAGGTCATCAACGACAATGGGGAAAGGCACACTAAGTTGCACGAGGAGTGGAAGTGGGAAAGGAAAAGGAAATGTCTTTCCTCTTCGTCCAATTTGTCGTTTGATGGTTTCCTTTTTTGCAATAGAGAGGCAGGGAATGGGATAGAGTGATTGAATAGGGTGAATGATCAGGTAAGATGAGTGGGCGATTTGTGAGAGGTTGGTAGATGGGAGATGGGGTGGTGACTCCGCCCTTTTTTGATATCTCTAATAACTCCCCCAAGATCAGCACATCGTGATCATCGCATTCCGAGCAAATTTAGCATTGAGCAAGGTTAAAGTTGGGGGAAAGTGACGAGGTTGAGTTAAAGTGCAAAGTAGCACAGAATCCAATAAGGAAAGAGTTGCGGATGCCCGGTTGTTGGACCGTAATACAAACTATGTTTGAAAAAATCAAACTATACCTCCAAGATTGCCGGCAAAGAAGTGGACAAGACATTCGAAGTTTGGGTAGAGTTTTGCATCAATCGATTTGGGCTCGCTTGTCGAACTCTGGCTCAACTTCTCGGCACAATCACAATCGAATGCCTAAATTCAACAAATATAAAATGCAATAGACTTTTCAATTTTTTGAAACCACTAACAATAAAACCTCTATCTTTCACATTTAACATTGTTCGTTTTTCTTAAAATTGATCTTTACCCAGAAAAAAAAAAGATTGCGGTCAACTTTGTAACCACACAAATTTGATCTCGTGGCTACTCGCAATAAAGGAAATTTTTGGGAAAGATTTCTAATAAAAATTCTCTTTTGATAAACGTCCCGAAAAGAAAAGCGATCCGCGATTGGCGGATTTTGGAGCGGATATTTTTTTTTCTGTTCTATCAAAGTAAAAACGGAGAGCCGTAAATTTTGATTGAAAGAAACAAAAAAAGCACTCGAGGATAGAGCAACGAAGCGATTGGATAGTGCGATTTCTATGTGGATTACTCTTGAAGAAGATATTGATTGACCTTTTGGAGACATACTTGGTCTTTTCAAAAATGGATTTGAGCTACTTGAAAGGGGCTAAAAACATTTAAGTCCAAGCTGTCCCCTGACTTTCTTTGCACCAGTATATGGCAAATGGCTGTTACACATATCACAAATGTTATAGATGTTAACACTGATAAAACCTTACCTGCCACTGCACAACTTCCGGCTGTAAGGAGAGTTTCGCGTTGACTGATGCAGAGGCCACTTTTTTGGTGCTTCTGGAAAAGTTACACATAAATACATCTAATAAAAAGGAAAAACATTACGTTGTACTTTGCGAAGAAATTGTGAAGCGGTCAATACGAGAAGTGAGAGAAAAATGGAAAAATGATTGTTTCCTGTTTCCTGTTTCCTGTAAATTTATAGATTTTGCATAAATGCAAATTGCTAACAATAAGTCAGCAGCTTGTAAATTTTTAAATCTATTGAGTTAATTGTAAAGGACCTTTGCTCATCTTTGTTTTTGCAAAAAGTCACGCTCTCGCATTTGATCAAGTGAAACTTTTGCTTTTGCACAATCTATACAAAATTGTGGTGAAAAAGGGAGTTGAAAGATTTTAAAAGTTAAAAGACCGGAAATTTGAATCTCGCAGAGTGAACCCCGTCTGAGCACTGACCAACCAGCACTTTTCCTCATAAATCTTCATTAGACTCTCAATGTCTGCTTATTTTTGGTAACACTCAACTTTTGAAGCACAAAATTCTCTCGCGAAAAGTATTTAAAGGAGCTGTTGTCGTTGGTTTATGTGATCTTTTGACTTCGTCTACTTGAGTTGATTCTCGGCAATTTACTTCATAGTTACTTGCTTTCAATTTAAACTTGGCTAACTTTTTCAAGAGGTTCAAAGCTTACTTAATTCAGCTTCCAAAATGTTCTACCAAGGAAGCGTCAGTGTGATCATCAGCGGTGAATCGAACGAGCCCGTTCACTACTCACCTTCACCCGTTCCATTTCTACTAAATTTATTCCTCAAATATACCCCATTTCATGTAACTCCCATAAAACGGGCAAAATTAGTAAGTTTTCATAGAAATTTTCCTAAACAGAGATTTCAGTTGGAAAAAGTTTTTCGTCTTTCTTATTTCGTTGTCGGAATCGGTGTTCTTCTCGTGCCGATCGGATTATATTTTATGAATGATTATAAGGTTAGCAAAGCTATATCCAAGAAAAGTCCGATACTTAAAGATACTGTAAGACCAAGGTTGCAGGCGGAAAAAAGCGAAAACTTGAAATCTTTTAATCTACAAAGAAAAAGTCAACAAATGGGGCATTTACGTTTTTCCGCTTTTTCCGTCGCAGTGCGTAGCTGCCCGATTCGTTGGGTTTTGCTTTGAAAATCAAAAGATATTAAATCTTCCGTTTTTTTCCGCTTACAAGCCTATGTAAGACGTACAGTATCTTTAATTCTTTAGCTTTTATCAGCTCAAACATTTCAGATTTGGTCTCTCGACTGGTTCTTGAACTTGAACTTTGTCTGCTGGTCATTTATCGGTTTTTTAGCCGGACTTCAATTGACAAGGTTGCTTAAAACAATGCTGTATCCAATTGTATCAATTTCTAGATGGTCACTTGCCGGTCTCGAAACATCAATTCATTCAACAACCCGTAAATTCTCTGTCGTCAAGGTTTATTACAAAAAACATTTATATCAAAGACATTTTCAGAAAGATCTTCGAAAGGACACAAGCTGTTTAAATTTTCGTTTGAAATTCTTCATTTTTCCTCTAATGGTTCTCTCGATGAGTGTCTCATTTGCGAAAACGCCAATATTAGAGGCGAAAATGAATGGGTTAGTGAGCTTTAAGCAGAAAACATTTAAAGCAGATATATGAAATGAAATAGCAAAGAGTATCCGCCAAAATCGGCTAAAATGTCAACTTCGGTTTAATAGTGATTCAAAAACGAAGCAAGAGCGTTTACAGAGAAAAATTTTGGGGACACATTCTAAAATGCACTAGCTACCGTAATCCGCAATTTCCATTGCCTAAAGCACAAACAAACACAAAATAATATTTAAAATTGTTAACTATTTACCAAACTTTTAACCGGGACGTTATTGTTGTTTCTGTTGTTGTTTCGTTAAAAGTTTTGGCAATTCGACATTTGTATTCGTCCATCTCTCTGTAAAAATCATCAAAACAAAGCGAACCGTTCCAGAAAAAAAATCAAAAAACCTTAACTTCTGTTATAGCAGTTGATCTTGATGAATTTGCGATGAAATGGCAAAGAAAAACGGTGAAAAATGGGGAGTGGGACAAATGCGACCTTTTTTTTGCGCACCCGGACATTTGCACACCTTTTTTTCCGCACCTTGCCCATTAGCGCACCTTTTTTCGCTTTTTTCGTTTAAAAAAGCTCTAAAAAGCTAATATTAACCAATTTCTATTCCAAAAGTGGTTTTTCTAGGTATTTTTAGGGCGTAGAACCGAAATTTTGGCATATTAGAGCTTGTGGAAGCGAACGGACGGAGTTATACAAAGAGAAAAATCAACAATTTTCTGTAATTTGATCTAGCCGTTTTGTCTTTCAAATTGGTTCCACAAGCTCTGTTATGTCAAAATTTCGATTCTACACCCTCAAATTACCTAGAAAAACAACATTTGGAATAGAAATTGGTTAATATTAGCTTTTTAGAGCTTTTTTAAAACGCGAAAAAAGGTGCGCTAATGGGCAAGGTGCGGAAAAAAAGGTGCGCAAATGTCCGGGTGCGCAAAAAAAAGGTCGCATTTGTCCCACCCCCGAAAAATGAATAAAAACAAATGGAAAATGGCTTTAAGCAATGGAAATTGCGGATTACAGTAGCTTTTGCTAGTGCATTTTAGAATGGGTCCCCAAAATTTTTCTCTGTAAACGCTCTTGCGTCGTTTTTGAATCACTATTAAACCGAAGTTGACATTTTAGCCGATTTTGGCGGATAACGCTCTTGCGTCAAAAACGTAGCATTTGTTTTCATTTCAAAATTCCAGATGGATTCCCCGAATCTCCCTCGCTTTTTGTGCATTTCTTTATTCACTATCATTCTTGCCATTTCATTTTATGCTTATTTCTGTGAATATTTAAATGAAAAATGGATATCTTTCAACAAAGAGATTAAAGAGGCTGACACCACAGAACTCTTCAAAGTTTAGAAATTTTATAGACATTTATGTTCAAAATTTAGTATGCAGATCTCTTGGGAACAGTCGTCATCCGTCACTCTCAACTCCTTTCACTTTTCAACGAAATCTGGCAAAATAGTGCAACTTTTATTACTCTGACCAGGTTCTTGATGAGCTGTATTACGGTATAAGATAAATTGTTTTGAAAAATTGATTCTTTTAAGTTCTCTGGCTTATTTTCTGTTTTTCGTTATTCTCAAACACTTTCACCGCTCGAATGGATCCTTTTGTGCAGTTGGATTGGACTTTCCACGATCATTTTGTTCAATCTGAATACGGGAAAGGAAAGGATTGTCAAAAAAGTGAGTGAGAAATGTTTGGGGAGAGGCTATTTTATAAGATTTTACCGATAAACACAGTAGGAACAGTCGGACAAAAGGCTGATCTTGCTAGGTTCTGGATTGTAGGATCTAGAATCCGATTGGAACATTACATTCCCCATTCTTTAGATCCTACCCATTAAATACTTGCTACCTAAATTTGCATTTAAAGAATCATCAAACCTTTCAATATTTTTCAGATTCTCGAAGCCGAGACTCTCATCCTCTCGGAGACTTCAATTTGGACAGAAAAACAAGAATCAATCAGTCTAGTTGCCACCGGAATGATCCAAAGAAGTCAACATTTCAGAGCTGTAAGTAAACTAGAGCCATATTGTTGGCAAAATGCACTTGAATTCAATAGGATTCAAAAAGTTTGAACAACAATGATGACGTCAATGGGAAATCGGACATTTATTTGGCCAAATATTTGCCATCGATCGTCGAAATTTCAGACAATTTTCGATCACTTTTTAGTTGATCTCCTCGTGGCATTCGAATGGTTTGAATGGAGTGGGAGATACGTCAATTATTGTGAGTTACAATCATACCTCGTTAGTAAAAGAACTCAAGGGAGTTAAAAAAATCGATTTACTATTGAGGTTAAATTCAAATGTTTGTTTTTTTTTTTCAAATAGGCGCTAGAAAATCTATTTTTTTTAAAAGAGTTTTCTACTAACAAGGTTTTATTGTAAATGAAGAGCTTGTAGAAGTCTCAGCATAAAAATTTGATTCGAAAGACATTTTTTTTTGATTGAATGAGGCTTTAAATTAAAGGATTTTTAGTAGAAATGAAGATTAGACTAAAGATGAAACATTCAGAATAAAGATAAAGATTATAAATTGAAATATACGTTTAAAAATAAAAATCTAGACTTTAATTTAAAGCTTTTCCAACTATTTCGATTTCAGATTCTTTTCTCATTGATCATCACCGCGTATCTCTTCTCGAGTTTTCATCTTCAGATCATCTTAGCTCAATATTTTGAACTCAAAAACTTATCCAACTTGTTTTCCATCCAAATTTTGATTACCTAATTGATTTATTAAACAAATTTATTAAACAAATTCATTCAATCAGTTAAACTGTTGTGTTAAAGAATTTTTTTTTTGTTGCTTTTATCAAGCTTTTCCGTATCTTTTATAAATTTTCAATCATTTATTATAAGAAAAGAAAGTTTCTACAAGGTAAAGAAAGGAAGCAAAAAAAATAAATGCAACCAGTAAGTGATAAGTAAACAAAGGGAAAAGGGATTAAATATACAGAAAGAACGATTTCTCTGGTAGAAAAATGACTAAAAAGTCGAATTTCGTGAAAAGTAGAGAAGAACTAGCGTAAGATTAGGCAAAGATTTTCACAAGACAAACAAACAACAAACTTTAATAGAAATTTCAGCAAATTTTCTTAAAAAACTCGTTTTTTAATTTGCATCATTGACTGTGTAACCACAAACGATTCCCGTTCCATTTACAGAAACCTGAATATTTATTGCGTAAAGCACTTGTTTGGCTTTAGTTTGTCTTTGGCTTGTCTTTTAAAATATTGCATGTCAAATATCAAAAGTACTCACTCGACCCAATCCATTTCCACATGGGATTCGCGGGAAATCGCACGGATTCGCGTTGCACAACGTCCATTGCACGAATGGACCTCTGAAAATAAAGGTAATATGTATTTTCTACATATGAAACTATGACACAGAACTAATTGTTAAGTCTTACTGGCAATTGCAGCCCGTCGTACAAGCTCGGATCATCTTTTTGCACTCCATATCCACCACAAGTGTCATTGCACGATCCTCTCAACACCCACGGAGTGTAAATCTCTTGGCATTCAGCGTAGACAGCAATGAAGAAAAGAGTAGACACTAAAATAGATCATCAATCGAATTTCCTTTTAGTTTTTAACTGGCGCTAAACTTTTAGATACGGTAAAATCGAAATCACACTACTTTTACTAATCTAAACTAATCTAATTCAAAATTCTAATTCAAAACACTTACCAGCCAATCCAAGAAGAACCTGCTTGTTCATTTTGAATTTAATCAAATGTTTCTGAAAGGTGAAAGCTTTGAATTGTTTAACAAGTATTTTTGCGAGGATTAAATACTAAATGGCAATCAGATCGGTGCAGAATTTCGTGAATAGTTGAGGGAAATGTTTGCACAGGAACTGTTCACAGCACGATTCCCGAGTGCATCCATCAGTTCAATTTAGAGAAATGACCGGCTAAACAACTCATCGGAAAAAGGGGAAAAGAAATTCTTGTAGATTATTGAACAGCTCAACGATCGGATCACGAAAATGAGGGCAAAACAGAACTAGAGTTGAGGAGGAGGGATTAATGAAACAATCGGAAAGGAAACATCTTAAGAAGCTTGTATCGGATAGGTTTAGAATGCTTCTTTTTTTATTTTATTGAACAAGTATGGTTTAAAGTCAGAGTTTGTGTTATGAATGGCTATTCCAACTGGGTGCTGTAGCTTGTAGGGCAGGGCAGAAGCCAGATTTCTAAGCGATCTTTGGCTGGTCTCTAGAAAATTGTCTTTGAAAACTAAATAAACTTTTCTTTGAAAAAACCATGTTTTAAAACCTTAAAAAACACTTGTCGGGAAATTACTGTAGCTAGACGAAAAGCTAGACGAAAATTTTCTAAAGAGTTTTTCTAAAAAGCGACCGTTTCAAATTTCTTCGAACAAATCAATAAATCTATTTTATTTTTATTTTTTCATTAATTGTTAATGTTTTACATTGTTTTTTTATTAAATGTTATTTAAATTTTATTTTTTAGATAATGGATTGATGGAAACCGCTTTCTGCGTACGAGAAAAGCTGAATTGACGCCCGAACGGTGGATTGATCAGGGAAATCGTCGTTTTTTTTTAAATCGTGCATCAGACTCTGTTCACAACTGCTTGAAAAACAATGGCAACTCTATTCCTGGAACTCGAGGACCAAAGTTTCTGGAAACCGCTTTCTGCGTACGAGAAAAGCTGAATTGACGCCCGAACGGTGGATTGATCAGGGAAATCGTCGTTGTTTTTAAAGCGTGCATCAAACTCTGTTCACAGCTGCTTGAAAAACAATGGTAACACTATTCCTGGAAGTCGAGGACCAAAGTCAAAGCTTACGCCACGAGGAAAGCGACAAATTGTCAACAATTGTATTAGATTGCCAGTCTTGCTGTAAGTGCTCACATTTAGCAGAGACAAACTCTAACTCTGAACATGCATTTTGAATGATGATTTGTTTCTGTATCGACTGAAAAAACAAAGATTGTTTGAGTCTTTAAATCTTTTACTAGCATTTAGAACTGTGGTTTCACAATCTTAAACGATTTCGAAATTCAATTTTTCACCATCCCCATCATTGACCCCTTCTCGTACTTGATTCACCCTCTAACCGTTCAAAAATCCCTCATTCCCCAATTTCCATTAATAGCTTTTTCACTGCAAAATCTGTTCAATAATTGTTCAAATAGACATTCGCAATTTTGCAGCAGAAGAAGTAGAGAAATTTTGCTTCCGGACGCGTAAAAAGCTGCTCTCCAAACGTGGCTAACGATTCAACGATTAATTCAACAAAATTGATGGGACGAACACGAGAAAAAGCTGAATAAATATAGGAATTTTGCTATTTTTGCTAAAATTAACCATTCTGTGGAGAGGGAAGGCTTAGGAAGAGCTAGCGGGAAAAAAGCAGGTGCTTTGATGATCCAATGGGGAAACATGGGCTTGAGACGTGGTCATTTGGGTGCAATTTAAGGAAAAAGGATACGTTTTAGTTCTATTTTTCGAGACTAAAGATGTGTAGTATGATTCTTCAACGTATTGTAAACTTCTTTCTTTGGTTTTTCAAACCAGATAAATAAATCAATTGATTGGGTGTCGGATGAAAGTGGCGCTCGAGAGCTAGTCTATCTTGCAGAGTAAATGTAATGTTGGCCTTAACTAATCAATTGATTGGGTGTCGGATGAAAGTGGCGTTCGAGAGCTAGTCTATCTTGCAAAGTAAATGTAAAGAGTAATATTGGCCTTTACAAGGTCGTTAAGTTCCTCAAAAACTTTTTTAAATTCATCAATTTATCTTTTAAACGTTTATTGAACGCTAAAACATAAATATTTACAAAAGATTTGAAATTTTTGCATAGAAACGAGTGAAATGAAGGTGATTAGGCGGGTCCGCAATAGACAACTCCGGCAGCTGCATCGGTTTGAAGGGTGAGTTTCTAAAAGATTTTGGTACTTTGTGAGTTGGGGGCACCTATATTTTTATTTTTTTCACTTTCTAGGGGTAATCGAGGGCACTGAGCAAGAATTTGACAGTTTTAGCTATTGGGTTTTAGTTTTTGCCCCTATTGGGGCAATTTTTCAAGGTGAAACCTAGAGCCAACACTATTTTAACCACTAAATATACATTTTCTAGGTGTTTGTTGATAAGCAGAGATTTCTGGGGATGACGCTCAAAGACCTCTGCTCATCAACACATCAGGATTCCAAAAAACACACTATAGAAGCGCGCACTTTTGAGCCCCGAAACTTGGCTTAAAACGCATTTTCCCAAGCTCTCGTTGTGTTTTTCGGAATCTACGCATAAAACTACCCAAGGAAAAGTGGTTTTGAAGAAAAAAAAAGTGTCCCCAACCTTAATAGCGCCTAAAACGTGTCGAAATGTCGGTTTTTCAGTTGAAAACCTATGCTAAAATTGTAAAATTCGTGCTCAGCACCCCCGATTACCCCTAGGAAAGTCAAAGAAAAGTGAAAAATTGATAAAGTTTTCAGTTTTCGATTTAATCTTTGAATAAACAAACCGTTCCAGCTTTGTTCGTTCCACAAGCCGCATTGTTGCCGAAACCGCATGGTTGTGGGTTACAGTTGAATGTCGTTCGTTCAAAACCGGTGCCACTGTAAAATATAGGAGATGATGGAAATTTGGAAACAACTCACGCAGCATTGGTTCTCTTGTATGTGGCCACTCCTCCACCGCCGCATGTTTTTGAGCAACTCGTCACCGGGAACCACGCTCCTTGGCAATTAATCACTGCGATCAGCACTGAAATGAGAGAAAATGTAAATTTACATTGTAAAGACACAAAAATTTACTCTAAACTAGTTTTGGTTTCTTTGTGAGGCAACAGAAATCTAAATTCTATCAGATTCTACCAAATAAAGATTAGACTTAGCTTCGATTTCATCTTATGATAACTCTCTTATCTTATGATAGCTCTCAATCTTATGATAGCTATTATAGCTCTATTAAATCTCTATCAAATCTCTATTAAATAGCTTTCTGATAGCTTGGATAAGCTATGAAAAATTGGTGAAAATTCAATGAGGCTAAATTCAATGAGATTTTTCTTAGACATTGACTATAAAGATGACTTTTATATAGTCAACGTCTAATCAAAACTAGATAGCTTTCGAAATTTGTCATGTTTCCGAAAGCTACTCAAATTATTGGGTTGATGGAAAAGTCCTTTCCGATTTTTGGGAGAGTACCTTAAATTTGTCTCATTTTTTGGCTCTGCCGCCCTTTACTAAAATAGCTGTAAAAACTTTTAGAAAAGAGATATCTCAAAACGGTTTTTACCAATCGATTCGTCTTGAATTCAGCTTTAGGATGAGCTATAAAACGTCAAAATTCGACAAATTTAAGGTACTCTCCCAAAAAATCGGAAAGGACTTTTCCATCAACCCAATATTAACGATTAGAATTACTTAAAAGGAACAAAAACTTTCAAGTATGAAGCTCTAAATACACAATAGAATATGATATTTCAAACTCACCAAGACAAATGAACGCCAATCGGAGTAGAGACATTTGTGAGTGGCGTGAATGTTTTCGATCTTCAAAATGTGTGTGATTTCTCTCGATGATTGTTGTGTATTTATAGTGTTTTCATGTTCTTTCGCCTCTTTCCCTCTTTTCATTTAAAATTCTACCCTCAAAAAGCGGGCATTGTTATTTTTTTTTTCAGTTATTTGATCAGAACCCATTTTTTGGCATCTGATTTGAAACGTCAAAAGGGGGAAAATGGAATCAAACATGATTTTAATAGGTTTTAAATTTCGGGAAAAGTGCCAGTCTGTGTCAGAGTGGATTTTCTGGAAAAGTGAATTTATTAAGCTGGTGTTTGAGCTTTTAAACTTTTTCGTTTCAAAGAAAATGTAAGGTAAAGTAAGTAATTTTGATAGAAAATCAGCTGTTTAGCTGTTTAACTGAATATTCAATATGAGATTTGTCTTATTAAAGATACCGTAAAGTTTCAACCTCACTAAGTTAACATTAAAGCTGACATAAAAGTACAAATTCACTTATAAACGAATTCATTTATTTATTTAGTATTTATAGTTTCTTTAGATTTCATTCAATTAAAGCATTCCATTTTGATGATTGAATATCTTTCATTTCAGCATGCTAAAAGATGTTAAGACTGCTTGGGTGACTTAATCGAACTGTCTAATCTCTCCCCATCATCAGAATGTACTCATCATCAGAATGTACTCATCAGAATATACTCATCATCAGAATATACTCATCATCAGAATGTACTCATCATCAGAATGTACTCATCATCAGAATGTACTCATCATCAGAATGTACTTATCATCAGAATGTACTTATCATCAGAATGTACTTATCATCAGAATGTACTTATCATCAGAATGTACTGTACTCATAATCAGAATGTACCAAATTATTATCCGCTTAGCCACTTTAAAGCTTTTCTACCAGATTATCGCTTTTTAATAAGGTGTAATCGGTGAAACGGCTTACTTCCGTATTTGACGCACAACAAATTGCTGCCGGGTCACGTGATCTGGAAACAAAACACAGTTTTTGTTGAAAGCACTTTCATTAGAGCTTGCTTTTCAACAGTTTACTTATTTCTTAAATTCCAATTTTCTACAATTTCCCAAAACAATTCTCCCGTTCCCCCATTCCCCCCATTCATCCAGCAAATCATTTGAAACATTTGTGAGGTCATCAAATAAAAAACTTTCAGACAGTGAACAAACACGAGCGATCATGTGGTTTAATAAAGGGAAAATCTCTTGGCATCACATGGATATTTGAATATTTTGATGACATTCATCGAAATGTTTTCTGGCTTTGGATGGCACGGAGTAAAGGGTTTACGTAGAAAATTGGACATTGAAAATGAATGCGTTATTTAACGACTTTATCTAATAATGAGAGCTAGATGAAAGTACATTGTTAGTCGATTCATAATTCGTATAGCTTAAGCTAAATTGGAATGCGAGTTTTCTCATCAGAATCAAAAATAAATGAAAAGACCAGATGCTAAAATTGAGCGAGGAAAATCGTAAAAGTGTTCATGATTTGCGTAAAGTTTTGGCTTCTGGCATATTTAATTCTCTGTTTTTTAACGATTTTTGGGTACTCATCGTTAGTCTAATAGTGATTTCATCACACAAAAAATAAGTTCAATGTGTCCAACTCTTTCAAATGTTTGACATCAAAAGTCACATTTCCAGACAGTCATCCGATCTCATTTCTATTCCTTTTGAATCTTTTTAATATTTTCGATTTTGAGTTAAAAAGAGCCAAAAAAATGTTTCCAAAAGCCAAAAGCTAGCCTTTGCCTCATTATTACATTTCAAATTTTTTAAAAATCAAAATGTACCACAGTGTTTGTGGTCGACAAAATTGGCTTTGATCTTTAATTGGCTTTGATCTTTATCCAGAGCATTTAATGCAGAAAAGACTCGAAGAAGTATTTATCCGATTAACAAAAGAGTTTGTTTTCATCGCAATTCCAATTCTGATCGTTTACAAACCATTCCCGAATCCGCAATACCAGTTCGTTCCATAGAGGTACTTGGCAAGACCCTGGAAAGCATTGAATATGAATTGTTTGAATATTTATTTGGATTGCTTTGGATTGTTGGATTGTTGGATAGATTTGTTAGTGTTCAATAGGCAGTACGTTTCAGTACGATCCGAGACAGAAGTCACCTTTTAACCAGGTTCAAGGACTTCTGCACCTTTTGCAAAGCCAAGCCAAGAGTTGGCTTCTAACCTGCACTTGGTCCGGAAAATTTCTTTTTAAAACAACACTAACTATGAGGCGACTTATTAGATAATTTCAGTACAATTATCCGTTATATTTTGTAATTTAACTCACCACAGATGTATCACAAGTCGCTCGCGGGAAAGCACACAAAGCTTGGGCACATAGGGTGTACATTGTGAAGGGACCTCTGGAAAATAAGAAAATAAGTTATTGTTTCTCTTTGTATACTTACTGGCAAGTGCATCCTGTCACACATGCTCTAATCAATTGCATTTGTCCATATCCTCCACACGTATCATTGCACACTCCCCTCGTCAACCATGGAGTGTATTTCTCGATACAAGTGCCTGATGTGCTTGCGGCTGGGGTCGAAGCAGCGGCAGTTGCTAAACAGAGAAAGCAAATCGTGTGCAATCGTCTATGCACATATTCAAGAAGCGTAAATTTGTCAAATCTATGATGAAGCGAATCTGCATCACTCACTCGGAACAATTGACGATGACTGTGATGATGTGAGAGTGATGAGAGCTGAAAAATAGTTGTATTTTAAAAAATACAATATAAAATGTTGCTCAATGTATATTTAGGCTTTGCTGCAATTTGCTTTACATTTTTTTGTTATGTAAAACCTTTCTTGAAATTAGTTAGCGTACTAGCTTAGCTTAACTACTAGCGTAGTAGACAGGTAACTTTCCAAGCTAGGTTTGTATGTAAATTAGGAGATTTCATAGGGTACATTGTAGTGCTTATTACTGAATCTTCTAGATCAAATTTAAGTAAAGCTATTGTCAATTTCTCAAAAAACCTTACCAAAAACGGTGATGACGATTTGCGTAGAGAAGGCAGTGTTCATCATTGTATTGTACTGATTCAAAAGTAATTGCCGCTTGGCCGCCCCGCTTTCCCCAAGAAGGAGTTTAGCTATAAATACTGAAATTTATGATATAAAAAATGGCAGAGATATTTTAGGTCAAAGCTTGATTTTGAGGACATTGGAGAGAGGTTTAAGAAAAAGATTTCCCTTGAATGCCACGCCTTTTCATTTCTCCCTGCTAGAACCCCTTCAGATTTTGTTGATTCAGCTGAATTTCCCTTTTTTTGATTTGAAATGCTGAACATTGAAGAGTTTACGACAAAAAACTTTCCTTTCCTAATCGTCCAACGATTATCCACTGTGGGCAAGAAAAAAGTTTGAAGCTTTTACTGGGAATTGTTGATTTGGTCAATGACTTGGTTGTGCTATGATCCAATCAGAAATCATAGCGCAGTTTTTTTGGGTGCAAACAAATACCATTGCAGGGATTTGTACGCATATGTGACATGTGACATAAACATATTATTGAGGCTAATGGACTCTAGTTTGCTTATCAGGTGAGTCTTTTAGCTTAGCATCCTAGTTTGACAACAATTAAACCCGAGTTTCATTTGGTAGACTCAATAAAATGAATAGCGCCAATCGATTTCCCTGAAAATCACGGGTACAAATTCACAGCCGAACATCTTCTTTTGTACCATCTAAAAAGCAAAAGAGGAATGCTTGTAGTGACCGAGAAGATGTTCGGGAAAGGACGAGTCTGCGACTCAGCCTGTTTCCTCGATTTGGGCGTCATTATGCTCAAATTCCTTGCCCCAAATTTGGCTGTATCTCCACAAATTTCACATCGCACCAAACCAAGACAATTGGTCCCAGCGAAAATCAGTTCCAATTTGGGTCTCTTCTTTAAAATACCAAAGAAATTTGAAGAAAAATACTTTTTGTTGCTAACCAAATGTTGTCTGGAAAAAGGAAAAAACGAGAAAGCCAATAAAATGAAAGAAAATATGTGACGTCTGTGCAATGTGATCGCTGAATGGATAAAAATCAAACAAGAGCACACGTTTTACGAGGTAGTCTTCAGAAAGATTCATGGGATCTTCGTTTTAATAAAGTTGTTGGCTATGAGTTTTGAATATTTTACTGAAGCAAAACACAAAGAAATCTTTTGGTCAGTCTTGCAAATCGAATTAGATTTATCTATTTTGCTATCGGGTAATTAAACAAAAGCCATCATCAGATTTCAGTTTTGCTCTTGAACGTATCAAAGTTTGTTATCAAATCAATTTTGGTATTTGGGCAATTGAGCTAAAACCGAAATGTTCTCATTAGATATTCGGTAATTCAACCGAATAACCATTTTCTCATCCCAGTTCCCTTGATGAACATTTTCCCAATTGCAACTCCAATACTCTCTAACCAATAAGCATTGGGTGATTGAACCAACTCGATTTCCTCAATCTAGTTGTCTCAATGATCGCTTCAAAGTTTGTTTCTCATCTCGTGATCAGATTTCCCAAAAGCCAGGCAAAATCCTAATCTACTCGGAAGTAAATGTTTGACTGTGTGTAGAAAAATTGCTCATATTTGCTTAAAGTTTGGCTATCCACGAGTGCGCACAACTCGATTTTAGTCTAGCGGTTTTTTAAGGACAAATCCGATTTGTGTAAACTGAAGGGTCAGAGGCAGACAAATCGAAAGCAAAATGAGGATTTTTGACTATTTACACACATACACACATTTCTCCCAGCCGATCGTTTGCGAATTTTTTTAGCCACGGAAATAGACAAACTTTTTAGACTTTTGCAAAAATTTTCCAATTTGGGAGCGATTGGAAAGTGAAAAAATTTCTGTCTCCCGTGTCTATGGGAGTTTGAAATGAAACGAAATTAGATTTGGTTTATGATCTGGGTCATTATTGGCTGCAATGCTTGCAAAATTGCATAGGTTTTGCAGACTAGCAGACGATTCCAGATCACTAAACATCACATGAAACAAAGGAACTAAAAATGAGTTTGGTTTTGATTGCGTGACTTGTGAAAGTTGACCTGTTAGATTTGTTAGTGGATGTAGATTTAGTTGAAAAATGATTGCCTTTGTTTTATTTCGTTCAACTCAACTCAACACAACTCAGCCAGCAAAGCCAGTAGTCGCAATTCTCGTCTCCCTCAAGACGATCACTGAAATAGAGGTAATTGGATATAAAATTCAACCTTGGATGTATCTATCATTGGGTGTCTGGCCTGCCAACTACCGTACTCTAAAAGGGTATTTCACTGAACTAGACTTCATGTGTTTACAAAAAAAGACCCAACGAGTGTCGCACATCGCCAACATAGACCTCCTTTGTCGTTCCCCCTAAAAAACGTTTGTAAAACTAGATTCGGCAAAATTGATGGCAAAGTAACTGTATTACTTATATATGTCGTAGCCGATTATGATATTGAAATTTTTGTCAAGGTTTGTGATGAATGCGAGCTGAAGAAGGGTATACCCAAGTAAGGAATTTTTATAAAACCAATTGTGACAAAAGAACAAAATGAGCGATGTCAGATCGATTTGGTTGACCTTCAATCGGTACCCGACGGTGACTACAAGTTTTTGATGATTTACCAGGATCATATCACAAAATTTGTAATCCTTCGTGCATTAAAATCAAAAACAGCGTTTGAGGTGGTGAATCACTTGATGGAGATATTTGGAACTTTTGGAGCGCCAACGATTTTGTAGTCGGACAATCGGCGCGAATTTGCCAACAAAATGGTAAGCTTTTTTTGAATTATTTTATTACATTTATCTATTGCAGTTTTTTCAATAACTTTTTCTTTTAGGTTAAAGAATTAGTGAATCGTTGGTCAGGGTGTCAAATTGTGCACGGGCGACCACGACACTCGCAATCACAAGGATCCGTTGAAAGCGCAAATCAGGATGTTGAGGTTAGTTAGTTGTGCGGAAGGAACATTTTTTAGCTAAAAACAATATTGCATTTAGAGAATCCTTTGCACTCAACTACGTGAAGAAAAATCTACAAGGTGGGCCCGAATTCTTCCAGTTGTGCAATCGATGAAGAATCGGCGATTTCATCGAGGGATCGGACGTTCGCCATTTGAAGCAATGTTTGGTCGGAAGATGACACTCGGCTTTGAAAAAGGAGAGCTACCAAAAAATCAAGGTGAAAACGAAAATGAGGTAATATATTTATATTTTTTATATTTTATATTTTTGTTGATTAAATTTATTCGTTTGCTTCAGGTCGACGAAAACGAAAAATTTGACGACTGGAGTGAATCGATTCGAGCCGCAATCACAGAAAATCCAACTTTTCACAACTTCCGGACACAAGTGACGAAGCGGACGAGGAGTTCGAGAAGGCGATGGGTAAGTCATAGTATTAATGCTTTATTGTAAAGTTAGTTTAATATTTGACTAAAGCGAAGTTTGATTCTTTCAAGCGAGAAATACGCGGAAATCGTCACCGTTCTCCAACAATTGCGGAATGAAGACTTCAAACCATCGAAAAAAACACAAAAACTTCTAGTGCGATTCTCTCTTCGATACGAATTGAATTAAGAGGTGCTTTACAATCATGGGATCAAAGGCGATTTGGAAAAACCCAAGAAAGTCGTCAAGAAAGAAGAGCTCTTTGGCCTGTTAACGACCACTCACCAACGACTTGGGCACGCCGGACGAGATATAATGTGGCAAGGACTACGAGATTATCATGGGATCTCAAAAGAAGTAATCGAAATTTTTGTCAAGTTGTGCCCAGAATGCGAGCTCAAAAAAGGAACACCAAAGAAAGAAATAGTCGTGAAGCCAATTGTTACAAAGGATTTCAACGAGAGATGCCAGGTGGATTTAATCGATCTTTAATCCGTTCCCGATGGAGAATTCAAGTTTTTGATGGTCTACCAGGATCATTTCACAAAGTTCGTCGTTTTGCGGCATTGCAAAGGAAAACACAATTTGAAGTTATCGATCATCTAATGGAAATATTCGGAACGTTTGGAGCCCCAAAAATTCTTCAGCCCGACAACGGAAAGGAGTTCGCCAACAGATTGGTAAGCCTTTACTTTTGTCTCCTATCGAATTTCTTTATGACGCTTTATTTTGTTTGCTTTTAGGTCAAAGAACTCGTGAACCGGTGGTATTATTGTTTATTTTTGTTTTATTATTGTTTATAAACTCACTTTTTGGTATTATTGTTTATTTTTGTTGTTTAGTTTGGTCGAAAAATGCAACTACAACTAGAAGGCGTTTTTAGCTTTTAAGCACCTTTTAGAGCACTTGAGTTTGTGGTATTGACTTGAGTCAATACATAACTCAAGATTTCATTTTTGAGACTTAATCGGCTAGCCGAAGAAGGTTTCGCTAGCGAAAAAATTTGAGACTTCATCGGCTACGATATATCAAAAAAGTAGCACAAAGATTAAATATTTCAACCTTTAAGATGCGTATTTCGGTGTGATTTCACGTATAGATAAAGGCAAAATTTGAAAAAAATTTCCATTTGAAGAGTTTCCCGGCCGCGGATGTTTCATTCTTCCGCATTTATTCTGCGATTTCTTTTCTGTTTTTGCTTTCACCAATTGCCTTGAACGTACTAATTTCGTTTCTTTAGCAGCCAAAATGCTCAAGACGGTCACCTTGTGCGCCTTGCTCGCCATTGGAATCTTCGCATCGGCGAAATTCGAAGAGGAGGAGAATGTCATCGTTCTCACAAAGGTTTGTTATATTTAATTAGCATTTCGGCACTTTTTTGGTTTGCCCTCCCCCCAAACATCAGCAAAATTTTGGTACTACGCCGGTTAAAGTTTGTAAAAAAAATTTATTCTGCTCCAATTTGATCAGAAACGTAATCAGTGGGTTAAATTATGCCAGAAGAAGTGTTTTTGGCTTAAAAAAATGTTTTGAGAGACCATTTTTAGACCTCTTCCCTATTTGTATCGCTCTCATCACACCGTATGAGCGCACACTTTTGTGCTCCGAAACGTGGCTTAAAACGCATTTTCCTAAGCGCATGTTGTTTTTCGGGATCTACGCATAAAACTACCCCAGAAAGAGTGGTTTTGGAGAAAAAAAAGTGCCCGCTCAACCGGCGTAGTACCAAAATTTTGCTGATGTTTGGGGAGGGGGGACAAACCAAAAAAGTACCAGCATTTCTATGACCTTTTTAGCTTACTTATTGCTATTTCATTTAGGAAAACTTCGATGATGTCGTGAAGAACACGGAATTCGTTCTCGTTGAATTCTACGCTCCATGGTGCGGGCACTGCAAGGCTCTTGCTCCCGAATATGCCAAGGTATCGCAAACTTTTTGTCTTATTGTAATCTTTAAATCTAGTTGTCAAGATTTATCATTAAGCTGATCACTTTGAATTAAGTAAAGCTGAAAGACTGAATAGTTAGTTTAGTCAAAATTAAGAAAAGCATAGCATTGTATTGATGTCAGCTAAGTCAACCGGAGACCCTTTTTGTATTTTCAGCTTTCATTTTTAGGCCGCTACTCAATTGAAGGAGGAGGGATCCGCCATCAGACTCGGAAAATTGGACGCCACCGTGCACGGAGATGTCGCCTCGAAGTTCGAAGTCCGCGGCTACCCAACACTCAAGCTCTTCCGCAACGGCAAAGCAATCGAATACGGAGCTAGACGCGACTCGGCTTCAATCATCGGATGGCTCAAAAAAGAAGAGCGGACCAGCTGTCAAGACCCTTGCATCGGCTGACGAGCTGAAGGACTTCTCCGACTCCGCTGACGTCGTTGTGGTTGGGTACTTCAAGGTGGTTTGTTGATATTATATTAGTTATAGATTTGTAGCACAGCGTTTTACAGTTAATTTAGTTGAGTCTTTTTCAAATATACTTATTTAATTTAGACTGCTGATAATGAAAATGCCATGGCTTTCCTCGAGGTTGCTGACGGGATGGATGTTGTGCCATTCGGAATGTCGACTGATGACGCTTTCGAGAAGGAGCTCGGGCTTAAGGGTGAGGGAGTCGTTCTATTCAAGAAATTCGATGAGGGAAAGGCTATCTTCGATGAGGAGGTATTGTTTTAGTTCTGGTGCATGTGAAACGCTTGAAAATTTTGTTGATTCATTGTCCCATTGTTCAAGAATAACTTTCACTTTTAGTTGAAGACTGACACACTCAGGAGCTGGATCGAAGCCAACCGTCTCCCACTCGTTGCAGAATTCACCAAAGAAACCGCTTCAGTCATCTTCAAAGGAGAACTCAAATCACTCAACTTGCTTTTCATCTCCAAGGAATCCTCCGAGTTCGAGAAGACCTACGGAGAATTCAAGGCTGCCGCCAAGCATTTCAAGGGAAAGGTAAGCAATATATTACGTTGTAGTTTAGTAATTACTAGGTTGAAAGGAATGCACATCCCTGTTTTTGAATGGTTATAAATTAACGGTTAAGTAATTGCTATAATCTTGAATCACATTCATACTTTTTATTTTGGGTTCTCTTCGTATACATCAACACCGATGTTGAGGACAACGCTCGCATCATGGAGTTCTTCGAACTCAAGAAGCGTGATATCCCAGCCGTCCGAATCATCTCGTTGCATGATGGCACGACCAAGTACAAGCCAGACTTCGACGAACTCAACACCGGGAACTTTACCAAGTTCACCCAATCGTACTTAGACGGAGCGTTGAAGGCTCACTTGATGTCTGAGGAGATCCCCAAGGATTGGGACAAATCGCCCGTCAAGGTATACATTTTAAATGGCTGGGATATATTACTCGGGACATTGTTAATATCTACAACGTTTAATCAATTTAAACACTAACTTAATTTTTAGGTGCTCGTCGGAAAGAACTTTGATGAAATCGCCCGAGACAACACTAAGAATGTGCTCGTCGAATTCTACGCCCCATGGTTCGTTCATTTAAGTTTCTTGCTAGATTAAATGTAACTTTAGGTGCGGACACTGCAAGCAATTGGCACCAACTTGGGACAAACTTGGAGAGAGATACGCTGGTCACGAGAACATTGTCATCGCCAAGATGGACGCTACCGTCAACGAGGTTTTTGTTTTTAAAGCAAATCAATATTTGTAGATCAGAGATACTTTAAAAAGAAAATTACTTTGGTAATCGCTATCTTAAACTAACAATTCACTTTGTTTAGGTTGAGAACGTGAAGGTTCAATCCTTCCCCACGATCAAGTTCTTCCCAGCCGGCTCAAACGAAGTTGTTGACTACACTGGTGACCGAACTCTAGAAGGATTCTCGAAATTCCTCGAATCGAGTAGCAAGGCCGAAGCTGAGGACGCCAAGGAGGAAGCAGAAGATGATGAGTCCGAGGGAAAACACATCGAGCTCTAAACCCCCATTTGCATAAGCATAAGCCCTTCTAGCGATTCATGCACTTGTCAAATTTCTGTGATTTTGTGCTTCATATGCGTATCTTTCCCGATTATATTTCCATCGAAGTGGGCTAATATTTTCTTTTGTTACTGAGTGAGTTCTGGTATTTTTTTTCTTTTTAACCCTCTCATAACCTAAGTGTGCTTCCCTCATTTCTCAATAATCGCCTCTGGCTGTATATTTTCTGTGTGTTGGGCTAAATGGGTAGTTTCTTGTGAGATTTCTATTTTGTAATCAAGACCCACATTTTTTTCTGTTTGTTTTATAAATGGTTGCCTTCGAAATTGTTGATTCTTCTGGAAATGAAAAAACAAACAATCCAAGCTGTAATGAATGAATGCATAGGCACAATGAAATGATGGAAATTTGGAAATGGTGAATTAATGGAAGGATTAGACGACGATGGAAATTGATGATGAAAAAATATGAAGGAAAAAGTAACAAATGCGTACAGCTCTTGTTTAAAAGAAGATTCATATGCTACAACAATAAATTTGATACGGCTTGATCCTATCGTTATGGAGTGACCGTTGTGATGGGAGTTCGATAAACGCCCTGAAATTACAGTCTTTGCGTGAGGCGTCGAGTTTTCTAAAAGGTGGATTAATTTTTAAAAATGACTTTTTTTTTGTGCGGACATACAATCGCGCGTCTTCTGGCAAACAGGCCCGGCCACTCGGTTCACTTACCCAATGCTTTGAGGAAATTTAGAAGAGTGAAACGAATCTTTCCCCCCTTCATCCACCCCCAATTCCCCTCAACGATCCCTCCCAGAAAAGTTCTCCTGCCAGTTAAACGAGCCCTCTTCCCTTCACTTTATCCACCCCCAAATTGAGACTGGATAGAGGCAAATCTCATTCCATTTATACCGGAAGTCCTTTTCTTTTTCTCCTCTAGATGAAGAAGGGTTTAGATTTGGGGTAACCGAATTCATCGCATTGTCTTTTTTCATGTAAAAAAGAAACTCATTTTAGCCGTATTCCTAAATGTTTTTGGTGAGTTGAGAAAGAAAAGATGAGTCTTGTCGAGGAGCTGAACGCTTCTGATGTCACTTTTTTTTTGGCTATAGTTTTAGTTTCAAGTTCTGAAAATTTACATTCACCTGCCATTATTTCTTTTTGCGCAACTAGTGCTTTTCCTGTAATTTCGAATCTGTTTGCGTATTTTGTGCCCGGAAACGCGCCGGCTTTGGCACACTGTTTTCTCAATCGTTCGCAAGAGATTTCAACAAGAGATTTTGTTTTTTTTTTATGGATTTTGTCTGAAGCCAGGCCCTTAGCGATAAACTCGTTAAAGAAGCGTTAAAAGAAGCCAAAAAGTGTGCAATGAAGCTCAAGAAAGCATCTGCTACAATAAATTTGCATAAGGCGGGAGAAGGAAAAAATAAAGGAGAAAGATTGAAAAAGAGGGAGAGAAGAAGCAAATTTCCGCTTCTCATCCCCCAGAATCGAATGGACCTAAGGGGTAAAGGAGATAGAAAAAAAAAGGAGAAAGGAGAAGGGAGAGAGAGAGAGAGAGTTCTTTCAAGAGTACCCCTCTCTACAATCCTTTTTTTTACTTTATTTTCCCTACTAAAACCACCACCACAATCAGCTCCGTACCCCAGAAAATCATCTAGAATTTCTTTTCAAAAAAATTTCCGAAACTTTCTTTTTGACTTCAGCTCTTCAGAAAAGTTTGGGATTGCTATTAGAATTGGCTATTAGAATTGGCTAATAGCAATATCTTCAGCTCTACTTTTGAATTGGGATTCTGTGATCTGTTTGAAACAATGTAAAACAATGAAATAAAAAAGCGTTTGAAAAATTTGGGTACAATGAAATTAAGATTTTATTTTCATGAAGAAGATTTGTTTTTCAAATTATCTCTAATGATAATGATGTCTAATGTCTAAAAATGATTGATATGTACCGTTTATTTAAAAGAAAAATGCTCGAATCTTTTGCTGGTTTTCAAGTTTTTCACAAAAACCTTATATGGAAACGATACGATTCTCAAGAGTTCAATTCATTTACTGTTTTCTTTTTAGTTTAACTTTAAAATATTTTTAAAAACTTTAGCTATTAGAATTGAGATTTCATATTGTTTTTTTTTGATTTTCTTTTGGATTCAATGTAAAATTTGACTTTGAAAATAACGTGAGTTGCAATAAAATCCACTGTATTGATTCCAGTCTGTATTGATTGATTCCAGTCTGTATTGATTGATTCCAGTCTGTATTGACACTCCAGTCCTCCAGTATTGATTTCAAATTACATATTAAAGATTTATTAAAGTAAGCTTGATTTACATTATGTCAAGTTAACTAACAATGATTGGATGCAGTCTTGGCGAAGACTGAGTCTATTTGGGTTACGGATTTTCCGGTTACCGTATTTTCTCTAATAGTAGTGCACCATGAGCGTTGCCTAAATTGCTCGAAATCTCGAAAAGTGCTTATCAGAACCTATCGATGTGGGGTCGAAAAATGTAGCTGACGATGAGATCTAGTGGGGGATTAGAGGGTTGAGCTTCTGCAAAAGATTGGAAACCGTAAAATCGTCACCAACTCGCCCGGGGTGCACTACTATTAGAGAAAATACGGTAGATATAAATTCTAGATTTCTGACAATGATTTCCGAGTAATTTTTCCTTAACTTCTATAAAATTCTATAAAAAAGGAAAAGATATGATCGCTCTTAAAGAGAAACTCAAGTATCGACAACAGGGAATTGATGGGGAATTCTTTTCTATATGAAAAAAAAGAGAAGAAAAATCCCTCTTGAAATCTCGTGGTTAATCTCATTTTCGATATAAAAATGTCGCTTACCTTCAATATTTCCTTCTTGAAAGTGGTTTAAACTTTGAAAATGAATTGAAAGGCTTTAAGTTATCATTTCTTTTTCTTTTAGTCGTTTTAAACTTAGTCTTTTTATTATGAATAGGCTGAATGGGGATAATGAAAACGTAAATTTGGCCAGCCAAAAGCCAAGCCAGCCAAAAGCCAAGCCAGCCAAAAGCCAAGCCAGCCAAAAGCCAAGCCAGCCAAAAGCCAAAGTTCGGGCTTTTCAGCTTCGGGGCTTTTTTTGCCATCAGAATAATGAAACTAGATTGAAAAACTTGTTCACTTTCTTTTCGATTACACAAGTGCTTCGGGGGAAGTCATGTCTATCTGTTGTTCCTATTGGAATGAGGCTAAAGTGGGCTCTCGACCATGCCTCCCTTCGTCGCCATTCCTCTTTCAAACTCATCTTCTCCCCTTTCTTTTTTTTGCCAATCCAAATCCACCCACATTCTTGTTTTGATTTAAAAACGTTTCACGCATTTAGCACCATTTAATCGCTTTTTATAGACGAATTTATTTTTAGCATGACCTTAAACGGGATAAGTGTCGGTTTTCAGATTTTTAAAAATCTTTTCATATTCACTTATTTCGTTTCCTTCTACGTTTAAAAGAATCCTTTATATTGATTAAGTTCTCAATTTTATTTTTAAAAGTTCAACATTCAAAAGATATTCGATCTTCTGTGTCTTCAGTGCCTACCAATATTGATGTTGATCGCTAAAACTCATGCTAAAGCTTTGTTCATTACATTTAACACTAAATTCGTGTCATTCAATTTCTATGAATGACTATGAAAACTGTCGCTTGCTTGTCTTGCTGCCTTGCTTGTCTTGCTGTTTTGCTTGTCTGCTTGTCTTGCTGTCTTGCTTGTCTTGCTTGTCTTGCTTGTCTTGCTTGTCTTGCTGTCTTGCTTCTCTTGCTGCCTTGCTTGTCTTGCTTGTCTTGCTGTCTTGCTGTCTTGCTGTCTTGCTTGTCTTGCTTGTCTTGCTTGTCTTGCTTGTCTGCTTGTCTTGCTTGTCTTGCTGCCTTGCTTGTCTTGCTGTTTTGCTTGTCTGCTTGTCTTGCTTGTCTTGCTGTCTTGCTTCTCTTGCTGTCTTGCTTGTCTTGCTGCCTTGCTTGTCTTGCTTGTCTTGCTGTCTTGCTTGTCAATCCAGAATTCTGTTTGGAAAGTCGTCTTGGTACCATTAAAACTACAAACTTCTATGCCAAAAATCTGGCGTTTGCGAGCTATTTTGTAAATTTAACAACAGATTCGAAACCTTTTTAAGATTTTTCTATTGCATAGCATGAGTTAAATCTCGTTTCGAAATCGTGAAAAGTAAATTAAAGTGTGGACGAATGTCGAATTTCGTAAACGCCAAGCCATTCCAAACTGTTGTCGTTGTCATTTTATTCTCGGAATTTATTGTCTTCTCCCCTTTTCCTTGTCTTTTTCCCTTTCGTGTTGGCCGTAAATTTGTGTCTCCTGGCAGCCTTGTCAGAAAAGAAGGAGTCAAGAAAAAAAAAAGAGGTCGATCATTCTCAATTTTCATCAAAAGTCTTTTCAAATTGATTTCTCTTTTCGATGAGATGAAATACTTTTGATGAATCCTTTCAAAGAAATATCTCGAAGAGATTCTTTACAAGTTTATCTTTCTCAAAATCGAATTATTCTTTCGCGCCAGAGATTTTTGCTTATCTATGTCCACTCGTTCATTTGATCTGACAACGCAAAGGGGTTTTTTTTTTAAAATTTTGGATTGTTTTATCGAAGATGAAAGTCTGAAAGTTCTGAAAGTTACAGTTGAGATTGGAAGGAAATCTTTTCAATGCAAGAGTTGTAAATTTCTTCAATAGCTTCACTTCTGGGTCCGTCACTGGGTCCACCAGAAGTCAAGCGTGACTTACAGGCCATTTGTAATGTTATTCTTTCAGTTTTCAAGGCATTAGTCCTTTTTATTGACAATATTCCTTTAAATCTTTCAATATTTCAATCTTTTAAATGTTTTTTTTTTGCTTTAGAAATGGGTGACCTTGTCGGGATGGACGGTGACGATTACTATGATCAATTCTTGCCGATGCACTCAAATCAGTGCATCGAGGTGGGCATGTTAATGCGAGTGAATGGAGATCTCACATCAAGAGCTGAAGTTAGGGTGAGTACTTTGGGGAAAAATTTGCTTTAAACTTTGATCTTTGTGTGGCAGATTTCGCAGATCTTTGAGTGAAAGGCTTGTCGTTCGTTGAGTGCCCTAGAAAGGATGTGTGTTGCGCTTTTTGAGCAAAAAGTATTGGCGATTGAGTCTATCAATCACTTCTAAAACCCCAAACGCTAAAAACGATTCAGCTGAAGAGAATCTAGGGTTTTTCAGGTTCTCTACACGTTAATCTACTTTGTCATTTTTGTAATCGGCGTTATCGGCAATGGTTTACTCATTTCGTCAACTGTCATGCGAAGACGTATCACTGTCGCCAATATTTTTCTCGTTAATCTCGCCATTTCGGATTTGGTTTGTGAGCATTTTATGAGCAATTCTTCATGAAATCATTCAGTTATTATGCATCACAGCCATCCCAATCACTCCCACACTGGCTTTCTTCAAGAAATGGATGTTCGGAGAGTTTATGTGCAAATTTTTGCCCGCATGGCAAGCTGTATCAGGTGAGGGATTTTGGGAAAAGAAAAGTTGGACACACCGGTTCTCTTATGACTTATACAAAACATGGTCGGTGCCGGGATTCGAACCCGGGACCTCTCGCTTACTGAGCTATATAGATATTCCATTGCCGCCAGAGTAGGATCTTACTGAAAATTAACCGGCACAGGCTTTGTATTCCTATTTTCAATGCACTTTTTGTAGTGTTGATTTCTACGTACAGTCTCTGTTTCATCGCTGTCGATCGTTATCGGAGTATTGTGACGCCGTTGAAAGAACCGTGGACAATAAGGAATGCTCAGGTACTATTCAATTCGGTTAAAAGTTTACCGGTGTAACGGCTTGACTTGATTTTGTCTAGAGCCAGTTATGTAGAATTTTTGACTTTGTATAGAATCGTGCCGATTCAATAACGTCCAGGCCAGGTCATCCAGGCAAAAATCTAAAAGTTTAAGCCAAATTTCGACGTTTTAAACGCAAAATCCTGCAAAACTGTTGAAATTCTTGATTTTGAGAGTCATTTGAAATCAAGAAAAGCCAGTGTTGACCTTGGTTGGTTTAGTTTGATGAAATTTTGAATTGGAAAAGCTCAGCTAAACGCTCAGAGCTCAGCTCAGCTAAAAGATGGCTAAAATGAATCGAAAGTGTCGATCGATCGATTTGCAGGCAATAATGCTGATGACATGGCTGATGGCGAGTTTCCTTGCGATGCCTTTGTATTACACGCAAACACTCATCAAGATCAATTTGCCCGATGGGAGTTCACTGTGTGACGATGTGAGTATTGAAGAAAAAAACTAAAATCAATCTATTTTTCACTTTCAGTTTTGCGGCGAGTACGATTGGCCGAACAATGACATGTACAAACTAAGCTACGGTTTTATGCTGTTGATGTTGACATTTGTCGTTCCAGCGCTTATCATGACATTTTGTTATATGAAAATTTTGCAAAAGGTGGGTGTTTTGAAGTTCAGAAGATTGAAAAAATTGAAATTGATATGCTTCTCAAAATATTTTGTTAAAATCATGCAAAAATTCGCGTGTTCGAAGAAGATTAATCAATTAGATCAATTAGAATTAGAGAATTAGCGCTTGTTTTGCTGTATTTCAAAGATGAAAAATGCAAAAAGAAAAGAAGAAAAACTTTATAGATTTAAGGCTATTTGTTATGCTTAAAATTTTAATGTTAGAAATTGAATGATAGACTTTTTTTAGGTACGAAAAGATTGGATTGTGGCCGAGGGATCGATGCTGACAGCAGCACAACAAGTGCAAACAGCCGGTTGGGTGTTTTTGAAGTGTTGAGAAATGATAATTCTTTTGAATTTATTCATTTAAATATATGTTTTGCTTTAAATAGGCACTAGGAATTGCTAAAAACTGCAAAAAAAGCTTAAAAAGTTGTAAAGATTGGTCAAAAGAAAGGTTTACTAAGGCATAAAAGTTCGATAAAAGCACATAAAAGCTAAATAATCTTACAAAAGATTCGAATACGAAGTTGTGTGAATTTTAGCTCGAAAGAGGCGCGTGATGTACGTGTTGATATTGATGGTTGTCGTGTTTATGCTGTGCTGGCTACCGCTCACCGTCGTCAATCTTCTGAGAGATCTCGTCTTTTTGAGGGTTTGTCTTCTAGTTTATTGCAAAGGTTCAGTTCTACATCATTTTATTCAATAAGAGAAATTTCCAGCCCGAACACCAGATGTACTTCATTTTGTTGAATGCGCACGCGTTGGCGATGACGTCGATCTTGTGGAATCCGATTCTCTATTTCTGGATGAGCAAGGTACCGTATTTCTTCGAATAGAAGACCGGGTAAAGAGTATCATCGCGTACGCCTGCGTAGCAGCCCTTTTTAAAATTTCTTTTCTGCATAAAAGCTTTCAATCAAGTGCTATAGGGCTGGAAAATGACTCAAAAATACCACATGAGCTAACAGATTTTTGAGCCATTTTCCAGCCCTATAGCACTTCATTGAAAGCTTTTATGCAGAAAAGAAATTTTAAAAAGGGCTGCTACTCAGGAGTACGCGATGATACTCTTTACCCGGTCTTCTATTCGAAGAAATACGGTAATCTATTAATATTTGATCTTGATAAATATCCTATTTTTAGAATGAATTCTTGATCTTGATTTATATTCTTTTCCTAGAATGAATCGATCTTGAAATAAAATTCTTGTTCATTTAGCGTCATCGTCGAGCGCTCAAGGATGACATGTTCTGGTTGACGAACGCGAAACGACAGCCGGCCAGTGCTTTGAGCAGGTATTAGGCAAAGTTTAAATATGAAAGGAAAAACCTTATATTAGCCCTAATATAAAGTTTTATTTGATTATAAAGCTTCACATTAAATCAAAAATATGGCTTTGGTTGAGATTCGCTCCATCTCCTTCGGTTTCCGTTGTCTACAAGCGCGCCCTTGAGCGTCATTTAATCAACAATACTTTCAGGTTTGTTAAAAAATTTTAAGCAAGATCTGATTAAGTTTAAAAACGAATGATAAGATTTCAAAAATTCGTTCAGAAGGGGCACTCTGGCTGATCCAACTTGCATGTCAAGGGAGAGAGCGCTCGAGGAAATGCACGCGAATTGTTTCCTTTTGGTAAGAAATGATAATTTAAAGTGAAATCGACAAAAAAAAATAAGTTTTCAGGGTTCAATTAGAACAGAAGACTGTACTGAGGATTTGCCAACTACAGTTTTCTGTTCTAATTGAACCCTGAAAGCTGTAGTTGGCAAATCCTTAGTACGAAGATCTGGGGAGAATCATTTCCAGCTCATTGAACCACGAAATTTCGATCTCGGGAAGTAGATTGAGAAAAAACTCATTCACTCAAAATTGCAAAATCCCAATTGCTTATCATTCATTACGCTACAATACTCTAAACCAATTCGATTTCCAGGTACCATTGATGCCGTTGTGTCAAAACGTTCGACGGAATTCTCATCTCGCATTGGATGGACATCACCATCGAATAATTCGTCACTCCTCATCGGGAAGTGGGCATAACAGGAGAAGACAATCAACAATCACTGAGACAACAAGAGCATCGATTACAATAAAAGAGACTTAGTTCATGGTTTTCACTGTTTTTTGAAGCTTTCTCTAATTCAAATGTCTCCTTTATTGAGCTGTAGCCAAGCTCTCTAGACTTTCAAGAACACGGGAAATGGAAAAGCATTTTTTTTTCTGCAGTTAATTTTCTATTTTCAACGGCTTGGGGTCAAATGAGTGCACCAGAAAGGGTATGTTCCTTGCACAAAGTGCATCCACAATAGAAAAGGACTAAAGCTAACAATAAGGTATTCAGTTTAGTTTGTAAACAAAAGTAGCTTACCGTAACAAGTTAACGCTAAAATATCCTTTAAAGAATAATAAAGTGATAATGTATCTTTAGCTGAATATCCTAACAAGCATCATAGGTTCAATAAAGGAAAACATTGCATAACAATTCGGGGGGTGGGACAAATGCTACCTTTTTTTGCGCACCTGGACATTTGCGCACCTTTTTTTGCTGGAAAAGGCCGTAGAGTTTCAAAAATGTTTTCATATAAGGGAATCGTATGCGTAGATTCCGAATTTCGACAAATCACACCTCGCTGACACGTCAAATTTGGGTTAAAAGGCAAAAACCGCGGAAAAGCGTTAAGTTGCGTAGTTTTTGCCTTTTAGCCCAAATTTGACGTGTCAGCGAGGTGTGATTTGTCGAAATTCGGAATCTACGCATACGATTCCCTTCCATGAAAACATTTTGAAGCTCTACGGCCTTTCCTAAGGCCTTTTCCAGCAAAAAAAAGGTGCGCAAATGTCCAGGTGCGCAAAAAAAGGTCGCATTTGTCCCACCCCAACATCCACAAAAATTCGAAATTCTACCGGTCATTTCATTGAGTATTCTTTCTTTTTATGGGAAATTGCTTTATTTTAGCTGATTTTTTTTCCATAAGAACGCACAGGTGCATCGTTGTTTTTTTTTTTTTGGGGGCTAATTTCTTTTCTTTTCTTTTTTATCCATTTTTTGATTATTTTAATGATCAATTGCGGAATGATGTTTTCTTAGTTCGAAGAACCCTCCAAAACTCTCAATTTTAGCCTTTCTTAAATAAAGTTATGGTGCTGAACATTCGTTTTTTTTATATCTTTATGTGTAAAAACTTTTAGAAAAACGTGTATAAATGTTTCGAAGTAGGAAAGGAATTTGTTTGTTTACAGTGCGCTTTGTGTTTGAAAATTGGAAACGCACCCTTTCTAGAGCATTGAACTTTTGCATCTTTCTCGCAGCAAAGCGTTGATCACGTTAGAAAAGTGCAGAATTTATTGCGCTAGAAATGGTGCATTTAAGCACAAAGTACACATTTCACTATCGAATTGCGCTTTGTTACTGAAAAATTGTAAACGCAATCTAGCTGGGGCACTCATTTCTACAATAACATTGCAAGAAAGATAAAAAAATCGGTGCACTAGGGCATAAAGTACATCTGAAAACATAAAGCTAAATAAAGAAATGAAAATTTGTACCCAACTTTTTTGATTGGCTCACAATTTTTTTCCTTTTGTATCCCTCGCCGTGTGATGCAATTAGACGAGTGAAATCCGCGACGGATTCTTTTTTTTTCGTCTTTGTTTGAAAAACGAATGGAAAATACAACCGAATAATGTCTAATTATGAGGGAAAAAAAGAGGGGAAAAGAAAAAGTGTGAACAACAAGAAAAGAGCCATGGGATAACAGTTTATTGATCTCTTGACTGCAAGGATTTTTAAACCTATCATTTAACTATTTTTTTAAGTCTTAAGAATTTGCTTGTATGCTGTGTGCTTGAACCTAAAAACACAGCCAGTCTGGTACACTGTTTTTTCGACTTTTACCGATCTCACTCGAAAGCACTCACTCGAATCGAGTGAGTGCTTTAAAGCAAGGCTCGGCTACCCTAACCCCGACTACTCAATTTTACAGTATGTCAAAATATAGCTGAGATTTTGGGCTATCTTTTGATACCTAAGCACACATTGTAGCATAAAAGGGTGCTGAGAACGAGGCGCTTAAAGTTGAACTACGTGACGCTTTGGCCGTCATTCTAAGGTGCTTCGGTTAGAATCATTTCCGTACTGTAACTAAACTTACTTGTAACTTAAAGATAATAAACATAATGATCCGGTTTATGTAGTCAAAATTTAGTACACTAGAAAAGATGTGTTTCCACTTTTGAGCACAATGTACTTTTCATGTCTGGCCCAGATTTTCAATGACATTTCTATGCCTGACTGGACGTTTTTGATTTCAATTCAATTTCATCTAATTAAACTCATTTATTTTCCCAATCTTTGTTGCTTTGGAAATTAGATTTACAGAAAATAATGTTTTGCTGAACACTTTTCACGTAGCCGTTCGTTGGTCGATTCAAAAAAAATATCCCATGATTAATCATTGACGAAAAACTTTAGCACTCTTTTTTCCAATTAAAATTCGGCAAGATAAGAGTTGAGAGATTGGATGAGAGAATCATTTCGAGATTCGGAACCATTTCGAGATTCTAGACCATTTCGAGAATCTAGACCATTCCGAGATTCTAAACCATTTCAAGCTTCTAAACCATTTCAAGCTTCTGAACCATTTCAAGCTTCTGAACCATTTCAAGCTTCTGAACCATTTCAAGCTTCCGAACCATTTCAAGCTTCTAAACCATTTCAAGCTTCTGAACCATTTCAAGCTTTCTGAAATTTCCTAATGATACAGAAAAGGATTCATTTTTCGTTTGGTTTATCGTCTTTTAAAAACCGTTTACCGTTTATTCGAACTTTTAGCTTTTCATACTGCACTTTAAATACTTTAAATGTAAATTCACTTATTCAAATTGAAAATTCAAATGGAAAGCACGCTTTTCAGTCTATGTGTGAACAAATCGACAGCTGGACTCTTCCCAACGAGACGCTGGTCGTGATTCGCCTTTTCACCCTCCCATTAGCGCTCATCTTCAACCCATTATGCATTATTCTCTTACTTTACAAAGTTAGTAGGAGTTTTTTTAGAATTTATAAGCTATCAATACAATATTCAGGCAAAAGTGCTCCTTCGTAGCTACAAGCACCTGTTGATTTGTGTCTGTCTCATCGACGCTCTCTTCTCAATCCTTTATTTTGTGACGGGTCCGGTGGGTGGAAAAAAGCTATTTAAATATCAAAGATCTAATATCAAAGTAAACTTGTAACTTGTTAATTTATGTATTTCAGACTCCAATCATCGTCGACTCGTCGATTTACATGCTAAATTGTGGCTCATTTGCTGAAGATCCGACGCTGAACCGTCTTCTCTTGCATGCACTTTTTTGTTTGCTTGCTGTTTCTGGATACACGTTGACGATTCTTTTCATCTATCGATGTACCCACATTTGCACGTGAGTTTTAGCACATAACAGTGAGGATTTGTCTAACAAACAATGCATAGCTTTAAGCGTATTCATAGAATCGTTCGAACAAGTTTGATAACTTTAGCTCTCACTACTTGTATATCTTTCAATCAAGGTGGTTTTGGATTTTTGTCAGCGTCGGATTTGCAGGTAAACTGATGGAACTGAGCCTAGAGTAGGCATTCTAAAGCATTCACGATTTTAAAGCATTCACGGCAGTCGTTTACTATTTTACTGATAATTTAGTTGAAAGTTTAAAGATAAACAAAACTGCTATAAACATTTGAAAGCCTCGAAAATCCTCTTGAAAACTAATACAAAGTTATCTTTCTGCAAAATCAATAACAAAAGTCTCTAAGTTTGACACAAAATAATCGTCATTAGTATGGCATTGGTGTTAAAATTGTTAGATTATGGCTCTAGATTTACTTGAATCAATGATTTTATTGGATGAATAGAAAGATAACTTTGTATTAGTTTTCAAGAGACGTTTTGAGGCTTTCAAATGTTTATAGCAGTTTTGTTTATCTTTAAACTTTCAACTAAATTATCAAGTTATCTTTCTGCAAAATAAATAACAAAAGTTAAACAAAGTTATCTTTCTGCAAAATAAATAACAAAAGTATTTAAGTTTGACACAAAATAATCGTCATTAGTATGGCATTGGTGTTAAGATTGTTAGATTATGGCTCTATATTTTCTTGAATCAATGATTTTATTGAATGAATACTTACTTTCAGTGATGATCAGTTTGGCGGAAAACGTTGCAGCGGCTCTGTCGGGTGAATTCACCTTGACGAAGCTTCAAAATGAAACAATCATCATTGCCTACATCGCCATTCATCCTTACAATCAGGATAACAAGGTAAATATCTTGAGATTTCTCAGAAATCATTAAGATTTGACACTTTCAAAAGCCTTCTTTCAGCTAGGAAACTCGAACTTTTTCTCGGCTCATTTCGCAATATATTTGTGTTTCTTTGGCTTATTCTTCTCAGCAATGGTGATCGTTTACTGTAGCTGTCGAATATTGTACGATATACGGAATGTTCCGATGGGAGAAAAGTCGAGATGTGTGCAGATACATCTATTTAAAGCTTTAATCATACAAGTAGGTTGCGAAGAGCAAAGAATACTTTGAAAAAAGTGTTACAATCGACTGTAAAAGTCATCCAATAGTTAGCTTGAATATCATAAAGTATTTAGTCATCCGTGCCCATCATCTGTTGTTATATCCCATTCATTTTTGTGCTTCTCTCCGCGAATTTCATCGTCGGATTGCAGAAAGTGGCCGCTATTTCTCTGCTGTTCTCGGCTTGGTCAATCAGCTTCTAATCATTTTAAGGATTCCAATTTCAGGTATCCCGTTCTCGATCCCCTATTGGTCATCTATTTTGTTGTCGATTATCGTCGTATCATTCGTGGATGTCTTTCACGACTCAAAACCATCACAAAGAGTCAAGTTCGCGTTCGAGCCGCCAGCTATGTCGAAAACTCCTTTTGATACACTAATAATAATAAAGATAATAAAGCTAATAAACTTTATCAAGAGTACCTCTACAAAAAAAGCCATTATAACACTTAAATTCCTAGTTGAACTTTTCAAGCTGGCGACAAGCTAACGATAAGCTAGCGATAAGCTAGCGATAAGCTAACGAAAAAGTATCGTTTATGCAATTTGTAAGTCTGGCCTGGTTTCTAAGCCTTTCACAAGGTTTCGAAATCAACTTACAACTTCTAAACTTACAAAATAATCCGATAATTTAAAAATTAACTGATAGCTCTAGTTCCTTTTTCACTATCAAGATCATCTGTTTCTTCTCTTTTTTTTCTTCTTTTTCAAAACTCTCCCCAAAAAAAGTTATCTCAAATTTGAAAAAACTGAAACTGCCATTTCACTTTTTTGTTGAAAGTTTTCAGATTTTTTTCAACACAAAAAAAATCCTAATCAAATTAGAAAAATTATTGATCACCGAAACAAGTATCACAAGCAGTAAAATATGGAAGTATTTTGTTGAAAAGATGAGACCAAATGAAAGGAGATGATTGTACAGTCGATCGGGGGAAAGCTTTATGATTGGGATTGTTTATGAACGTTTATTATAGGCTGGTTGAGCTAGGATGAGACGAGTGGATGGCGGTCGAGTGACTTGGACGGCTTCCGCCTGAAGAAATCAATAAAAGTTGATAATATAATATGATAAAGTTGATGTTGATTGACTTGGCTTGACTTTGATCCCTTTTGCGCAAATTTCAGCTACGGTTTCAGCTTTCAGCTATGGGATCCAAATGAAAAAAAAAGTACATTGTTCACTGTTTGTGTTGTACTTTTGGGTTTTGAGGTTTTGATATAAAGTTACATGGAATTACAGAAGGTACTGGAGAATCAAGGCTAAAAATCACAACTCACCACAACAATCGTTTTCTGTGTCGTGCTCTCAAGTCCTTTTCTCATTTGAGGTGACGCTTTTTGAGGCTAAATTGAAAAAATCTCTCTCTAATTTAAAGAAATCTAGTGTTTTATCGCCTTTTCTTTTCCCCGAATCAATGTTAGTGGAAAGCAGGTGGATGAAGAGAAAGAGCTGAGAACAGAAAGAACTGAGGCAAACAAAGGGGTGATTTAATATGACTTGAGCTTTTGCAAAACCTCATCAGGGTCACCCATGAATCGTTCTAATTGTTGTTGATAGTATTTATTGCCGTCTGAAAGTTTGGAATTAGTTGGTCGGTGAGCACAAACCTTGTATTGGGTGGAGATGTATGGTGGAAGGAAGAGAACATTTCTCCCGGGGTATTTATATTCGGCGGTGGTGCGAATGACCGGTTGCAATTGAACCGGATGACCGCTGATACCTGAGGAGAAATGAAAGGACAGGTAAAGATTGGAAATCGTTTTTGTAAGATCTACGATAGAGTCTTAAAGGTACTGTGGCTGGTTTTAGATCTTTGAATATCTTCCTTGAATAAGTTCTGCTTTTACAGTCTTAAGACCTTTTGCACGAACGGTGTTTCTCTAGCTTGAAACGCAGAAGAAAAAGCAGAGACAGGGCAGAGTAAATCTTGAAGAACAAGTCTAACCATAAACTATAATCAAAATCAAATCAAAGTTATCATCAATTATCAATCTGATAAGTAACACTTATATTTGATAAAATAACCCCACTTTAAACGATACTAAGGTAAGCCAATTTAAAAGTAAAGGATTAAAGAAATACAACTTATTTAGGTGCTTTTTGTTAAATTTTACTACTAGATAGTTATGCTAGTTACTACGTACACCACTGGACAATGAAATATCATATTTGAAAAAAGATCGTCACTTTCGCACGTCTGTAACTCGCTTTTCTTTACCGTATTTCTAAATATTAATATTACCATTGTGTAGCGCTTGAAAAGAGCTTTCAGAAAATGTATAACACTAATAGTTTAAACTCAAAGACAAGGGGAGTTACAGACACGCGAAAGTGACGATCGCTTTTCAAATATGATATTTCATTGTCCAATGCTGTATTAGTTAGAGAATCTCGGTTTAGTGAGAACAAAAGAATAGCCAGATTGATAGTGAATCCCTTTCACCCTCCAGTTTACAACTTACGTTTTGCCATCTGCATCATTGCCAACATTTGCATTTGTTGATAGTAGCTCATTCCTAAAGTTTAGTCAATAATTAATAATTCATAGGCATATTGGATATTTTAGTATTGTTATAATTAGAGTGTGTTCCTCGCGAGTAAGTAATTACTTGGGTCAAATTTGCATGAGTAATCTTTACTCGATTAATCGACGTTTTTGGTCGAAGAAACTACGAGTAATCCTCTTTACACGTCGGGTAAATTGAATATCTTTACTTGTGACGGGAATCTGCCACCAAAACAGTCACGGCTGAATATCTTTAAAAACTCGTCGCTCGTGTTTTTTTTTGCAATAATTTTCGCTAAAAGTACGGTAATTGTTCCGAAGTGTGCGTTTTAAAAAACGCATCACTCGTGAGGAAAACACTCTAATCATAAGACTGTAGTTGCAGTTAGCTCACCTTGTGACTGCATCAAATGCATCATAGCCATCATTTGGAGAGGTTGAGTGAGACCTAAACCTCCTTTTTAAATACATACCGTAAATACTGTAATAGTACCCCACCGCCCTCGTACAGTCGCGTAGTCGCAAAGGTTTTTTAGTATTTTATTTTTTTCAAAGCGCCCGTACTTTCAAAAAATGCGTCTTTGGTATCAAAAATAGCTGAAATTCGGGGCTATTTTTTGATACCTAAGCGCGCATTGTAGCATAAACCAGTGTCGAGAAAAATGCGTTCAAAGCTAGACTACGCAACGCTCCGCACCGTCATTATGGGGGTGGGGTACTATTACAGTTTTTCCGGTAGTATGTTTTGATAAAAAAATTAGTCTACTTGAAAAGACAATAGGATTAGATTATATGTATTAGGAAAGATTTGAAATGATTTATCTAAACAGGCAATAGAAGCCAGGGAAAGTGTCTTCAGTGCTGAAAGAAAAATCGATTCAAAAAAAGAAGCTTACCCAGACTGTTACATATGTATTGTATGTACAGTTGTCTTAGCATTCCTAAGAATATCCGATTTTACAATACAGTGATTTCAATATCTCCTTTCCAACTCACCTTGTTGTCCTCCACTCATTCCACCACCGCCCATTCCCCCGCTTAACCCCATCATCATCGGGGAGAACCCAAGCGAGCCCAATCCCATCGATTGAAGGAAAAGCTGTTGCTGAAGGTACTGTTGGATAGTTTCCGAAGAGATATCCTTGTAAGCCGAGGGGATTTGCACAACGGTCACAAGAGGAGACTTGCATTCTGAAATGTGAATGCCGGTAATGGTTTTAACATTCAATTACCAAAGCAAGGTTTCGGATAGTAGTAGACGGCTGGGATTGGCTGGGTTGGGGTCTGAAAATCGAATGTTGGGAACGTTTTTGACTTCTTGAACCTGTTGTCTTTGTTGATGGCTGTAGTACTGGGCTTGGGCAGAAAACAGGAGACAGAGTAACAAGCATAGAGATTTCATCATTTTTGAAATCTGATAGTGAATTTGAAAAACTAATAGATTAAGCTGGAAAACAAGAAAAACACATAACTAAAGAGAGTGAGCTTTGAACTTTTAAAAACGGTGAAGTCCGGCGGTAAAATAAGAAAAATTGAGCTTATTGATAGGAAAACTTGAATTTGTGCATATTGTAGGTACAAGAGAAAAAGAGGGTACAAGCGAAAATACCGTATTCTCTCTAATAGAGGTGCACTCTTTAATAGTAGTGCACTCTCTAATAGTATTGCGGTCCAGGAGGGGGTTGAGAAAATAGTAATGCGCACTACTATTAGAGAGAATACGGTAATCTTGATTCTAGCTCAAGAAAAATTTTGGCTCCAATTGATGAATTTGGTTCCGGCTGAAGAGAATTTTCGAGTGTACGCCGTGAGAGAAAAAATTTATGAAGCCCGGTGGTGGATGTTCGCGAAGCATCTAAATAAAATCTCGGGCGAGAGATCGACAGAAAAGAACAGCCTTGAATTTGGGTAATCACCAAAAACCGTTCCCTTTTTTTGTGATTGGAATGGAATCTCGCGGGGAAAAACCGTTCTCCGACCCACGCAAAACGAGAATTGAAAAAGAAAAGAAAGAGTGGACACATGAAAAGATCATTTTTCGGATAGTCAAGAAAAACGAATTGGGGAAAATGGTGAAAAAAAAATTGCTTCGTGTATGGAAAAAAGATCGGCAGCACCCTACTCACAAATCGTGGATATATCATTTTTTTTCATTTGGGTAAAAAAAAGAGAAAGGCTCTTGTTGAAATACGATTTTTCTCCCGTAAAAATCACCCACATTTTGGATAGTGAAGGAGGCTTTTTCTCAATGAACATATCAAAAATTTTTTTTTTGGTATTAGATTACAGTGATCAGAAATCCCTCCGATTTCTGGGAAAACCTGAGAAAATCGAGAGCACCGGAAAATGTGATTGATCTGTACCACCTGCGACAGAGATTACGGTAAACTTGATGAGAAAGCTTGATTAAAATCTAAGATCTACATTGACCACCGACTAATCCAGAGTTTATTTTACAATCAAGAACGAGGATTTCGGGTTCGGGTTCGGGATGCTACACAAGTGCAAAGAACGCTCTTCTTACAGTATGCTGCAGTACAATGAATGTTTTGATGTAGAGATTACGGTAGAAAAATAAATACTGCCTGTAAAAACATTACGGTTACAGACTAGCCCCGTTTTTCACAATGCCTACATTTTGGCTGAAGAAACATCGAAATTCCAAAAAAAAACTGAGAAAGCTCAAGTGAAAATTTGCTCTTTAGTTTAAGAAAGCTAAAGTTATATAACCAAAATTCCATAGTAGGTAAGTGAAAAAACCCATTTTGGGGTGTGATTTATGTATTCGTGGCAGAAAAACTATCTTGTGTCAAAAAGGGTTATCGGCTGGGATTTCAGTTTTTTGCTAGATGCCATTGGGCAGTAGTTGCATTTTTCCAAAACTTCAAAATGAATAACCAGACGCGAATAAAACACCAAAGATCAAATATTAGGTGAAGTTAGAGAACGTCAGGTCAAGTGAGTAGTTCATTAAAAATCGCTTTATATACTGCGCTTTATATGCTTTATATGCTTTATATGCTCGTGACAATCACACAAAACTCAATATATTCAGTTATTCAAAATTTAATGATAAAACGCTATAGTTTTCGAGTGTCCCCTCTCAGAATTTTTAGTTTTTAGTCTCTTTCTCAAAAACTACTAGATGGTTCTGGGAGTTCAAAATATCATTCGATAGCAAGTTTTTTTGCGCATCCCCTTTACTATTACTTTTTTTTACAAAATATGCGTATTTAATTCTAGTTTTACCACTTTTATTTGCTATGTACGTTTTCAATAAAAATCCCAGAATATTCAACTGTACACATACCGTAAATACTGTAATAGTACCCTACCGCCATAATGACGGTGCGGAGTGTTGCGTAGTCCAGCTTTGAACGCGTTTTTCTCGACACTGGTTTATGCTACAATGCGCACTTAGCTATCAAGTCTTAGCTATCAGCTAAAATAGCTGAAATTCAGGGCTATTTTTTGATACTAAAGACGCATTTTTTGAAAGTACAGGCACTCTGAAAGAAATGAAATACTAAAAAACTTTTGCAATTTTTGCGAGTGTACGAGGGGAATACTATTACAGTATTTACGGTAGGTATATCACAGGGGGACACTTTAGGAAGAGTGCTCTCCCTCTTTACACTTTGTAGATTTTCTCGCCACTCAATAAGCTGCGCAAAAAAATTGCGGAAATTAGCCTACCCCAAATTTTTCTTTCTTTGCCACTCTTTTCAAGATATTCATTTAATCAATTGAATTGATGACTTAAGCCTTAAAATCACAAATTGAAACTCCCCCGACAATTTCTTTTTCTTTGAAATTAGAAAGCTTGTTTTCATTTTGAGAATCCCTCCAAAAATTTCATATTCTAGTTTCCTATTCAGTCCCGACAGTGCATCCAGCATTTTCCCGCTCAAATTTTTTCCAGCCACATAATATTTACCACTTAGAGAGCGGGCAGGCACACAGAAGTTCTTTTGATCTTTCTCAGCGTGTGTTTTTGTATTTTGGAACTGGAACCAGAGCCCAAAGAAAAAGCGAAAAGAGGCGGTTGGTCACGAGTAAAGTTGTGTACTTTATTTCTTTTGGCTTAAGTATTTAGGATTTTCGGATACGGGAATCTTCCAAAACATGTTTTTTTTTATTGGAATCAATTGGATATTAGCTTAGAAGCATATAAAACAGAAAAATAACGACCGCTCGACACTTTTTTCAAAATCAATTATTTTTGGAGATTTTGAAAATTCAAGTGACCTCCCTCATGAATTTTGTCAAAATATGCAGTCACGGCTATAGACTGACAGTAGTAACGCATTTGCGTCGTCTGCTAAAGTCGAAAGGTAGCGCCTAAAACAAAACCGCTACCTTTTATCTGTCTTATTCGCCTAATTAGCCTTAATTTCTTTCGTTTTTTTGTCTTGTTGTTTATTTCTTAATAGCAATTTGATTATCTTTGAAATTTAGATAGAAAATCGCTTCTATGACGGATAATATGGAAATATCACCGCAAAATTCGGACCAGGATGATTCTGACGACGAAAGAAGGGTAAACTTTGACGATTAACATGTAGTAACTAAATGAACTTTGATCAAATTGGCTTATTTTGTTAGAATTAGGAAAGGGAGATTGAATTAAGTACTATGCAAAATTATAAATGCTTTCTAGAGATCACGGGGGCGACGAGAACACCTGATAAACCTGCCATCACACCGAAGACGGACAAAATCGGAAGTTGATCATGATCATTATCAGGTTTATTCGAGGTTTTATTATTGGCAAAATTTTATTCCTGTTTAGATGATCAACGATCGGATAGTTGAGGATATAACGCTCGATTTTATGTACAAACCAAGAACCCTGACAATACTTAGTTTCTTCTGCGCCGTGCTTGTTTATCTGGCTTTCAGGAAGTTGGTGCTTGGTATTTTCGTTGAGTAATTATTATTTTAGTGATACGAATGCCGATGATAATCTGTATCAGGGTCTGCTTGGAGCTCTTTCTTTATTTTTGGTCGTCTCAGCGTTGGCTTTCCCAAATGGTCCATTTATTCGCCCTCATCCGATTGTTTGGAGAACCATCTTCGGTCTCAGCGTTGCTTACATGGTGCTTCTACAATTTTGCCTATTTTTGGTGAGCATTTTGTAATATTCTTAAATTTGCTTTTATTATTCTTAAATATAAATAAATAGCGTTTAGACGTATGACCAAATCAAAGCGATGCTAGTTTATTTTGATCCGGTTGGGCTTTCTGCAGAGAAACTCGTGGAAAAAGAATATGCTGTCAATTGTTCGGATCTTTCTTGGGCGAGAGTCTGGAGTCATATGGATATTTTTGCCGTAGGTTTGTTTAAAAACTGAATTGTGTAAAGCTAAAAGCTAAAAAGTTTAGGGCATTTCCTTGGATGGGCGATGAAGGCGCTGCTTATTAGGCATAATAACATTTGTTGGCTAATAAGTTGTGCCTGGGAATTTACAGAGGTATGTTTTGTATTAACAAAACACCTAATGCAGATAATTTTAGGTTATCTTCACTCATTTGTTACCAAATTTTGAAGAATGCTGGTGGGATGCAATCGGCTTGGATATTTTCTTGTGTAATGGACTTGGAATCTTTGTTGGACTGAGGATTTCCAATTTCTTATCGATGAAGAGTTTTCATTGGGAAAGCATCAAGTAGAATTTCTTTTAATTTGGTTAACATATATCTTTTTAGGGATATCAAATCCACCCGAGGAAAAGTTAGACGAGCTGTACTACAATTTACGCCAGAAAGTTGGAGTCAAAATAACTGGACGGATGTCTATGCAATCAAACGAACATTTGCTGTTTTTCTGTAAGTTTGACGTAACTGCTAAATTTTGACCTTTAAATCCTTTAGTTTCGTCATGATCTGGCTTATCACCGAGTGAGTTTCAGTTTTGAATGTATTCTCTTCTGGGTCTTGTGGGTTTGAATACGCTTCACGTAAAAGTAGTTCTTGGACTTGTCTAATACGATAGTGGTTATATTTGTTTTTATGATTCACCTTATTTTGAAAATTTAGATTGAATACTTTCTTCTTGAAGCACATATTTGTCATCGATACGTCTCATCCCGTTGTGTTCTGGAGGATTATACTTATTGCTTTGATCTCGGCACCCTCTATAAGGTATTATCTCTTTTGCATCCAACTTTATGCAAATAGTTTAGGCAATACTATGCCTTTGCTACGGATCCGCGAGTGAAACGCCTTGGAATGCAGTGCTGGGTGTATTGCGCCGTGTGTGCCCTTGAAGCGGCTATATGTATTAAAGTTTGTTTCTCGTTTGGCCTTGCCTTGTTACGAAAAACTTTTTTAGGTCGGAAGAGACCAATTCCAACCGGCAAAACTCTTACTCATAGCAGCATGGATTTTCTTCATGTTTGCGATGACTTTTGCCACTATCCTTCTCTCAGTAAAGTGGGCGGAAAGGAACAAAGATGTATGGCATGGGAGAATAACTTTTTAAAGTGATAATTTTAGCTGACAAAGAAAGTCGAAGTCGAAGGAACAGAAAGACGGGCGTACATCGATAGTTCTTGCGAAAATCTGGGCATGCTAGACGATGAAGTAAAGTTTATTCTTTTGATTACAATTTTGGCGCTTTTCAGGTCAAAGAGCGGCGCCGACAGCTAGGCGTTGACTCCAAAAAGAAGTTATGAAAAATTGCCAAACAGTAATTCAGGTGCCTCTTTGTTTTGTTTATATTAATTTCGTTTAAAATATTGTTAACTTTACATTCCGTTGTTGGAACATTTTTAGTCCGAGCTTACTAGCTAGTTTCTGTTGAAATTATCTCCATCTCTACCTTGAGTATAATTTGCAAGATTGCTCATTCTCTTTATACAGGTATTTGCTTTTAATAAAGTGCTTTTCTATGAAACTTATAAACATTTATTGTTTTACAAACATGATTTTACCTATTAGAGTCGACCGAACTTCCTAAAACCTAGCCTTTGGAATAAAAAGTGAAAAGAAATCATCAGTTTCTTTAGCAGAAACCGCAAGTTTTTGGGCATTGTTGTCTCATGAGGGACATGTAGCGTGAATTTGTGCAGTACATCATTAGGTTCGGACAGTCGCTCATCCCGGTCGAGGGATTTGTCTTGTCAACGCATGATCCTAGAGCCTTGTTTGATAGGAATCTTGTTTTTCACACCTGATGAAGTGACAGCCGTGTAACCATATGAACCACAACGACCACAAGTCTTTGGACATTGATCGGTCATCACTAAATTGTGGGGAGCACGTTAAAGCTTTAGTCGATTCTCAAACGTCATTTCATTAGCAGGCAAGTTTACCTTGATAGTAAGTGGAGTCGTTGCAGAGGTAGGCGAGTCTTGTGCAATCCGAGGTACCAGTTCTGGGGTTGACTTTGTCCATACAGGTAGATCTAGCTAAACTTTATAGGTCAGGTTTTTGCTTGTAATCTATTGGGTACTTGAAACTCCACTGTTGACAAGTTTGTTTGCCGGGCAGCATACTTGAGTTCCTGTGAATGTGACACAAGTTTCCCCTCCATTGCACGAGCCGCTGATACACGCTAAATATTTTTAATTTAGATGGCTTTTCGATATTTGCTTCTTTGTCATTGATATTTAAATTCGCTTACGTCCATTTCCAGCATCGGTACAGGTTTGAGTGCCCAAGGCAAACTTGGAGGCGATTACCAGCAGGCAGATGTAACGAATCATGGTTAAGGGATTTGAAAGTTTGAAATTAGTCTTAGTATTTGAAGCGCTTATATACCTTTGATTATTGGGTTAAGCTTTGTCGAATAGCTCTTTAGAACAAAGATTTGTCTTTGTGTGGTCAGCGCGTTTTTTTCGCGGATCAGCTTGCCAAATTTGCATACGTGCGCGTGAATCTCCAAACAAAAACTTTCATCGAGTCCATCTGTTTCAATAATTCGGTCCCACGTAAATTTTGATTTTTCAAAAACAATTGACGTAGAGAAATTGATAACTTGTGAAAATACTGTGGCTAAATACTTTTACAGTTATATCTAACTGTCTAATTTCACTTTCGAACATTCAAATTTTCCCCACTCGCCCATTCATTGTGGGGCAAGATTTGACACGTTCAAGACCTCTTTTGCCTGCCCTAAAGGAAGAAATGGCGCCCTTTTTTGACGTCACACACCACCACAGTAGACCGGTCTTGACTCGTTCATTTGAAAACATATATAAAGGGCAGGGGAATATCCAGGGGAGTCATTTTTCAGTTTGTATCTGCACTCCGGGCTGTTTTTGCGAAGAAAATGATTGTGTGATTCCTTTTACCTAATTGAGTTTGGTACGTTTGACCTGGCTTTGAAATATACCGCGCTCTATATTATTACGCAAACCCATACGAGTTGATGGTCCATTTTTCAAGTTCAATAATATATGCGCCTTGACCGTGGTGATTCATCGTAAAGACGGGCGATTTTCGCCACATTTTTGGCAAAAAGGTGGGCCTTTTGTTCATAAATTAGCCACGTTGCCTGCGATTTTTCACTCCACTTTCTTGGATCAGATTTGAAGCTGCATAAACATTCTACGAAAATGACTGTAGCCGGTAAGTTTTATATTGAGAAATAGGGAATCAATAGTTTGATTGGAAATTTTCTCTTGGGGTGTTTTTGTTCGGTTCAGTTCAATCATTGCCTCCATCTCCAACTTTCTTGTTTTTAGACGGTTTCTTGGGGTGAGACGTCTTGAGTTTAAAAAAAGTTGACCGTCTGTCTTTATTTTTGCATGTTAGATACGGAAAAATTTACTTTTAAAATATCGATTTTCCCTGTATTGGTCTTGAGGACTATAAAGTGTGCTAACGCCCCTCCCTTTTTTATCTTTCGTTTTGGCGGGAAACTGTGACTCGGCCTTTTGAATGTTTTGCGATAGATAAGCCTTCTATGTTCAAGTTTTCTTTAGATGCTTTGTATAGTTTTGAAAACTTTTGGTTTATTTGTTGGAAACTCAGTAGCTCTAGTAACATACTCATTGGGACTTTAAACTGTTATTTTCATGTTCATTTTATTTCGTTACAGAGATGGGCAAAGCGAAAGACGACGAAGATGCCCTGCTTCCAAGTCACCATCGCACTCCAACCATTGTTCAATCCACGCCGGGATCAATTGCCTTCAAATGCTACGTGATTGCATCGATGTGCTTTTTATGGACGGGCTATACACTTGCTGTTCGCTACACCCGCTCCACCACAAACCCCTCCGAATTGTACGCATCGACGACTGTCGTGCTTTCCGGAGAATTTATCAAGCTGTGCATCACTTTACTGATGATATTTCGAGAAGGTGGACATTCTATGAGCAAATTTGGAACGACGCTAAACAAATTCTATTTTGGACAGCCAATTGAATTGGCAAAGATGTCGGTTCCATCACTTGTATATGCTCTTCAGAATAACTTGGACTTTGTTGCATTGAGCAACTTGGATGCTGGCGTTTATCAAGTGACCACCCAATTGAAAGTCGTGACAACCGCTCTCTTCATGATGGCCTTCCTTGGGCGCAAGTTTTCAGGGCGACGTTGGCTGGCCATATTCCTCTTGTTTGTTGGGGTCGCTTTTGTACAAATGGATGCCGTACAACAACAACCAACTAAGAAAACGGCTGGCAAAGAGAACTATTTCGTTGGCATCATTTCTGTTCTCACTACATGTATCACCGCTGGATTTGCTGGAGTCTACTATGAGAGAATGCTGAAGGATGGAAGTGCCACACCATTTTGGATTCGAAATCTGCAGATGTACAGTTGTGGAGTGTTGGTCACGGGAATCGGATGCTTCAATGACTTTGATATCATTAGCAACAAGGGTTTCTTCTATGGGTACGACGAAAAAGTCTATGCAATTGTTGGACTTCTTTCTTTGGGTGGAATCTACATTTCTTTGGTGATGAAGTACTTGGATAATCTTTACAAATCATTCGCTTCTGCAGTTTCTGTGATATTTGTCGTAATTCTCTCTTTGTTTATTTTCGAGGGTATTTCTATTGGAATGTTTTTTGTGTTCGGTACGGGACTCGTTTGCTTTGCAATTCTTTTGTACAATACTGTTGATGAATAACCGGATTTTACAGTTCAACTGCACATGCCGTACTAGTCTGATATGAACCTATTGTACTCAGCCTTAACACCGACTGTGATGCTTGCATTTATAATAGATTCTAGTCTTTACCTTATAACAATAATGTTATTTACTTTTTGCTTCTATTTCATTTTTGTACTTATAATTAATGCATTTACGTAATAATAATGATCGAATTTAGAATGACTACTCCCGTGAAGCTGGAGAAGCATCCGTCGACGTTTGTTCTGAAGCGTAATGGACAAGCCCAGGCTGTGCATTTCGACAAGATCACCAGCCGAATTCAAAAGCTCAGCTATGGCCTTAACACCGACTTTGTTGACCCGGTAAAAAAGTAGTTTAAATATTTTATGAATTCCAAAGTTTAGATCCTGGTTGCTCAAAAGGTGATTGCCGGTATGTACAAAGGAGTGAGCACCGTCGAATTGGACAATCTGGCCGCCGAAACTGCTGCCTCGTTGACCACAGAACATCCCGATTACGCGATTCTTGCCGCTCGAATTGCCGTTTCTAATCTTCACAAGAAGACTGAAAAAGTTTGTTTAGATTTCTAAATTAAGAAAATGAATCGTTTAGGTTTTCTCGGAGGTCATGGATAAAATGTTTAACTATGTGAATCCAAAAACTGGACAAAAACAACCAATGATTGCGGATGAAACCCATGACATTGTTATGAAACATGCCGATGTAAGTTGTAGACTACTCAGGAAAATTTACTTAAACATTTAGCGTCTCAACTCGGCTATTGTCCAAGATCGCGACTTTTCCTACACGTATTTCGGATTCAAAACACTTGAGCGCTCGTATTTGCTGAAGATTGGCGGGGAGGTATGAATATATGTACATTAACCCGATTAATAAGTTGTTTTAGATTGTTGAACGACCTCAGCATATGTTGATGCGAGTGTCTGTCGGAATTCATGGCGAGAACATCGATGCTGCTATCGAAACCTACAATTTGATGAGCGATCGATTTTTCACTCATGCAACTCCAACTTTGTTCAATTCGGGCACGAGAAAGTATTTTTTTCTGAAGCAACTATAAAACACGACTTTAGGGCGCAACTCTCCTCATGTTTCCTACTTATGATGCAAGAGGACTCAATTCACGGTATCTATGAGACTTTGAAACAGGTAACCCGTTTCTTGCACAAAATGTAAGATGTCGTTTTTTAGTGTGCGTTGATTTCCAAATCTGCTGGCGGTATTGGGGTCAACGTTCACAATATTCGAGCTAACGGAAGTCTTATTGCTGGTACCAACGGTCAATCGAATGGCTTGGTAAGCTTTGTGTTCGGCTTTTCATTTTGTTGATTGTGCCTAGGTTCCCATGCTTCGTGTCTTCAACAATACTGCTCGCTATGTGGATCAAGGGGGAAACAAACGACCTGGTGCTTTTGCCATTTACTTGGAGCCATGGCACGCTGATATTTTCGAGTGAGCTTAATTCTTTTGCTTATTTAATGATGATTTAGGTTTGTTGCTTTGAAGAAAAACACTGGACCCGAAGAAGAGCGTGCTCGCGATCTTTTCTACGCCTTGTGGGTTCCTGACCTCTTCATGTCGCGTGTCGAGAAAGATCAGCATTGGTCATTGATGTGTCCTTCTGAATGTCCAGGACTTGCTGATTGTTGGGGAGAGGAATTCGAGAAACTCTACATAAGGTACTGATTTAACTTTCTTATTTAATAATTTTTTCTAGATACGAAACGGAAGCTCGATTCAAGAAGCAAGTTAGAGCTCGTAAGCTTTGGGAAGCCATTGTCAGCAGCCAAATTGAAACCGGCACTCCATATATGGTGAGGGTTTTAACAAACTATCTTTCTAAAAGTGCTATTTAGCTTTACAAAGACGCCTGCAATCGCAAATCGAATCAACAAAATTTGGGAACTATAAAGTGCTCTAACTTGTGCACGGAGATTGTGGAGTATACCAGCAAGGATGAGGTTGATTATTGAAGAAAAATGTTTGCAAATTTGATTTGCAGGTTGCGGTGTGCAATTTGGCGTCAATTGCTCTGAATCGATACGTTACCGCCGAGCAAACTTTTGATTTTGCTCTCCTCCATTCCGTTACAAAAGTCATTACAAAGAATCTCAACAGGTCTTTTTTTACTGGTAGTCAGAATGTCAAAAAAAAATTTCTAGGATCATTGACATCAACTACTACCCAGTTCCTGAAGCGGAGCGTTCAAACATGCGCCACCGACCTATCGGAATTGGTGTTCAGGTATTTGTTAGCTGCTAGCTATAATAAATAAAGTATTTTAGGGGCTTGCTGATGCGTTTATGCTCATGCGCTATCCGTTCACTTCGGAGAAAGCTCGAGACCTCAACAAGAGAATTTTTGAGACTATTTACCATGCGGCGTTAGAGGCTAGTTGCGAACTTGCTGAGACTCTTGGACCTTACGAGGTATGAACAATGTTTCGAAACGACTCTGAAAACCTTTACTTTAGACATATGCTGGAAGTCCAATGAGCAAAGGGGAACTTCAATTCGATCTATGGAACGTTATACCAACTGACCAATGTGATTGGAAAACTTTGCGCGACAAGATTCAAAAGTAAAGTTGCACATCGTTGAGTCAAAAGCTTTTACCTTTG